ATTGGAGAGGGAAGACCGGAAAGCCAGAATCCAAGCAGCCGAGAACATAGGTGGACGAGGAGGTCAGCATCCTACAGCAAGCGGAGCCGGAGGCGTCATGAGACTCTCTCAAACGTCTGCATTACTCAACCTCAACTACCTCTCAGAGTTTTTGTTCTCTGAGCGCAATCTGCTGAGAGCACAGACAGGAGATTTGGATAGTCGCTGGAGGAACCTTGGAGATCCTATTTTGGAAGAAGCAGCTTTTGACTCTCAAGGATCGACTGCTGCTAGTTCGTCGGATGAAGAGGATGAAAAGACTAGTACTTCTAAAAGCGGGACTAAGGCTACAGGTGCTGAAGACTCTAGGGTGAGTATTGCACCGAAGACGAGATCTGGCTCAGCTGAAGGCGAGTCTACTTCTAAGACCGCACCTCCTAAGACGAGATCCGGGCCAACCGATGCGTCACCTCCGCCTCCTGCATCTCGGAAATCTACGGCGGTAGCTCGAAATGGAAGTGGTGGCACAGGGACCACTTCAAAACAAGCTAATCCGATTCTGAAATATACAGAACCTGGAGGTGACACTAGCGAGGATGAGGACGAGAATTTGGAATTCGTGGATGCCGATGACCACGAGTTGCTTGCTTCAGGAGATAATGTGGAACTGCAGCAAGATGTTGAGGCTCCAGATTTTTCAGAAGAAGATGTCGTAGGGCTTCTCCCTCCCCTGCACCGTGGTTTCTTGTTTTACGACGAAGGACAAGAACAGGAAGAACGAGAGCAGGCTGAACTTGATGGAAGAGGAGCTCCTTTCCTTTTCGCACAGGAAGCGCAGCCGGCCGCCCCGTATCTCTATGCACAGTTAGCCATGAATCTGAGTGGGTCGATGTATCAAGCCTATGGCTTCACAGGTTGGGTGCTGAAGAAAGCGGATGAGAAGCTAATCGAATACTTTGGCAGTTACATGGAGAAATCGAAGCAGGATGGCGAAGAAGAAGATGAAACGAAATTTTACGAACATTTAGAGATGACTCGAGCAGACGTAAAGCCTCAACAAGCGTCGGGGAAGCCTGTACATCTCGCAACGGTCCTGATCGCAGCACTCTTCGGTCTCGTGCTAGACTGGTCTGAGTTTCCGAAGGTAAAAGTACGACAAGTTTTGGGAAAGACTTTGTTAGCGCATCTTGTGTCCTCCACTGGTACTCCCGAAGAAGGTGGGCTGACCGCGACGCGAGCTGCAAAAGCAAATGTTGTTGAGGGAGAGATCCTCCTCATAGTCGGCGGTGATCGCATTACACAGGTGGCGCAAATGCGAACCAGAGGGGTCCATGACTCAGAATCCACGCAGCACACGTGCAAGCACCCTGACGAAGCATTGATTGAAATGCTAAGAAAACGATTCCAACGCGGACCATCTTCATCAGTCAAAGACAAGACTTTCCCCTTCATCTTCTTTCGCAAGAAGTACGCTCCGACGTTGGTCCAACTACGTTTTGACAAGAGCAAGGACAAGCTTTTGACCGATGGAGACGAAGTAGGTCCGCTTGGGTTCACGGCAACGAATCCAGCTCCTGCAGACAAGAAACCTCCGAGCTTAAGGCTGCCATATTAGTCGACATTCTATCGATCCTTCTGTGGAAAAATAGTACAGTAATCTTCCTTCTCGCTCTCGTGCTACACAATCACAAGAACTCGTCGAGGGAAACAAGGCCTAGGTGGATTCTAGCTTTAGTAGCTTCTAGAATGATCATACGAGGATGATAGCTGCTAGTTCTAAGTAACATCACCGGCAGCTCTAGCTTCTAGAATGATCATACGAGGATGATAGCTGCTAGTTCTAACTAACATCACCGGCGATCCCTGCGGTTGGGCTGCTGAGCAGGAACTGAAAGACGGCGACGAGATCCTGATGTTCGGTGAAGACTTCCTCATCAGAAGCCCGCATCACCTGGATCGCTACTTTAAAGAGCTCAAGGATGGCACTGCGAAGGCGATGTCTACAGTGCAACAGGCAGGTTTCGTCGACTTGCTGATTAGACGAAAGCCACCCGGCTTTTCGTCTCAAGAGCTGCAAAAGCACCGCGAATTGGAGGCTAAAGCAGTGGCGAGAAGATTACCGAGCGCGTTTGGTGTTGGGCAAGCAGCTGCCAGCTCTGCATCTACGGGCCAGCAGGACCAATCTCGAGACGCAGCAAAAAAACAGAGTGCTCCTCCTCCCAAATCTCCTGTGCCGGAGGACAAGCATATAGCTACGTCTTCGCTTAAAAATACTGAAAAACCATCAAGTTCCAGTAGAGATGCGCCAGGTACTGCAGTTGACAAGACACTAAGTCTTTCAGGCGGAGCTGACAAATCATCACCATCAAGTAAAGCTCCTCCGGCAACGTCTTCATCCTCATCCGACGCAGCACCTTTTCTCCATGCCACTCTAGCCGTCGGCCTAAGCGGCTCCCTGTATCAAGAGTACGGCTTCACTGGATGGGCCCTGAAAAAAGCAGATGAAAATTTGATGAAGCATTTCGGGACCTACTTGAAGGGCAGTGGCGAAGACCTCGACGAGGAAGAAAAAAAGTTTTTGGACGCTTTGGAGTCAACGAAAGCAGATGTTGGAAAGTCTGCTGACGGTAAACCAGTGCATCTAGCAACAGCATTATTAGCTGCGCTGTTTGGCATAGTGCTAGACTGGGGTGACTTTCCTAGGGTGACAGTGCGTCAAGTGCTGAAAACAACGTTGTTGGCGCATAAAGTGGTGGCGTCATCGTCTAGCCCATCAAGCACAACTTCTGAGGTGGGAGGAAAGACCGCGACCCGAGCGTCGAAGGCGAACGTGGTTGAAGGTGACATGTTACTCGTAGTTGGTGGAGATCGTATTATGCAGGTGGCGGCTATGCGAACCCGCGGGGTGCATGACTCGGAATCTTCTCAACACACAGTCAAGAACGCCGATGAAGGGCTGGTCGAGATGCTAAGAAAACGCTTCCAGCGTGGACCATCTTCAGCAGTGAGAGACAAGACTTTCCCCTTCATCTTCTTTCGGAAAAAGTACCACCCGACTATAATGCAGTTGAGATTTCACAGGGTGAAGGACAAGTTGTCGAGTGGTCGTGATGGCGACTCTGCAGGTCCGCTTGGTTTCTCAGCAACCAATCCTCAACCAGCGGACCGTAAGCCTCCTCGCATCACTGCTGATCCCTCCGGTTGGGCCGCCTCTCAGGGTCTGAAAACCGGCGATGACATCTTGATGTTTGGCGAAGATCTTTTGATCACGAGTCCCCATCATCTGGAAAGGTATTTTACACAACTAAAAACGTCTCCGGCGACAGCCTTGAAGAAAGACTTACATCTATTGGTGAGACGAAAGCCACCAGGATTTCCATCAAAGGTCATAGAGCAGGCAACAACTACTGCGGCTGGGAGTGCGCCAGCTGTTCGACTTCCTACAGCATTTGGCGTGGTGAAAACAGCCTCAGCTTCTCCCGTTGCGACAAAGACAGACGAGACGAAGGAAGAAGATCATCATAAGGCGCCGTCTACACCTCCTAAACCAAAAGAGGAAAAGAAGGAGCCCACACCTGAGAAGAAGGAACCGGAGAAGAAGGAACCTGAGAAGAAGGCTCCAACACCTCCTCCTCCTCCTCCTCCTGCGGCAGATGTCTCGTCCAAAAGCAAAACTGAGGAATCTAGTACAATTGAAAAAGCAGAAGAAGCTCATTCTCCCGCAGTAGACGGTGAGGTCGTTCCGTCCGAAATCCCACCCGTCCAGCCGCCTCCTTCCTACTTACCAGCACAGTTTGCTAGTCTGCTTGCTGCGAAGAATTGGCCAGATTTCGGTTTTCTTGGGTGGTTACAAAAAGCCTTAGACGGGAAGCGAGAGAAAGGGTTGCTGGACAGGAAGGCCCAACATAGTGGGAGTTCTGTACTCAAAGCGTTGTTTGGCTTCGAACTGGATTGGAGCGCGTATCCCAAGGTTGTGGTGAAGGAGGTTATGGAGCAGGACAATGTTCTTTCGAATTGAAGGAATTCCAATTCAGCTCTTCCTAACTTCTGATTGTAGTGATTTCTCCTTATCCTTTCATGGCTAATTAAGTATACTCTTGTACTTCTGATTGTGATTTCTCCTTATCCTTTCATGGTTCCTTCCACCGGGAGTCTTCTTCTAATCCCTTCCATAAAGAGGTCTCACCTGGTGTACCATCCAGAGCGATCAAAGCGCGAATAGCCATAGGAGACGCTTTAGTCCTAGTAGCGGGACAAAAGTTGACTTCAATAGAAAAAGCGTGGTCCAAAGTCTCACAGCACCAACACAAGGATAAGCATCATCCAGATGACGGCGTCGTAGAGGTCATTCGCCAGTACTTCGAGAACAAAAGCATCGATCCTGTGAGACAGCCTTGCAACTTCGTTTTTTTCAGGAAGAAGTATCAAAAAACCTTGCTGCAAGTGAGATTTCAAAGACCCGACGAGGACTCCTCAAGCGCTTGGTCACCGAGATCGAAAAACTTGGGGATTGCCACTGCGGATGCGGCTAAAATAACGAAATTGCAACCAGAAGGATGGGCAGAATCTGTAGGTTTGGAAGCTGGAGACACATTCGTAACCAGTAACGCTGGCCATTTTCTGTTAAAGGAGCCTCAGCGCGTAGGCAAATACTACATGCCACCGGGATTCGATCAGTTTTTAAAAAGGATGGTATCGGATGTATACATTGTTGACGGGGAAGATGGACCACATCATGGTGGGAAGAGGAAGAAAGTCAAGGTTCAGACCATCGACCTTTTGTTTCGAAGAAAAACAGGGTTTCCGGACGAACTGTTGCAGAAAATGGCTAGTGAAATGACAGCCTCAAGGCCCTTGCCAGGTGCATGGAAAAAACTAGTGCAGCCACCACCCAAGAAAGAAGATTGGGTCCGCGATATAAAACCAAAGCCAGCACCTCCGCCGCCGCCGCCACCACCTTCGCCGCCGCCACATGTGGTGGAGGAAAAGGACCACTCAGAATCTCCATCGTCTGACGAGGATGAAGGCTCCTCAGAGGAAGACTTCTTAGGAGATGGCGAAACCTTTCGAACTGCATGCAATATGGACTCCGCAGAAACCAAAGAGCAGATCAGAGAACGTGCAATTGCTGTGAAAACTGGGCTTAGAAGTCGACAACCCTTGATGGGAGCTGAACGCACTCGACAAAAGATGACCAGAAAACAACGACTTTATCTGGAAAGGACAGAAAGATTCTCGTATCTTCTGTCTACTGCTTCTGTGACGACATCTTCGTCTGGTGCTGCAGCCGTTGTCGTAGGAATGAAGGATCAGCAGCAGAGTGTTGGTTCTTCATCGAAAGTACTACCACAGCTACAGGAGGATCCGTTACACCTGGATTCCGAGGGTCGGATGGTGCAGCCACCACCGGCAAACCCAGAGCCAGTCACGGTTTTGCCACATCTGCTAGCTGAGGACATGTTTTTTGTCCGTTTTCTACTATTGTGGATAGAACTCTGCGATCAGATTGTTGCCTCGGATCTAGCGGCCTGTCGTTCTGGGTTCGATTTCTTGATGTTTGCTGCTGCGGGCGGGGGACGAGATATTAGTAGTAGTAGTACAAGTAGAAGTACAACTCGAGGAGTCGGAGAGCAGACTGAGTACTTCTATCGAACAAGTGATGTAGATGATGAAACTATGCAGCGGCAGACAATAGCATCTGCAACTAGTACTAGAAACACAGCTACTAGCCTTAGTGATCGAGATCGTCAGACGAGACAAACTCGTCTTGAAGAGGCTTTTGAAGAACAGCATGCTGAGGGCGAGGAGGAAGACACCGATAAAGCGACTAGCCTTCAAAAGCATCTTACAGCTCTCGCCGTAGTCCGCCATGTGGTGCTTTTCAAAGCTATCCGGTTAAAAAAAATCCGAGACCAATATCGGGCGACCCTGACACCGCAAGCTTGGCATAAGATCGCTTTCGATTTTCAGCTCTTTGATGAGGATACGAGCTTCAGGGGGGCTGGTAGCGGCATTCTTGGAGAAGATGTCGTAGGGACTCTCTTAGCCAATCTAGGTGCTGGAGTTGTGGGAACAACAACTAGTACACTCAACGTAGCTGCAGGTGGTGGAGCGGAGGAAGAAAAAGGTGGCGAAGAGACTTCTATTTTTGGCAATGGTTTTGGTAATATCTTCGGAGCAGCGACTGGCAATACAACTGGTGACCACTCTAGAGGGACGAGGACGACTGGAGCGAACGCAAATGCCACTTCCTCTTCTTCTTTTCAAGCATATAGTGGAACGTCTTCAAATAGCACAACAACTAGTATGCCAGGTGGGCTCTTCTTCGACTCTATCGAAACCTTACTCGCGCGGACCCAAAAACGCGTCAGAGCAGCAAGAGAAAGCCACAAAGGCGCAGCTAAGAAGACACGCATCTCCAGTGGTCAAGCTGGCTCTGCTTTAGCGCGTGTCGATGGTAGCGGAAATTTTGTGATTGATTCGGTTCATGAGCAAATCCGCTTAGCAAGGGTACGAAGACGCTGGGGAAGAGCACTCAGGATGACGATATTGACAAACCGGGCAATAAAAAGGCTGCGTGAGGTCGTGAAGGTCACGGAAGTACAGCGCAGGGGACGACCCGGAACACCAGCTGCTGTCTTTTGCCTAGCTTATGGAAAAAAAAGTGCGGATTTCAGATTGAGGCAATTGTGCTCAGTGTTTATGGCAGTGCGAGACAGGATGCGAGACGAGTTGTTCAAACATCAGCCTGGTGAGCATGATGTTGGGGAGGACCAACAAGAAGGACAACATCAAGCAAAGTATGACGAGCAGTACCGTCGGGAGCTGGCTTCTGTTCTACGAGTAAGACTAGATTTGATTGAAGAATTTTTGGCACCGAGAAAAGCACTGGAATTTCTTTCTTCAACTTCAAAGCAGGTGGACAACATGTTTGTTGGTCTCAAGCCAGACGTCGTCTTCCTCCCATGACAAACACCATCACGACCGAGAAGAGTATCTACATAGAGAAATGCAGATGCGACGTGGCGAAGTGCTTGCGAACTTACGAGCGTTGTTTCCGATGGTGACTAACTGGACATCTAGCAGTGCATCTCCATCTTCTTCGAGAAGTGCAAGAGATGATGATGATAACTTTCACCGAGCAGACGGAGCTGGACCTGAAGGAGGTCTTCGAAATCGCCCAGGAGACCCGCTATCTAGAATTGTCCAGCTACCAGGCAGAGCTCAAAGGGAGAAAGAATTAGCTACACAAGTGGCCACAAGTAAAGCGCGTGCTTTAGAGGAGGAATTGGTTGCGGATGGCGAGGACGATGACGGATTTTCCAGTACTAGGCCGCGTGCTTTAGTGGAAGAAGAGCATAGGAAACGTTTGAGATTTGCAACGATTTTTCTCTTGGATCATGATCATGAAGATGAGCAAGAACGTCAAGAAAATCATGGTCATCTTCTGACCGGAGGACAACTTGCCTACAAGGAAATCAGCTAACTCCTTCATGAATCTTCCCTCAACTCCTTACTCACCGTGATACACGCCTCAGAGGCAAAAGACCGGTTGCAACAGCATGTATGGTCTGCGGCTGAAAAGAACTTGGAAGCTTCTAGGGTACGCCAACGAGAACGTGAGCTACTGCGCCAATCTGTTAAAGCCGATGAAAGAAACCGTTTCGCAGAGGATGAGTTATTGAGACGGATGCTTCATACTGAGAACAGACAGGAACATATTCTTGCTGGAGGTGAAGGAGGAGCTAAAACAAGTCGCCTTACATTTCCCGAAAATTACCTGAGTTCTATTGCGCGACCACGCGGACCAGTGGAGTTGTCCCCGTCTCCGTATATTGAACAAGAGTCTCTAGAAGTACCTTTACCACCGCAGCTAACATTTGGCGGAGAGAGGACTTCAACGTCATTTCCTGGACCCGAAACGAGGTCAAGGAGTCGAAGTCCATCACCCCATATTAGGAATCCTAAGCGAAGTCCTCTGCGTGTCCGTCTCGAAGGACCTTCAAGCGAAGCTGGCTTTTTGCAGTCGTTCTTTGCGAGTGGATGGAAGATGGACAAATAAAAGCAGTAGTATGTAAACGCGTACGGTACAGTACATTATGTTTGTCCTACTCCTAGTCGTACCTTCCGGTCCCGTAGTTGTAGATGATGATATTATAACTCGAATTTTTAGGTAAGTTAATAATCAGTACTCGTCTGTTAAACCAACCAAGATTAAAAATAGCATATCCACCATCCAGATTTTTCCTGAATCCTTTTCCTAGATGATAGCTGCAGAAGATGTAGATGATCAATTTAGCCGAGATGATGACGATGTAGAAGATTTTCACGTGCACTTGCATGACGTGAAGCAGAGCAACAAGCCGATATTATTGCTGGTTCACTTTCAAGTTAAGATGAAGACAAAGACTTTTAAAAAATTGTTGGCGTTCTGAGACGAGAAACAAAGAGATTGAAGGCAGGAAGGGTCAAGTGCACGCCAGCTGCAGGTAAGACGAGAGGACAAGTACGAGTTACTAAAGTATTCTCTGTGAAAATTCCCATGTTCTCCGTCATCGTTCCATGCTTTCTATTGAAAGTGTAAATTGCATTGGACTTGGAGCAGCAAGCAACTTCAACGAGGAGATCAAGCACGGGACTCACATGATCAGATCTTGTTGTAACTTCTAGCTCTAGCTAGAGGAGTACCTCTGAAAGCATCTCCAAGAACAAGACGACCCTCCCAAAAAAGGGCAGTTCAATCTGTAGTTCTAAGGATTTTTCCCCCACCGAAACATGAGTAAGTACACGCACTTTGATCGAGACAACCCCGTCTTCGCTTCATCTTCATCCTTGTTTCCTTTTGTCGTCTACTGGACATCCATCAAAAACTCCAAGGACGTTGAAGAAACAAAAGCATTCGCATCCAAGAGGCACGTGAGCCTCTTAATTCGTCTCCCCATGATCATAGGCGGTACATAGCTATGTCCTTCAAGTATGAGGACTTGTTTAGGAGTCGTTGCTACAAGTAGTTCAGCACGTACTAGGCCTCCATTTCCACACTGCAGGACGTCGAGTCCTTTTTACACAGCATTGAGCAGGAGACACAATCTTAGTAACAACGACAAGTGTTACCACTCTAAGAACGCTATCTGCTTGCCCTTGGTAAATAGTAACACCAACAACTACGAAAACGCTTTCATCGTCTCCATAACGACCCTTCTTGCGAGTAGAAAAATGGCAACGGCATCCTCGTCCTCTTCTCGCCCGCCTCGGGTGTTTAGTCAAGAGGGCCGCTTCCTTTTTGACTTGAGCGGATTTCTCATTCTACGACAAGCAACAGAACCGGAGCTGCTGAAGGAGATGAGCAGCTTAGTAGATGCGTGGAAGCTTGACCCGGGGAAAGTCAGACATCGCTATGAAGGAAAAGGGGAGGAAATTTCATCTAGGTAGTCGTAGTATAGAAGTTCGTCTACGTCTAGTTCTTGTAGATACTGGCCCTTTATTCACACGGAGGACTACATTAAAATGAAGAGGTCCTACGAAAACCTCAACGAATTTTTTGACGAGCGGCCTGACGCCATCCCCATCAGTGTCTAATCTTGAGAAGGTCCCAAGCTGAAAAACGCACCCAAGGACTCAGCTTATGCTGGCGACTCCGCAGCAGCGCAACACTCTAGAGGCGACCTTGGTGGGATACTACAAGAGAAGGCGCGCCGTCAAATTTTGACGCGTCCGCAGTTGGTTGCATGTTACGAGGCTTTGCTTGGGAGGGGTTATGGTGTGGTTTTTGTTGTATACTGTGTTGCGACGCTAAAGATTTTGGATAGCGGAATGCCAATTAAGATCATTCTTACAATGTCCATGCGCCGTATTATCACCAGATAACAGCGCTGCGACTCGTCGATCAGCAATGACTGGCATCCTCTGAGTCCTACTGTCGGCATTCTCTCTCTTGGTCTAAAACCAATTCCGCATGGACCGCCAGCCTTTCGTGATTTTGCAGAGCGAAAAAAGTGAAAGCTTCTCGCTGCACGGCGGGCCGGTAGCTGGGAAGGTTCATAGGTATAGTCACTCTCGTCTTCACTTGATGCTGTTAATTACCTTGTCCCAGATGGAGTAGCTATCAGTACCAGTTGCAGTGGCAACAGGGGAACACGCGCGAGCAGTATACTAGTTTGTGAGTCAGTTGCAGAGTGAGAATCTAGTGCAGTTAGTCGCTTAGTAGTCATCTGCAGAGCGAGAATCTAGCGCATTTAGGGAAGAAATCTTGGCGATGATGACCAGCGGCCAAGATGCCAGAATCTTCCTGATGGAAAAGCTCGCGATAGGAAACGAATTCAATTGCTTGGCGATAAAAACTAACTTTCTTGGATATTGACTTGAGTTGGTCAGTTTCAATTTCGAAGCACCAAAATCGATCTTAGGTAGTGTCTTTGAGGTCGAGTTGTTGAGTGTTAGGTCTAAGATTATGCCAATGTGTGGACTTTTCTAGACTTTAGCACCAATATCAATCTTAGAGAGCAGCTTGGGGCTAAGTCCTTGAATGTTAGGCCTGTTAAAAGGAGGACATAGCGTCACTTTTTCTAGACTTTAGAACCAATATCAATCTTAGCTAGTGATCTAAGGCCAAATCGTTGAAGGTTAGGCCTAAGATTGGCATAGAAGGTGAGTTTTTCTAGAGTTCAGCTCCAGTGTCGACCTTTGGTAGTAACTGGAGGCCAAGTTGTTGGATGTTAGACCTAAGATTGGCATAGAAGCTGAGCCTTTCTAGACTTTAGCACCGATATTAGGTAGTAACTGGAGGCCATATTGTTGAATGTTAGGCCTAGGATTAGCATAGAAGGCGAGCCTTTCTAGAGGTTAGCTCCAATGTCGATCTTAGGTAGTAACTGGAGGCCAAATTATTGGACGTTAGACCTAAGACTGGCGTAGGAGGTGAGTTTTTCTAGACTTTAGCACCAGTGTCGATCTTAGGGAGTGTCTTTGGGGTCGAGTTGTTGAGTGTTAGGCCTAAGATTGTGTCAATATGTGGACTCTTCTAGACTTTAGCACCAGTATCAATCTTAGAGGGCAGCTTGGGGCTAAGTCCTTGAATGTTAGGCCTAAAAGGAGGATACAGCATCACTCTTTCTAGACTTTAGAACCAGTATCAATCTTAGCTAGTGATCTAAGGCTAAGTCGTTGAATGTTAGGCCTAAGATTGGGATAGATGGTGAGTTTTTCTAGAGTTTAGCTCCAGCGTCGATCTTTGGTAGTAACTGGAGGCCAAATTGTTGGACGTTAGGCCTAGGATTGGCATAGAAGCTGAGACTTTGGAGAGTTTGGATCCAATACCGATCTTACGTACTAGCTTAAGGCCAACCTGTTGCCATTTGCCTTCAGTTTTCAACTTTTTGGGCATTTGGTGGCAATCCATTTGCTATCTCTTCGCCAGGAAATTAATTTCAATTTTAGGAGATAAAATCAGAATTTTTGTGAAATGGGGTGATTCCTTGTGTGGAATCTAGTGCTGTTTCGCATTAATCAATGAAATTTTCTTGCAAATTTCTCGATGATGATCTATTCGTCCATGCATACTGGATTCGCGAACCACGTGCAGAAGCAGCAAGCATATACTTTAAATCTACCAGCAACAATCTTCACAATCGCCCTACTACATCACAGGCCAGTGCCCGAATTGCAGTACACGTGCATCAATGGGTTCCTCAACAACACTCTACTCGCAGTTAGTGTGGCTTTAGCTGACGCACCTGAAGGTGCTGGAGGCTTTTGCGTCGTACCTGGTTCACATAAGATGAATTTCTCGATGCCGGAGGGATTCGATGACGGTCGAAATGAAGCGTCTTTTCGAGAATGTGTCCGACAACCTGCACTGAAGGCTGGCGATGTGCTGCTTTTTTCAGGAGCAACAGTGCATGGGGCATTGCCATGGAGAGCGGCGCATGAAAGGAGGCAGGCTTTGTACATTATGGTGAGAGATTTTCTAGTATAACGTGCTTAACGACCGCTTGATACGATGATCCGTTTTATTTTACGATCATTTTGTAGTGTATGAACAAGATTCTGGAGATCCTGCTGGCAAGGATCAATGATCATTCCTTGTGTATGACTATTGCGCATCTACTCAAAACCTCTAACTTTGGATTCTCCCCGGCTATCTTTGCTTACGGAAGGATGTACCTAGGCGAAGCTGCTGAAGGAGACACCGCAGCAAAAGCCGAAGAAGGCGCATTGGTATTAGGATCTTGTATTTGTGATGTGGTTTTGTGGATGATATTCTCCAAGTCATAGTAATCGACTACATTGGAGTGAGTTGTCTCAACATGAAAAGTCTCGTCACTACCACGATGAAATAGAGGAAAGCTGGAAAATAAGAAAAAAAAACAGTATGATCAGGGGAAGGGGTTCTTAATTTCCAACAGCCATGAGCTCAGGTGTTGAGGACGAGCCTAAGGCCGAAACCGTGGACACTCCAGAGGACGACCTGAACTTTGTGGACAAGAACAAATAATATATTTATCATCTACTGGTGCCGGGTTACCACTTTATGACTATAGATACTATGTATGATTCCTCCTTCTCAAACAGGGTTTTCGTCCCGCGCCTCTGCGACCATTATGACTCCTCCCTCTCAAACAGGGTTTTCGTCCCGAAAAGACGCCTCAGCGACCATTCGGCCTAGATTTTGAGTCTTTGACTCAGGCAGAGCGTGCAGTCCTGCAACCACCCTATGCTGTTAGGACTGAGCGACCCTGTGTGCAGATCGAAGGGGACGAGGTGAAAGTTACGGTCGAGCAGCGCACTTTAGAGAAAAAACAGCATGATCGCGATGTCTTCGGAACCAAGTGGTTTTAATCCGTCAGAAGTGCTAGCACCATCCATGAGGACGGTGGCATTTTTCACTTCTTGAGCTCCTGAATTGTCAGCATACTCAGAAGTGTTGTACTACAACTACTAGGACATCAGCCGAGAAGACGGTAACAAAAAAATGGTTGTAAAGAATGGTCAGTGAAAAACTTTTTCAATGTCAAGTATGTAGAAGTAGAAAGGCGTTGTCCTTGCTGGTATCGAACATATAGAAGATGATCATGTAGTTAGACGTTTTTCACGTGCAATAGCAATCTACATCGAAGCTTGGTGGGTAGAATCTTCATGCTTTCTATAATCTCCTGTTCAGTTTGAGATCGTTGAGCGTAACTTCCATCTGTCAAACGAATTTTCATCTGTCAATGACGAGAGACGAGTTGTATCGAAGAAATAGACGAGTAGAAACAGCCTATTTGATGTCAAAAGAAGAGACAAAACTTCGTCGAATGTCGTGTTACAGGTCAAGAGCTGGAGGTACTTTGAGAGTAGAGTGAAATCTATCTGTCGTGTTGAAGTTCGTCGTGACGAGGTGTCCTCGTAGTAGAGAGTCGAACGAAGTCTGTCTGTTGAGTGTTGAGGTCGTGGAGACTTCCGATGTAATCGTCTGTTCTAGTGACTTCACGGTGATGAGGTGCTATTGTAGTAACTTTGACGAGACGCGAATTCGTGTGAGAATCTGACTTTGACATGTAGTTGACGTATACTTCTTGTTCTTGCTTTTACACTGCAATCTGTATAATGACCACATTTTCCCTCAAATCAAAAAATCCCCAACAGCACAAGCTTTTAAAAAATAATCCTACCTCCCCGTAGGCATAACCGTTTTCTTATCATCTTCTTTTGATACAGAAAAATAATTAGTGAGACGTAGTATTGATAGCAACTGAGTTGTTGTAAAAAATAGTTCCTTAAAAAAGCTTGTGTTAACACACAGAATAAACTTCTTCCTCCACCATCCCAAGCTCATCAAACTCACAAACCCTCTCCTTTCGATTCATCCAAAAAGAATTAGTGAAGATTCTAAGGATCTTTGTCCACCTTGTCTTCTAATAATTGCATTCTTTCATACTTATTTCCAAGTAGAAGTTCTTACTCTTAATACAGTAGTTCTTCTTGTTTTAACTACAACAAACTTTTTAAGTAGTAGTCTCTGTGCTGGTCTATACTAGTACACTCAACACCTCTCCACAAACAACAAGATGTTGAACTGTGACTTCTTCGCTCGCGATCCGTCGCAAGTGGGAAATGGAGCCTGCACCCAAGAGGGATTCCTCGAGATTCTTCCGAAGCGCTTTTATTGGGTCTCCTTGAGTTCTATGCCTCGGCAGAGCAGTCAATACCATTTCTTCTGCATCGATCACGAATTGGTCTACGAACCCTTCTACCAGGACTTTGGCCCGTTGAATTTATCCTGTACCTACAAGTACAGCCGCCACGTCCAGAACTTGCTGAACGACCCCGCTTTGTCCGGCAAGAAGATCGTGCACTACTGCTCCGCGGACCCGAAAAAGCGAGCAAACGCAGCGTACTTGGCTTGCGCCTTTCAGGTGATGATCTTGCGCAGAGAAGCGGATGTCGCTTACAAGCCGTTCGTCGGTGCGAAGCCAGCTTTCATGCCCTTCCGTGATGCAACAATGAGTGTGTGCACCTACCAAAACACAGTGCTGGACTGCGTCAGAGGATTAGAATACGGCATGCGAATCAAGTGGTTTGACCCGGGTACTTCCACTATACTTGTTGATCTTGATTTCGAACTTCGAAGATCCGTAATGAATAAAACATGATCTTCATGATCTACTATTGTTCCCACCCCAACTCCATCATTTTGTTACACTTAAGACAAGGACGACAGCACAACAAGGTATTTCTGAAATAACCATGTTATTCGTATGATCCATCTCTATACGATCTTCGACGGACGAGTCCAATGAAATGAACCACACAGCAACCTTCGACGTCCAAGCTTACGACTTCTATGAGAAAGTCGAGCATGGTGATATTAGCTGGGTGATCCCGGACAAGTTCTTGGCTTTCAGCGGCCCTTCCAACTCCCCGGTGGACGGCAATGGTTATCCAACTTTCACCCCTGAAGACTACGTGCCCGTCTTCAAGGCTGCCAATGTCGCTTTGGTCGTCCGTCTCAACAAAAAGCAGTACGACCGCCGCCGATTCCTCGATAACGGCCTCAAACACGCAGACCTGTTCTTCATCGATGGTTCCTGCCCACCGAGAGACATCATCATCAAGTTCCTCCAGATGGTCGAGGCCGAACCCAACGCAGTCGCTGTGCACTGCAAGGCTGGTCTTGGGCGAACGGGAACCTTGATCGGTCTCTACGCGCAGAAGCATTACCAATTCCCTGGTCGTGCTTACATTGGCTGGAACCGTATCTGCAGACCGGGTGCGATCTTGGGACCTCAGCAACAGTTTCTGGTTGACATGGAGCGTGAGATGTTCCAGGTTGGTGAAATTGAACGTGCGAACTTGCGAAAACACAACTCTCTGAACGCAGGAGTGTTCAACGGCATTCAAGGAGCATTGACGAATGTTACGGCAAGAGATGAGAGACTAACTTTAACTACTTAGAAGCTACTTAGAAGAGAGCTGCTTCATTTACAACACTCTTGTTCTAATAATCGCGCCGCCAACGGCAACGGAAGTAATGAAGAGAGCTTTACTTACTTACAACAAACAACAACTTCATCCTTCAGTCGTCCTCTGATAATTTAAATTTTACAAACACTTCTTAGTTACTTTTGCATTTTGAGATTGAGATGTAAGATTCCCATTCCTAGAAGATACGACCTGCTTGTATCATCTTCCATCCGCCCATCCCTCACCCTCCTCCTCTTCTAATAATCGCGCCGCCAACGGCAACGGAAGTAATGCCAACAACCGCATCCCCGGTCGCGAACTAACCGAAGAGGAAAAGCGTGAGGACGTTGGTCAGGGTGATCGTCTCGTTGGCGCTCGCTTGAGCAACCAACTCTCGAACCGTGGTTCCACGTCTGGGTTCTTTGGTCTAGCAAACAAATTTGGCGGTGGTTCGTCTACGCCTATGAAACCCAGCGTCCAGATCCGTGGTATGTTCGGTCCTCAACCCCTCTTTCCCGGAGCTGCTGCTGCAGTGGGAGGAAACTAGGTACTTAGACTTTTCATCTTCGACCTGCAATTCTACAGGTTCTTGTAGTCCTGAGTGACATGATTCTGTGCGAAGATTTTTACTGCCATGATGCTATATCCCAAAAATTTCGTAGTTTCTCCTCTTTCTTCATTCTCTCATGTGGTCATCATTAACATCAACATCAACCTCTTTTCAGGTACGCTCTGCAGTCTCCGAGCAGTTCCTAGGTGAGACGAACAACAACACCTACGCCATTGCCATCGCGCTGTGGAAACGACACGCACTTTGACGACCCTTAAATAGTTATAGATTTAATGATTACCAATGATATGATTTCTTATTCGAGGAGATTTAGCAGCTCTAGTAAGTTGTTACTACTCCGGAGACAGGAGAGAAAGATGATTCCAATAATTATCGCTTCTCTTCTTTCACTTTCTCTTAGTACTACTACTAGTAGCTGCTTACTTCTAGAACGAATCTACTTTAAGTAGTTGAATAGCAAATTAGAAGATGCAAACTAAATAGGTTGGATGAATGATCACTATGTATAATGATACAACTAGAATCAGATTGATTCATATAATTACACACATAAAGAGCCATCCAATGGTCATCATACTATCATGTTGATATGAACTATAATCTAAGAAGATTGAATTCTTGTAGTTTTAATTGGCTATCAAATACGATTTCAATATGGAAAAATGATCTACGTCGCGTATCAACGATCTATCCTGTTGTTGATGACGACAAAGAATTAAGAATCATTAGCTGCATACATAGTTATTAATGATAATGGTATCTTTGAATTGAATTTGAATTGAACAAATATGTAGTTCAACAAATCATTGAAAAGAAACAACTCCACCCCAATCCCCCCAAAATAAAAATAATCAGTCGTCTTGCCGGACCAACATTGTACTAGTTCATGCCGCAACATAGTAACGCATAAGAACCATAGCGCTTAACTATACAACTAGTCAACGCTAACAAACGCGACTGAACAGATGACGCAAGAGAATAGAAATTTAGCTTAAGGAGCGCACGTTACTAGAAAGAGCACTGAAAAAATTAAGGATATTGCAACGGCGCCGCCAACATCGATCATGGGGGAGAATCGATATAGGTGGTCCAATGGGTATTTTTAACTAAACAGGGTAAGACCTGCTGCACCAGGAGCGATAATAGAAAGAGCGAGATCCCCATCTCGTCGATCTTTCTACCTATCTGGAAGACCCCAAGGAAAAGCAGGAGAAGTAGCGGTCGTAGATAGAATTACCAAGAAAGAAGTAGGGGAGGTGTGTCGAGATGAGTATCTATTACATAATTAGTGATAATTTCGCGAAGTGAATTCTGAATTCATTTACAGACGAGGAGCTTATTCGACTACACATTCAAATTTCTATTTTCCGTTTGATAAAAGAGGAGGAGAAGAAGAATTTCGAATCTGTGAGAAGGAGACGGTATTTGGAAGTAGATAATGCTCCTTCTCATCGTCCCAACGTAATTATTTGTGAACATCATGGATGAATCAGTTCTATGGTGTAGTCTACTCGTTGTAGTTGACTTCTACTTCTTACCTAACGAAAGGTAGAAGTAGAAGTCAACTACAACGAGTAGTTGACTTCTACTCGTTGTAGTTGACCTACTTCTGGTGTCTGTGTTTACCTTAGACTTGGTATTAGTATCTATTCTTCAAAGAAGTCACCCTCTCTTCAACAACAAGAATCTACTCTTCAACAAGGTGGAGTGTGATCGTCATGCCTCTGCACCACGGGCTAAAAAAAGCAGAAAAAACCAGTATTGGATTATCAGCTGGAATGACATTGACCATAAGATGAATGAACAACCACATTGTAGATAGCTTCATAGCTAAGTCCCAGGAGTTTAATACTAATTTTTAGTCTTCTCCCTACTTCTGCCGGACAAGAGTTGTAGATACTACCTAGAAGTCTACTTAGTACAACTACTTAGTACAACATTGATGATCAAATAATTGGGATTCGAATTGTTCTCTAAAGATAACGTTGTAGACTTGGAATCATTTTCAATAGAAGTTGCAAGCTTGATATGGACGGATTAGGACTACATGCAAAATAATCAAGTTCTTTGGCTCTATGACTGAGACCAGTCTGTTGTCTTACAACATTTTCCCTGTCAACATATTGACCTCATAAAAGCCGAAAAACATGTAGTTTTCCCTTGGTGGAGGCGAACACGTCATGGTGGTGGCGTTTATGGCAGCATGCCAGAGTGTTCCTCAAATCGATGAAAGCATGCTGAGTGTTACATGCTCACTCCCATGTTGAACCACGACCTACCAGTTTGCGAAAAAACTGAAAGAGAAAATGCCACTGTGGAAAAAACAAGCAAATGGAAAAAAACGGAGTCTTTTCTGATTGAAAAAATGCTACACTGGTACAACTGGTGAAATGTTCGACAAGATAAAGAACATGTAACGGGTGGTGGTCCAGCGCGATTGAGTCCGCACCAGGCGTCGTTTACGTAGAACCGACGATGCGGTGGGGCCACTGCCCATTCGCCAGCGCCGTCGCGCTGAGTCGATGAACAACGAAGATAGAATAGGGCCGACCACGCATGCACGAAAATGTTGATCTTGCGAACTCCGCTTGTCGCGCTATTCGTAGTCACCGTTGCGACCTTCGTCGGCGCCCGGAAACGAATACGGCGACGGATAGACGATGTTCCACCGACTGGCATCAACAGGATCCGAAGCCCAGTTCATGGGCAAGCAAGTCATCCCGGTGTCATTGACGGCAGGAAAACCACTGGTCAGGTGCAGGATCTCCGCGTGTTGGACGAAGTACCAGACGTCCAACCTATGAAGCGTTCCGAGAAGAGGAGACGACGACGAAGAGGCAGAGGGGGGAAGAGGGCGCGAAGAAGGAAGAGGTGGTCTTCTAGTAATAGGAGATCATTAGGAAGACTCAACAATGCAGCATCGTCTCTCCTCGAGCTCCAAAAACAAGGCTTCGTCGCTCTCGCGGCAGCCTATTGCGGTGTCGGGAAGCTGAACAAGCGAACGGAAAGCATCCTCTTGAACGCCTTAGGAGAAGCAACGAGGGAAGAACAGGTGCTGTTTGTTTGATTTGACTAGTAGGTGCATCATGATTTTGATTATTACTGTTTTGAATAATTATCATGAAGATTCTTGATTGAACTTGAAGTAGAGGTGGAACTCCTGAAACGTATTGTTCACAGTAAACTCCTGAAACGCTAAGTAGAGGTGGAACTCCTGAAACGCTATTTAAGTGAATTGCTTCTTTAAAATTTTACGTACTCAAAAAAAAAAGTACTCATTGTTCAGGCAATCGGTCTTCAGCTATGCTTGCAACAACGAGTTCGGCCGGAATTCGTTTCCACACTTCTGCGTAAAGGCTGCGCTTTCCGTCGCGTTGAAGAGGTGGCGCGGTCTACGCGTGCAGCAGCCGTTGACGAGGACGGAAAGAACACACACCGCAATACGGGAGCTACTTCGTCTATCAAAAAAGGAGGGCTGGAGGGTAGCAAAATGCTGAGACGAGTAGAAGATCCTTCTGCCTCCTCCAAGAAGAGGAAAACGTCAACCACGACAAAAGCAGACATTATTAGCGTAGTGGACGAGGTGGAGCAGGACAATTTGGCGAAAGAAATAGTGATCCACGACGTTTTTCATGATACGGTTTTTGAATACTTGCACTTCCGCACAAGTGCAACGACAAGCAACAGCAAGGGAGGAAAAGACGAGCACCAGGGTATCCTTTCAAGAATTCTGATTTTTTAATATAAGTACCTTGTAATTCTTGTTGACATTGCTGTATCTATTCTTGTTGTTGCATGGTGTTTACACGACTTAGAGTCAGCAGATGACGCGTGAAAAAAAAACAGATGACCGACCACCACTACCAATGACAACAGGCACCCAGCAGCAGCACCTCCCGTCAATCAAGCCTCTGAGAATCGAGTTGCGACGGATTGGAGGCTATTTGCGTATTTTCTCCAGTTTCCTTGGCAAAGGCCGTTGCAGGCGGAATTGCCAGCGAAAAAACAACATCTGGGATCTTCGAGAGTACCTGTGGGACACACAGAGAAGCGTTGCTGTTTCATCGTCGAAAAATAGCCGCATCTTGCTCTTAGCACCACAGCGAATAAAGAATTTATTGAAGCTCTTTTCGCACTACGGCTTCGCTCGTGACGTAGACGCTTTCGCGCACCAGGCTTTGGTGTACCAGGGGGTGTTCTTCGTGTGGCTCTCGTTGATGTTGGTGCTGAACCGGAGAAGGTTGTATCATCTTCAGCAACCTCCAGTAGAAAAATCTTTGTCATCTTCTTCATCGTTGGAGAGGACTGAGACAGGAGCACAAGGAATAAAGGAACACGAAGATGACCAAGTGAACAAGAACTTTCGCCATCTCTCGGTGCTAGGAATACCAGAGGGGCAGCCATCGAACAGTAGGCTGCAAATAGACGACGCTGCCCAGAATGGAGGTGGAAGTTACGCTGACCCAGATTCTGTACGGCAAACACTGCTGAAATTAATACGAGCTGCGGAGAGGGACCAAATAGGTGATAGCGGAGATGAAGATGAGAGACCAGCACAACTAGATGACAATGACCGACCGCCTACAAGAACTACCTTCCCATCTTCTGCTTTAGAAGACCGAAAAAAAGACCGAAAAGAAGATTGTGTTTTGGAAAACAACGATGCCGCGAAGCCATTTTTGCTGTTCGAAGGACAGCATAGAATAGATCACGCGGACAGTGATCTCCTCGTTGAAGGGGAACATGATTCTAGTCCTTCGATTGCCAACGAAAATATGCATCTTGAAAAAGAACTGGAGACAAGACCACCACCACACCCAGAACCAGAGGCTGAAGTTGTCCCAGAGGAAGCAGTGCCTGAATTATTAACAGAACTTGGTCTAGTATCAACAAGTGTGACGACAGGAGAGGCGCCAGTTGTTGAATCATCACCAGAAGACTCCAATGGGGCGGCTGGTCCTGCTGGATTACGAGACCTAGAGAAAACTACTAAAATGAAGATAAACGCCTTGTATCCAGCAGCTGGTTGTACCTCGATGGCTAGTAAGGAGACGACGGCAAGCAGCACGTGCAGCGGATCGTATTTTATGACCAGATTAAGGATATGAGACAAAAGCGTGCTGTTGCGTCTTGCCGATATGCGTTTCCATTGATTCTTGCGTTTAAAGGAAAGGAAGAACGAGCACCAACACTAGGACAAGCCATATTCATCTTCAATAGAATGATCACATTCATCTAATCCCAATGAGCTACATTGTCACGCCGATCGCAGTCCAGAGAACGGTCCAGAGAACGAGCCTCCTGAGATCAGCCATCCAATGGTCGAGACTCCGCCTAGCGAGGACTTCATTACAGTAGCGAGCTCAAGAGGACGTAAAACCGAGTACAGGGTCCATAGTTCTAAGAACAGTATCAAAATCATGTCGTCGTCTAGGATTTCTTCAACAGGCGGATTATCAGCGCATCATGGGCAGGGTGGCGTTTTGTATAACGCCTACACCGGAGGCACGACATCAACTAGCGGATCAACTACATTCGCGCTGCAGGAGCACCAGAGAGCAGCTTCAAGTGCAGCATACCCAAGTGCTTCGTCCCTTTTACCAATGGAGGTGTCTGTCGACGCAGCTCCAACTCGTCTTGCGACTTTTGTCACGAAAGAAATCACCTACAGCACATCAGCAGAAAATACCAAGAAAATTGTACGCAGCACTAAAAATGTGGTCACATCTTCGTCGACAGGAGAGCTACAAGAAGAAGGAGATGATACGGAAGTACAAGTTGGCTCAAGTACTAGAACGGTTGAGCCATCTGGATGTCCTCCTACAGTTGTAACTACCCAGGAGGAGGTCCTGAACGGCAAACTACAGCCGTCAACATCTTCTTCTTCTTCGAAAGCTACCTCATCAAGTTCATCTTCTTCAGCGAAACCACCTGGTGCCACGAAAACGAAGTCCTACACAACGGTGATCGAGAACTACGCTGACTCGTTTGTCCTCCGTGAGGAGGACGAGGGCGATAGAGGAAAAGAAAACATTTCAGGAGCGATGAAGAACGTCTCGTCTGGTGCGAAGAAAACTGCGAAGACAACTAAGAATAGTACGGATTTTTATCAGACGAGGGCGGCAAAGAAAACGTCTCAGCATACCACATCAGACGCTGATCCATTCCGCATGTTCCCTCGAGGTGTCGAAAGAGATGGAGATGATCACGACCTCCGTGAACAAGATGATGATTATCCACATCATCAACCACTACATCATGCTGAGGAAGAGGATGACGTTGACGATGACGAAGATGCCCACAGGAGTGACCACCACATAATCGACGAAACAACCGGAATGATGTTCGTCGATCAGCCACCCCCGGCGATGAATGTTTCTATCAGGGAGTTGAGTTTCGCTACGCACGAAGATGCGGACTGCCCGGTGCACGTGTTATCTACTGAGCTTTTTTCTCCAGGAACGGGAGAGTCCCCCATTGAGGAAGACGTCGTTGCAGATGATATCATCGGGGAGAATTCTACTAGTAGTAGTGAAGGACAACGACATCTACCTGTACTACAACCTTGTTCAGATGACCAAAAAGCAGGAGGAGGTCTGTCACCAGATTCCTCCTTGCTCTTAGCGTCGTGGAATGGAGACGTCAATCAAGAGGTAGGTGGAATAGGAGTTACAACAGGAACATCTTCATCATCTTCTTCAAGCAATAGAGGTTTATCTCCCTACCATCTTCTCAAGACACACCAGCAAGATAATGATGAGTTTGGTGGACAAGGTGCAAGAGTTGTACTAGGAAGGATAATAGATGGGCCTATAACTTTAACTACTCCTCCTAAAAATAGTGGCAGCCGAATGCAGTTAGAAGTCTCTCGTTTCAATCGGCTTGGGGAAGACGTCCTGTGTGCACGTGCCATGAAATTTCGGAGGACGAGTAGGAGAAGAAATGCTAAGAAGATGACAACTTCTAAGACGCAGAGTATGGAACCACCACGACAAGCACAAGCTCATGATCTTGATAACGTCGACATCTCTCCCTCAGAACTGAACGCTTTGGCTGGTGCGGTGCTGATTCGGTTGTCTCCCTCTGTGCTAGTGGCCTTAGTGAACGCTCCAGACGAGGAAGCATGGTTCGGTTCTGCGTTTCCCTATGCGGATGCGGATGCACTGGCGGATTCGTTGCATAGGAACATCAAGCAGTTAGATGATTTCGTGTATTTTTGGCGAGGTCGTGGAGGTGGTGCTTCTACAACATTGTCCTCGAGCAGCTGCAATGACGGTTCTTGGTCCGGTACTGCAACGGGAGGAGCATCTCTTCCTCTTCTTGGCGAAGCAGCTGAGCATGAACCTACACCTAGGCTTCAACCTCTGCTACTTTCATCATCATCATCATCCACTAGTACTTCATCTGAGCAAGAACTAGACCACAGCCGCTCTGTTGATTGTGATTTTTTATTTGATGACCAAAAGACAGCGACAGGGACAGCCATGTTGATGAGCGGTGCGACTCCTCCCTGGGAACAACATCATGTGGTCCAACCATCATCAACGTCGTCACTCGCAGCTCACGACGAATACTACAAAGCACTGACCAGTGGCTTCGTAAAGAGCAGCACCAAATCTGATTCGTCTTCATCCAGTAGCGTTGGGCAAAAGGAAAGGAAGAGGAGAGCAGGTTGTCTTGCTAGGAAGCGTAGGGTAGAAGAGGATGTGCTAGAGGTGTTGGCGCAAATGGAAGACGATCATACGCATGTCCATGAGCGGTGGGAAAGTGAGGATAGTACTACACGAGTGTCTGTGCAAGTCAGCAGCTGCACACCGAACAAATTAGGCTCCTCATGTACGAGACACACCAAGACCACGAAGGAGAAGGGAATAGATGAACGAAGTACTGAGCATGCAAGACGTGAATCAGGTGGCGGGTTCATGACTGAGAGAATTAACCTCGGACTCCAACATGACAGTATGGACGAACAAGACTTCTCTTCCCGCTCAGCGTATCTACAAGAAGGACAAGGACCTCAAACTCAAGCACAAAAGACCTCTGGCAAAGCCAGGTTCCTGATCGCGCGACACTGCGTGTACGGCTTCTTCAATCTCCACACTTCTATTGCAGATCATATCTTCTTTGGCTGGCGCAGAGATGATGCGCAGTTTGGAAGTAGCAGTAGTAGTACTAGAGAATCTTCTACTTCTGCTACTTCTATTAAGGCTCAGCTTTCAATGGTCATTGGGATTGGTCACTGAGATCGAAGAGGCGAGCCCTTGAGAGAACAGGGGAAAACGAAGGGAAAGGGGAGAGCTTTGAAGGGGGGCCCCTTCCGTTCAGAGTCAGTGACCAATGAGTGCTGAGCTTTAATTCTAGTATTGATCCATCACCAAATAGCACAACACCCTCTTCACCTCGCTTCCGTACCTTCTTGCGCGATCTCGAAACTCTCCTTCGTGTCGTTTCCCTACCACTAGCAGTCCTGTGGCTCCATCTCACAGGACGTGCCTTAGAGATAGGTCTTCTCACTCAATGCTCTTTGCTTCTGGCAGTGAGCAACGGCATCTTTTTAAGGGTAGGTTAAAGGTGCTTTTCTTACCGCTTTTTATGCCTCTCCTAAGGGAGAAAGGCATAACAAGCGGGGTAAGCGAGCACCAAAAACCTACCTCTAATCTTTGCGTGGAGCTTATGTAAATTGCTGTTAGAAGAGGATGCTGGTGTCGGTTTCGGGGTACAAGAAGACAGAATAGAAGACAGTATAGAAGGCGCTACGAACGACAACAGCAGAAGCGGCAAGAAGCATGATAAAGAAAAGCGCATAGTCGTGTTGGACTGGAACACACTTTTCGGAACTGGAGGTCATCCGACTTCAGCTCTGAAGAACAGTGGAGGCAATGATTTGAGGAGCTCACCTGCTTCGTCGACAACGTCAACATCTTCAACATCAATACGATCACCACCACGACAAGCCTCAGGGTCAACATCTCTGCTTCCTGGTGGTCCAACTGGTTCGGAGTATGAGCGATGTTGGATCAATAGTCTCGTTTTAAGCGGGATTTGTGCTCTCTTTCCTTCTATTGCCCGTTCCTGTGGTATTCTTGCGCCTTTGTTCTACGAAAGCACTTTTGCGACTACGGAGAGGCTACTTGGTGGCACGACAGCCACAATAGGTGGAACATCTTTTGGAGGCCACAATCACCGGGGCTTACTCCTCAACAACGCTGATAGTGACTTCCACGTACTATCATACGATGTTGGACGCGTTATCTTCCGACGACTCGTAGCAATTATAGCGGAGATGATTGTTTTCGCGGTTCTTCTTGATAGGTTCCACCAGTTGTACCAACTAGTGTACGGTTGCTATTTCGTACTGCGGTATGCTCCGACTGCAGGAGCTGGTGCAGCTGGTTGGGAGGAGCACACCTCTCAGACGGAAAGTGAAATAGAAGAAGACGTTGACGAAATAGATCATGAAGAGGAAGATATTACAGGAGCTACATCAACTGGCAGCAGTGGTGGCACTAGTAGTAGTGGAAGTATACAGGAGAACCACGAGCAGGAACAGAAAACAACAACCCCCCGACAACGTACGACAGCTGAAAAGCGCGAGAACCGTGACTGCGAAGAGGCAATAGCGCGTCGTGTGGTTCGGTACTTGCGGTGGGAGGTTTTTGGCGTCCGCAGAATCTTCAATGTCTTCCTCCTCTACTACTTCTGGCTAGTACTGGTTGCCTTCGTGTACATAACAAGTATGGCAGATTGGAGAGGATTTCCTGTGATACATCGTCTTCTTGTAGGTGGCCGTCGGGTGAACCGCGGGCGCAGGAGCACGTCAGGTAAGAATAGAAGTTCATCTTCATCTGGTGGCAGAACATCTTCAAAATCAAAAAAAGATCTTCGTCTTTCTGGACCAGCCACGACAGAAGCGCTATTCACACCCGGACGAGGGCCGCACTCGATGAGGTTACCTGTGGGGCTACCAGCAGCTTCTTTTTTGGAACAGGATGCTCATGGTGGTGTAGGTGTGGGTGTCGTAGGACACCACGTACTTGGAGGGGACGATCAGGTCTTGTTCGACGAAGAACAGATCATGGAGGAAAAGATGAACTTTAGAGAAGCACAGAGCAGACGGAGACCTCCAACATCTTCAAGTAGAACAAGAGGCGAAGTGAAACGTCCTAGGCGGTTCAGACGTAGAACAGAACAAGGGGGACAGCGACAGGAGGATGCAGAAATAGAAGAAGAACAAGACAAACAGAGGACAGACGACGGAGAAGTTGAACAAATAGTAGTCACAGTGGATGACACGAGTTATGTGATCACATCGCATGATCCTTCCGTGACCAATCCGTTTCAAGCAGGTAGCACGAGCGCAAATGCCGCAGGCGGAATGTCCCGAGCACATCGACTGAAAACCAGACACCTCCTAGATGAAGAGCGATCCCTAAAGAGACAGCTGCTGGAGAAAAACCAACATCAAGGTTCATCGCAGCAAGTAGGCGGTTTTTTCCCGTTCGGACAGCACAACATTCCGTTTGGATCGTCGCTGCTCAGCTTCGGAGAGGGAAGGGTACTATTCACGCTACAGTTTTTAGGATCAAATATAATTTTGCACGTCTGGACAAATCCATGTAAGTACAACTATGTAGTGTTACATCTCTTTTTCTAATCAACCTTCTACCCCTTGACATGATCATCAAAACCTATCTACTACGTAGAAGTAAACCTCTCAATCTAGTACTATCATCATCATCATCATCATCAATAATCTCATGAAACCCACTACCCTACACTCGTCAAAAAACAGTGGAAGTGCTTCGTCGCTCTCATCGGCTACCTGGTGATGTCACTCGCTGGTCCGATCTATGTGGCAGCTGGGCAATTGGATCGCGAAGGCAAGATGCTCGAAACAATGTTGGACTCCAGTTTCATGATCCTCACGGTGTCTTTCCTAGGAACGACGTGGGGCGTCGCGGAACTCGCAGTGCAGCAGTTGCATGGAGGGCATAGGTGAGAACGATGCTTGCCTTATAAATTTTAGATCTTTTGGCATGTTTGTTGGATTTATATTCTTTGCAGAGACTGAGGACTCAGATAGAGATACTCACCAGCACGATTGAACAGTTTAGCATAGTTTCGCTTAATATCGAAAGCCAAAGCAAATTAGAGGATAGTTTCAAATTTAGCGAGAAGTGGTTGTAAAGATCAAAAAAGCTGAAGACAAAGATACAGTAGATTGAAGAGACATCCAAGATGATAGGTGGTGTATTTAGTCGAATGCCGATATTAGCATTTAATATGTGGAAAGATTCTACACTGAGGGTCGTGATGTAGTTAGACGCTGTCCCAGTGTCAGAACCAGAAGTGACTGGAAAGATACAACGCTCATAGAAGTAGGCATAAAGAACAAGAACAGGTAAGAACATGTCAACATTTCTAGTACAGTCATTTTCACAACAAGGAAACTTTACACGACTGAGCCAGCGAACGCACTTCTTCCACGTGCCGCTTCTTCCACGTGCCGCTTCTTCCACGTGCCGCACTTGATCTTTCGCGATAAACCAGACTGCTTGATATTTCCAATCATCATAATATAATGTCATCAACCAATACCGAGGAGGATCATCATAGTTTAGAGATCCGTTCAGTTCCCGCTCAATTAGATCCTGCAGAAAGGCGCTCGGTTGTTAAGATCCTAAGATCCAACGCGGTTGAAGATCCACTGGCTGTCCTCTCAGAGATCTCTCTAAAAAGGTCCTCTCAGAGATCCTCCTGATTGTTCGTTCTTGATCTCACATGGAAGACGCAACGACTCCCCTTCTAATCTACTCCACTCGGCCTTCCATCAATGAAAACCCCACAGGCGACGTGGAGGACATTAAGTAATATATAGCGCTTATTCATTACTGAATCAGGTTGTGGACGCTTAACATTGAACTGCGACTGTACTTACTTCAAAGATTCAGTTTGTGTTTCGAACTGCTCTTTTTGGAGTTTTATTTCACAACTAACTTCATTTCCACCACCAGAACAAGTACATCAGAAAAATGACGACAAAACGAGAATTGAAACGACGGAAGGTCGCGGCCTCTCAGCAGGCTGCTTCACCCTCAACCGAAGCTTCCGAAGCAGAATACTTTCATGCCTATGGCGACCTCTCAGTTCACCGTTTGATGCTAAGGGATAAACCAAGAATGGAAGCTTACTCGACATCGATTAGGACCTTGAAGAAGGAGATAGAAGGTAAAAATTATGTTTGAGTTAGGCAGTGCGACTGGCTTTTCTTCTATTCTTACAGACGTGCAAGCGACTTCTTCAGGTTATGATGAAGACGTGCAAGTAATTTGTTCAGCACATTGTGATTCATCTTTCCATCCCTTTTCAACATCAGGTAAAATCTGTATGGATGTTGGCTGTGGCTCCGGCGTTTTGAGTCTTCTCCTCGTCAAGCTTGGTGGGGCGAAGCATGTCCACGCTGTTGAAGGCTGTGCGCGTGTAGCAAACCTTGCCAGGCAACTGATAGCGCAAAACGGTATGGCAGATCGGATCACTGTTTGGCAGAAGAGGGTGGAAGATATAGCGGTGATCAAGGAACAGGTGGAGGAAAGTAGGGTCGAAAACGAAAACGGTAAAAAAGCTAGTGGGGCCAAGAAAGTAGACGATGGTCAGCAGGAAGTGGAAGGCGAAAAGAAAGAAGACGCTACGACTATCTCAACTACCACGGCTCCAGCCAGCATCACCACCACGACTTCCGCCACCAGCAGTTCGCACAGGAAAGAGGACATCAACGACGGCATTGTCGCGAATTCGATTGATGTGATCGTTTCGGAGTGGATGGGATTTCATCTTTTGCATGAAGCCATGCTAGACAGTGTCGTTATTGCCCGTGACCGCTTTCTCGTCAAGGAAGGAGGTCTATTACTCCCTGATAAGTGCAAAATCTTCGCAGCACCATTAGACCTGAGGAACTACCGAACATCTGAGAAAAACTACTTCAAGCCTGAAAACTTCTTCGGCTTGGAAGGGTTTGAGGAGGTATTTTTGGAAGATGAGTATAAATTTGATGCGGAGGTGGATGAGGAGTCAAGCAATGTTGGCACTCGGGGACCGAATATCACCAGAGGTATCAAGCCAGAAGAAGTACTTGTACACCGGCTGGACGACAGTCATCTGCTTCGAACGAAGGATGATTACCTCTGTTTCGCGGAGCTGGATCTACACAAAGTCACGGTAGAAGATCTGCGCTGTGTAAAAGGTTCAGTTTCCTGTAAGGTGACCAAAAATGGCGGTGGTTTGTTCGGAGGCGTTGGGATCTGGTTTGAATGTCTTTTTCCCATTCCCACAAGCGAACAAACGCGAAAAGGGACGAGTGAAGCGCTCCTCCCGTCCGCGATACTTTCCACCTCCCCCAAGAAGCCCATGACGCATTGGAAGCAGAGCATAGTTTTTCTAGAAGTAAGCGGACAACATATCTTCGCAGAGGTGCCAGAAGGCGAGCAGGTCGATTTCGAGATATCCTTGACGCAAAGTGAAACAAATAAGAGACACTATGAAATTGGGCTGGAGACGTAGAAGATGTCCGTGCTTCGTCCCGTGGTGGAACAGCAATAGCACGCACATCTTATTGAATGGACGATCTCGACTTATCCACTTCCACCCATCGATTCGAAGAACTTTGTTCGACCACCAACTTTATCCCCTAAGAATACTGTCAAACAAAATGACAACATCTACGAGAAACAAGAGTACTCATGATGTGTTCAAATAAGTATAACTTTATTCTTGCGCAGCGCCAGCGTTTTCAAGAGAAAATAAGAGAGATGAGATACAAAGAACGAGGCACCACGTGTGAGGATAAGGGATGCAGGAAAATGCTATGTAGCTGCTAGGAAAAATGAAAATGCTGGCACCGAGACCTACTTCCGAGTAGTTGATGTGCCCTTCAATTCATCATGCAGTTTATTCCAGCGCAAAGCATAGTACCACATTTGTTGCCACCTCCTTGTTTCTCATTTTTCGCTTCTGATGATGGTCCCCTAAAAATCGTTTTGACAGTTTTACTTTCACATCCTCGAGCGAACTTGCTTCTTTCTTTTGTTACTTGTTCTCGTTGCTGTTGGTAAATGTTGGGCTGCATCTTCATCATCGCGTCGCTGGTGCTAGAGTCGTATAATTTTTGATCGTACCGCTATGTTCCTTGAGCAATAAAAATTATTCCGTCTCATGTCCATTATCTTCAACACGAAAGAAGTCTCTTCCTCCTATGCTATTCATGTCTCTCCCTCCTGCCTGCGCTACAACAGTTCTAGTGTCGACCACTTCTGTTGACCCGCCCAACCGCTTATCCGCCTATCGCTCAAAACAATCCGCGACGATAAAGGAAATAAGCCGAAAGAACAAGTCGCACTACCTGAGCTGAGCTGTTCAAAGCCCTCCATCAAGATCATCCTCTTAACTAATATCCGCCTACCCCGTGAAAGAACGCTAACTACGTCCATCAAGATGTACAAAGCTCGCTTAAATAAGGAGTTGACGCAGCTGCGCGATAACGTGCATGGCTTGAGATTGATAACGCTTGGACCTGGTAGAGATCGCGAGATAGAGATCGAATTCGACGGACCAACCGGGTCCCTATACGACGGAGAAACGTTCCGAATATACTTCAACTTCTCTGAGCGATATCCGCTTGAGAGTCCGATTGTTTGTTATGAGCAGGTTAATCCTTTTTTTATTAACAACTCTCCTCCTGGTCAAGAACGTCTACCTCAAGCTCAAGATCATCAGACCATTCAGAACGACTTTGAATAAAATTACATACATGTTATGAGCAGGTGGTTGAGAATGGTCACGTTGTAAGGTAGACCTCCACGACGTAGACCTCCACGTAAGTTGTAGTTGACAGGAACTTAACAACAACAACAAGAGCCCTGTCAGACTCAGAACTTCAAGAACAGAAAACAACGCCTCCTCTGTTTACACTCTAACTCCTGTTCCAAGATCCTACGCCTGTGCATCCGCACGTCTATACCAATGGGCACATATGCTTGAGCATTCTCGGTTCAGCCTGGTCGCCAGCTCTTACAGTGGAAAAGGTACTACGGCAGCTTTATTACTGCATCAAACAAGTCAAGTGCAACAAGCATCATATTAGAGATGAACAAGAGTTTTTCTAGCAGGAACAATAATCTCATCGATTTTCCTCTGCCTTCTAAAACTAAAAGGAGGACCTTCTTGATGCCTACCGTCCGACTCCACATCGTCGTCTAGGTGTGCCTCTCAATCCAGAGCATGCTAGCTTCAGCAGAGAAAAAAGCATTGCCAGACACGAACGACCAGTATGTCAGAACGCATCCGCGTGGAAGTAACCCCAAGAACACGCAGTGGCTCTATGATGATGATAAATGCTGAACAAGCGGAAAGAGTGCTGAAGACGCGAAGTAGGAGGGCAGAGGATAGATGCTGAACAAGCGGAAAGACCGTGTGCTGAAGACGCGAAGGAAGGCAGAGTACGGCAATCACTGAAGACGCGAAGGAAGGCAGAGTACGGCAATCACTGTTGTGAGCGCGAAGATTCCACTGCGAGACTCGTATGGAAACGCAGCGAGTCGCGACCACTACGCCTGACCAGAGAAGTTACTAGCGCAGACCATTCAGGCCGTCGCGCGCCGCTGTTGAAAAATCTAAGAAACCGAAAATTCATGTTTTCCTTGTCACCAGTGGTTCTTTTTCTTCCTTAAATTTTAGATGTTGGGACTTACCAACTGAGTGACCCCTATCCGCGTCACACCTCATTGTGGATAAGTACTTTTCCTACTCCTTCGATAGGAACAAGTATACAACTTCTAACTACTTTTTACGATCACTCTTTTACACAACTTTTATGATAAATGATCTTGTGTACTAGAAGTTGTGATCATGTAGTGAAGAGAATAATGCTAGTACTACAGGACTAGTTTTACGATGTTTTGAATGTTGAACGTAGATGATGAAGAGGAGCCCAGATTTGAAGAACAAAGTAGTGCAATGATCTATTACCTACGCTATCGTAAAAAGAGACTTATCTAGTCCATCTTCTGCAAGGACAAACTGACTGATGTTGATCTTGATGTGAAGATATGCAGAAACTACCTTGAAAAGTAGGTGCCTGTGGGCTCTGCCGCATCACATATCAGTTTTATGCTGGTGACTTGGACTTTGATTTGTCCCTGAGTCCAAGAATCAATCCTGTGCTGCAATCATAAGCCCTTCTGTTGATTATGCGCGTCCTGAGTTGCAGCCTTATAAGCGCGGACAGGAAACAAGAGCGTTGCTCGTTACTCATTAAAAAGATTATGGATGTTGAAAAAGCATATTTGAAATAGCAAAGAATGAAAATTTTGATCGGTGGTCACAATGCAATAGAACTTTCGAAGGACGAAAAGGTTCTTTCCTCTAGTGGTTCTGTGAGTAGACGCAGAACGAATCTTCCAGATGTACCTCTTAACAACCGGCTTAATATGCTTGACCTGCTCATCCTGCTCTTTCAATCTTTACTTCTCTCCGACACTGGATTTACTTTTTCTCTCACGGACGCAGAACAAAATGCTGGTCCTGTCATGGCTTTCCCCATGCCTGAGTATTAACTAAATCTCACTAACAACTTCTTTGGAACACCACCAGCTCTGCTGAAAACGTGGGCTCCCCTCGTATTTCAGCCCCACCAGTTGTAGTCAGTTCTTGTCAGTACCTGTACGGAAGCTGTTGTACTGAGTCTTTCTTTTCTATAATTGTTCGTGGCGACGATTTGTACTTCTTCATTCTTCTCGGCTAAAAGAAAATGACTTCAACCTCTTTGAAAATGGCCTCTACTTCTTCGTCTTGTTCCTCCAAGTGGGTCCAAGATGATAATTCTACTCCCGTCATCTGGCCCCCACCAGGGCCTCAGCCGGACATATCGTGGCCCTTCGAGTTGGACGATTTCCAGAAGCGCGCCTGTTTTAGATTGAGTCCAGCTAGCACTCAACAAGATGATCATGTTGATTCTATGCCTCAACCACAACGACCACCAGCATCGTCCTCCAGCACCTCATCTTCTGGCAGAGGGAATGTCTTCGTTGCCGCACACACGTCAGCTGGGAAGACGGTCATCGCCGAGTACGCCATTGCTAGGGCCATTCAAGAAGGGAAAAGAGCGATTTATACGTCGCCGATCAAAGCTCTGAGTAACCAGAAATTCCGTGAATTCCGACAGAAATTTCCGACTCGGAAAATCGGCATCCTGACCGGTGATGTCAGTCTGAACGCTGATGATGCAGATGTTTTAGTCGTGACGACGGAAATCTTGCGGTGCATGCTGTATGAGAGCTATTTCATTGAAGGAGACGTAGGTGCAACTGGCACTACTGCTGGAGTCGCAACAAGAACTACAGAAGTAGGTGGAACGACCTCCAAGCATCAGCTTCCCGCCACTACCGTTTGTCGTTTAGTACATCCTTCTGAAACGCACGTGGTCATTTTTGATGAAATCCACTATCTCAACAATTACGAACGTGGCGTGGTTTGGGAAGAGGTCATCATCATGCTAGATCCGCGCATTCAGATGCTGTTCTTGAGTGCCACGGTCTCGAACGTTGCCGCGTTTGGAGATTGGGTGGGACGAACAAAAGGTCGAAAGCTGTACCATGTCTCGACGGATTTTCGACCAACACCTTTGGAGCATATGCTGGTGTTTCGAGGCCAGGTGTTTCCATTGATGTCAGGGGGCGGATTGTCGAGTGGGGCTCCTTCTGCGTTTGATCCCATAGTATGGAAAAAAGTGCAAGAAGTGGCTAAGACGAAGAAGCCAAAGGCGAAGCAAATTTTTCCTGCTTTGAGAACAGTGACAGTGGAATTCGACAGGAGGCCGTTTGGGATGACGCCTGCATCGAGTAGTACTGCGAGCAGTGGAAGTGGAACAACTGGAGGTTGCGCTACTGCTGGAGGTGCAAAAACTGCAAAAGCCAAAGATTCTAAAGCCAAAGGCAGTAAGGATGCAGACATCAAGGCAAACGACAAACAAGACACCTCCGCGAATGCACCAGTCATCGGCTATACCGTTGAAAAAGTGAATCAGAGTGATTTCACCAAACCTGCCGCGAAACTTGGGGTGAAACCAGGATGGGCCATTGAGGCGGTCAACGACAAGGTTGTGGCTGAATTACCTCTCTCCGAAATCCAAGGATTACTGAAAGCTGCAGAACTTCCAGTGAAAATCACTTTCTCCATCGACAAAGTTAAAGCTGCGGCAGCTGCTTCTAGTGGAGGTGGAGCAACGTCGAGTAATTTAAGGGTTACCACATTGCATTCTTCACGACTAGCACCATCCTTGACCTTTTTTCCAGTAGGAAAAGAGTCAGTGGGATGATCTGAAGAATGCAATGTCGCAGCCTCTAAGTAATACGAAGGCCACAACAAACACACAACAAGGGAATAAAGGGAACAAGTCAGCTTCAGGCGGTGGCCATTCCGGTAGTACTGGGGCAGTTGGAAACAAGAACCCATATCAGAAGCAGGAGAATGAACTACGAGAACTGCAAGTACTACTCCGCAGATTACGCGACGAGGATAGATTGCCAGCTACAGTTTTCGTTTTCTCAAGGAAAAAGTGTCTGGAATTCGCTACCAGACTACCCGCTTCTTTGGACTTTCTGTCGAATTACAAAGCGACTGGTGGTAGTGGAGGAGCCGCGAAATCAACAATAAATGGAGACACTCTAGATCTACTTGATGCAGTCGAAGAAGAGCAAGAAGTTCCTTTATTCGTTGCAAGTGGTATCAAAAATAACGCCACGAAACCGGCTAAGAAGTCACGCGGACCAGTTGCAGGAACGTCAGATGCTTTGCTGTTTTCGGATGGAGAGGTGCCTGTAGATTATGGTAACTCATCGGACGACAGTGAAACAGAAGAAGCTAAACAGGGATTGAAAGAGCAGAAAGAAGCCGGTACGGGGATTTTTGCTGTGTCGTCCAGTAGTACAAGTAGTACTCTAGAGAACTACAAGGAGGAAAACAAAAACGACAACATAGTAGATGAACATGAAGATGAACAAAACTCATCACAGAGTCAGCGTTTTCGTCGTGAGAAGCAAAAGGTTAACTTCATTCTTCAACGAGCTTTTTCCCAACTTTCTCCTGAAGAACAAGTAGGCCAAATCCAACAGTGTCGCCACCTTGCTCTCCGTGGCATCGGCTACCACCATGGCGGTTTATTAAGGCCTCACTACACTTAATCCATCCACTTTTGGCTCTTCATCTGTAAGCTGTTTTACAAGTACAAAAATGGACACAGAAGATGAGGCAAACAGGGATGGACTGTGGTGAGTTCTAAGTTTACTCCCCATTGTCAAAGAGGTAACGGAACTACTTTTCCAGCAAGGACTGATTAAAGTTCTTTTCGCCACAGAGACCTTCGCCATGGGCGTGAACATGCCAGCAAGAAGTGTCATCTTCTCAGGCGTAGAAAAACACGATGGGAGTAGCTTCCGTTATTTGGAACCGGCTGAGTACACGCAGATGGCTGGACGTGCTGGCCGTAGAGGTCTTGACGCAAAGGGCTTTGTGTATGTGTTATGGAGTAGTGGGTCTGGGGGAACGGCAGCAGAACCAGTGGCTTTGCCAGACAGGAACGCGTTGGCTCTGATGTTAAGGCAGAAGTTGTTTCAAGGTTTGTTTCCATCGAACGCTAGAACTAGAACTAGATTCTAGTTCTAGAGAAAGATTAATTTCTTGAGATATCCTTCTGGTGCTACTCGTAACTACAACTTTACACGTACACCTAAACTCAAACTATTAGATGTAAATTTTGATCATTCTATTCTCATTCTGAATGTTCTTGAACTTGAAGATTGATTGAGTATGAGAGCTGTAGGCTCTACTCCCCCTACGACCAGCACGACTCTTCTAACGGCTATGTTGTCGAAACGCAATCCCTTGACCTCGCAATTTCGCATTACCTACAAGATGATCTTGAGCCTGGCGAAACAGAATGCACCCTCTAGGGAACCGAGAATCCTAGACTTGATAGCCAAAAGTTTCGGTGAAGCCGAACGTGCCAAGGAGTTGCCAAGGCAGAAACTAGGCATCCGAAACAAGGAGCGGGAGGTGCGCACGTTGGAAAAGAAAGCGAAGGAAACTTTTCTTGCGCTGGCAGTAGAAGCAGGACAGGGAGAAGCAGCCTCAGATCAAGAAGGAAAAGCCTCCTTTTCCTCTTCCAACACGCTACAAGACGTGACGTACCTACAGCATCAAGAAGTACTCGAAACCTACGTGGAAAGCTGGGACTTTCTGCACAGTCACTGCAGTGGTACTCTCTTACCAAGGTTGGGGCAGATGCCTGGAGCCTTGCGCAAGCTGAAGATCTTCACTCCTGGACGTCTTTTGATGCTACGCGTGGATCTGGAACTGCAACCAGTGATGGCACTGGTCTTGTCGGACACGACAGGAGCTTCAACAGGTGGAGGTAGTAAGGATACGACACCACTATGTGCTGGCAGTGGTGGTGGTGAGCAAGGAGGCATGAGTACAAGCTTCTTTCCAGCTGGAGGAGCTGTTAACAACAAGACAACTAAGTCGAATACTGACCGAAATGCATCGAGCAGTACCATCCAAGTCTTGGCTTTTTTTGATACTCAAGACATTCGAGGGATGCTTTCTCTATCGCACGCAGAAGATTCTGATAGCTTCGAACGTGCTGGTTTTCTACCTCTGCCGACGCAGGAATCAGGAGAGCAGTCATCAAAGCCTCATCACTCTTCTCACTGTGCCGCTTTCCTCCAGATTACAACTTCCGACGTTGTTTGCCTCTTTGAGGACGTCATTCCCTTAATAGACGATTTCCATATCGGCGATGCATCAGCTGTCATTGCTAATTCAGCATTTATCAACTCGCGGCCACAGACAGCGACTCTGCTGATGCCAGATGGAAATATGAACAAAAAATCATTAGGAAAGGCTGCACTGCTTCCACCATCCTCGTCCACAGGGCAGTCAGCCAGCTACAGAAGTTCACCTGGGCGCGGAGAAGGCGGCCCTCCATCATCAAAAATTATCTTCGATGAGACAGCTGCGTCATCACTGGCTCCACCAGCCACAGTGCAGGCGGATGTTCTCTCCCGTGCTGACACACTCCTCACAGAAAGAGCCAATAGCAAAACCAGTACTAAGACGGGTGGGAGCAATTCTCAAGCGGGGTCGCCGAACATGATTGTGCCATTCATGAATGCGGAACAAGTAGACAATGATGATTGTCTTCAACAAGAACATCAAGTACGTGTTGCAAAATTGCGTTCTCTGGCTGAGTCCATTGAGCGAGTAGCCACGACTTGCACGACTTCTACACCCAAGCTTACGCTCCTAGAGCTCCGGTCGACGAACAAGGTCTCTATAGAAATCGACCTTTTTCAAGCCTGTGAGAAAATGAAAAAACTCTACGCTCAGATTCGGGAGATCGAGTCGGAGGCCGCTTCTAGTTGTACTGACAAGCCTCGTCCTGCTACTGCTACTCCAAGAACATCTTCATCCACGACCATGAGCAACAAGAAGTTACGCCATGACTTGTTCCCTCTCTTCGCTCGTAAGCTGCGATTGAAACGTGAGATTGCAGCATTAGAGTACCAGACTAGTGAGCAGAGTTTGTATTGGCTTTCGCAGCTCGATGCAATGGCAGCAGTGTTGGTAGAGTTGGGGTACATTTCAACGTCTAGTAATAAAGGAGAAGCACGGATGAATGTTGGTGTCAACACTTCGTCCAACACCACATCAACGTTTCCTGGTACAACCTCTAGACGCTACAACTTCAACCTCGTTGGTCGAAAGGGTCTATTTGCCTCGGACTTGCTGCATTCCGACGAGCTTACCCTGACTGAAGTCCTCTTCTCGTTGATCGACGAGTTGTTACCAGACAGAAACGAGGAGGAAGATACTCGTCATTACTACGAAGCTCTCTCGAAACAACAGGAGAAAGCCGCCTTGGAGCTAGAGCAGGAAGAACGGAAGCGAGCGGCCTTGCTGCAACGTCAGAGAAATCACAGTGACGACTCAGATTCTGGCTCTTCATGGTCATGTTCCTCTTCAGATGTGTCTTTCTTCACAGATGGAGACGACGCAGAGCACTTCTTTGCATCTGGTGTAGACGATGAAGATGGGTTTTCTTCGTCTCTTAGCAGTGAAGATGAAAGTGCTGGAGAAAACGGCGAGCATTTTCCTAGGCACCAGAGGATACAAAAGAAACGTTGGCCAGGACAGATGACTAAGAATGTAGTTTGATTCTTTTTTTTGAATTTTTTGAATGATCATGTTGTAGGTAGAAGTAGTACTACATGTACATTCTGATCCTCCTGTGCTGTAGTTTTCCTGTCACGACCTTCTGCAGCATGATTCTTTTTGTCTTTCACTTTCTTCTCTTGATTAGCTTAGCTCCCCTATCCCCGCCTAGGTAGTCCTGCCACGAGGACAAACAGAAAAGAATGGAACTTAGAAGCGACAACCAAGCAAGAGCAACTGCCTCTTTCTACTAACTATCTCTAATCTGACATGGATGCGCGGAAAGGCGAATAGGGAGGGACCTACATCCAGAGGCAATGCTGGTCGAATGAACCCGTCCGCTCCAGAGTTCGTACCACAAGGAGGTCTGGGAGGCTTCGCTACTGCAGAGGCGGCGCATTTACAGCAGCTAGCAGAAAAGACGGTCGCTCTGCAGGATGCGTTAGCATTCGAAGAAGAGCAGGTGCAGGACGGACAAGGACAGGGCGGGACTTCTTCAAAGTCTCCTTACCAGCACAGAAGCATTTTGAGACGCTCACCTGATTTCGTCGGCTATCTGCGCACGAGCAGGCGGATCGAACCTGCGGAATTCTGCGCGTTTCTTAGTGCTTTTTTATCACCTGTGAAAGGCGGTTCGAATAACAATTTTGGCGTGAAGCCAGATGAAGTCACCAAACAAGTTTTTGAACCTCCTCCTAGACTTCTTGGTGCTGCCGACGCAGCCGAAGACACGACTGCTTCGACGCCAACTGCCTCAGCTCCGAAAATCGAGCTCCCAACCGATTTCTTGCACTCCCTGAAACGGCGAATCGTGGATAAACACAAAGAGTTGTTTACCCTGCAGACGAATCATCAAGTGCTCTACGATGCCGACGACTGGTCGAAACTGTGCCAGCTTGGGTTCGCAAGAGAAGCTTACTTGTGGGCACAAGGAATTTCGTTTGTGGATTTAGTCTCGAAATACACCGACGTCGAAGAGGGTGCGGTAGTGCGAACACTCCGGTCTCTGGAAGAACTTCTGAGGAGAATAAGAGAGCTAGCGAGGCGATCAAAACACGCAAGTCTCGAGTTACTGGCGAGGGATAGCATCAAGGCGATTAAGCGGGATATGCCTTTCATGCCAAGCCTGTATTTCGATTTTGCAGGAGAGGAAGTAGGGCAGTCATGAGCTGCTGAGGAGCCTAAGTTGTTGTACTGCTCGCTATCGTGGTGTAGTAGTATGCAAAATGAAGATGGTCGCACAAGAACTCTGTGACCTAGGACTTGCTACTTATTCTTGTGCCCAATTATGATAGGGCCGGGGGGCGAGCAGATGAAGTAAGTAGTTGTTGTAAAAAAAGATATGTAGTTTGAGAAGAGAACCCCTTATTTGGTGGACGGTATTTGCTTGTTTTGCCGTTCAGTATTTTTGTAGTGTTCCCCACCTTGAGCTTGAGAGTTGTTACAGAAGATCTGTCATGATGGAATGCCGCACGGACACTTTCGTTTTGAGCTTGAGAGTTATCATCGTTATATTACAGAAGAAGAGAGAAATGCTGCCTTATAATTTATAGTAGACGTGATGTATCTTTCATGAAGATCTTTGCTTGTTACTGTGTGTCGTCCGTGCGACGCCGACTACTACTGCATGTCATGTTACTAAATTATAGCTGGTACTTGAAAGAGCTAACGTGCGTCAAGAGAACAATTACCATCGATGCACTGAAACTATCTTCTGAATTCGACCAGTCGAGAAGGACGAAATGCACCAGATTACCAAGGCAGATCTTGTCCGACTTACGCTTACCGAAGGCTAAGCGGGAGTAGATGCCGAGAGCGATCAAAAATGCGAGATTAAGGTACGAGGAGAGAAGAGAAAGACTGGATGTCGATGGAGAACTTCATGCTTTAGTTGTATGCTCATCGTCATCTTGTCGATGCTGGGAACAACTTTCATCTCGACTGACCACCACGTGTGTTATTTCTGTCTCCGCATCAAGGCTTCTTACTGAACAGAAAGTGAGAACAATGACTGTAACTGTATGCATACTGTTAGCATTGAAACTTCATCTTTTTTACTGAATACAGATGAGAATGACCTTGACCTGACTATTAATAGTCAGGCATTTTTTTCACTTATTTGTAGACATTCCTCGTCCACTTCTTGAGCCTGGAGACACGCGCGGCATGCTAGAGCTGGAATTGAAGCAGGATTGGTTTGATTATAGACGGACAAGAACTACCTCTACTGGTGGAGGTGTGCTGCTGCTATATAATGAAGGACGGGAGCAAGCCACAGGTGTGCTGACAGATGTTGTGTACAGGCGGGAGTAGAAGAACTAGAGGAAACCTAAACAGGTCGGCGGAATTATAGAACTTACTGATGGATGAGACTGAGACGAGTAGGTGCTCGTGGAGCAAGTAACAAGTTCTTGTGCTGCATGCTTGTTGTTGTGTAGAATTTGAACATGAAGAAGGAGTGGTCCTCTGCTGATGGAAGCAGATGAAGAATGTCTCGAAAACGTTAGTGTCTAGTACGTGTATATTAGTTCGACATGACTAGTTTACTAGTTTGACCAGTGCTGCAGCCTGTAGTTCTCGCCTGTCTGTTGATTGTTCTTCTCGTAGTCCTCGTGAAAACTAAGCACATCAAAAAAGTAGTGTGAAGATCTTCGGTCGTCGTAGTCGTGCGATCGGTCCTCGTTAATGATCTTGGATCTGCAGCTGGAGGTAGCTACTCAAATATCCGGTTCAAATCGGTTTAATATCGACGTCGTTGTCGCAACCTCTAACATATCGGTTCAAGTCGGTTCATCTTCAACGTCGTTATCGCCGTCTGTAGGTGACGTTCATGAGCAGAATAGAACATCCTGTTCTTGATCTTGTTCTTCGTCACTTCGCCACACCACCACATGCGCTCCCCTCGTCCGTCCACGACTCCGATCAGATGATTGTGATACACAGAAACCGAAACTATTCCTTTATTCTTCTAGCATAGTAGACAGCGACCAGTGATCATGTTGTTCTAGTTCTCCGAGTCCACGAAGTCGACTTATCCTGTCTTGTTCAACCCTTACTTTCGCTCATTCATCTACGCAACAAGAACAAAAAAGCTTACTCCTATCACGATAACCTAACCTAAGCCTAACCTCGTAGACTTCTGTCTTAATCTCGAAGACCCTGGTGTGGATTTCGATCTTCGCGTCCACCTCCTGCAAGATTATACACCGACATTTGATGTGCTACTGCTACAGGACAACATTAAGGTACTAGTACACGACCAACACCAGTTGTACAACTACAGAACAACAGGTACTAGTTGTACTGGCAAGAAAATCAACAAGATGGCATCGAATTACTGGAAAGGTGTGCTTTGGGGCCTTCTCGCTCTGCTCACGGTGGTGACGGTGAATGCTGCATCGGTATGCAATCAAGGGACGGACTACACCTTTGAAAATTATGGTTTCAGCACAATAAATGGATGTAAAAGTTCTCTAGTTGTAGTTACATACGTCAGCTACTAAAGCTATAATGAACAAGCTTACTACATCTTCAATCTTGATGTTGCTGTAGTCCTTTGCAACAGTTTTTACAGTTTTTAGTTAGACATCAACTAAACTTAGTCTTTAAGAACACAACAAGAATCTTCATCTTCTGCAATGCTGAATCTGCACTCTTTTCAAGTACTCGAAAACTGAAAATAGCCGAGTTATTGACTGAAATAAGGGAGGTAGCTTTGACAGGGCTACTCTTCCTTGTTTAGTATCTCGCTTAATATTTTCAGTAGTACTTACAACTCGCTTATTTCACACTACTTTTCTAACCTCTTTTCTACTACTTTTCTAACCTCCTGTTTTCTGCTACTTTCATATTATCATCTCAAAGACAGAACGAAGAATAAGCCCTCTCCCCCATGCACACAGGTAGCCCCTATACCTCACGAATAGGAACATCAATCAATCAATCAATCAGTCAATCAATCAATCAGTCAATCAATCAGTCAATCAATCAATCAGTCAATCAATCAATCAATCAATCCCTCAGTTTTGCACCTCTCTTTTCTAATCTGCATGCGCCTGCAGTTATTGTGTCAACCTGGTGGATAAGAAGAGCGGCCACTGCGTAGTACCAGGTCCCGAAGATTACTGCGCTCCCAAGCTCCTACTCGCGGAACTGGAGGCGTTCGGAAAGCTAGGGTACGGTGTTGGTGACCACGCGGTGATGCCTTCCACGGATGCAGTGAAGATCCAATGCAAGTTATGGCCCGAGTCGGTATATCGATCTGTAAAGTCAATTCTGATCGATCTGTAAAGTCAATTAATCAGTATCAGACGAGTCAGGTAAGTAATCAATCAGTGTATGGTTCTGGTATATATCGATCGATCACATTCTGCCGTCAAAGTCAATTAATCAGACGAGTCAGTTAAGTAATCTATCAGTGTATGGTTCTGGTATTTGGTAACCTGAATTTGATCCTAAGGGTTCTCTTCTTGTTTTCCCTTAGGATCAAACTCAGGCTATACCAAAAATACCAGAACCATTCAGTCAGAGTCTGAGTCAGTCAGTTAGTGACTCCATCTTATCCCAATAACTTCACTGAATGGCTTCACAGGTCAAGAACTACACTAGACATTATATATAGACCAGTAATTAGATAATGATCAATTAGTTAAGTGGATAAATTCGGACGTCTAGAAGACAATAGGACGCCGTAAAATATTAACAATGAATTTACTGTGAAGTAAGAATCAGACCAGAACCAGATTATCACACCTAGATCATCAATCTATTCACTTTCATCTTTCCCTTTATACACAAGGCGCCATGACATAATGTAGCATGATTGACAGACTTCTCTAATATAAGGCGACAGCTTAAAATCTTTCAACAAGGACGTGTGTGGAAAGGAGATGTTCCAAATGTCCCACATCGAAAAACAGGGTCTCGTTCCGTCACACACTTATGAAGATTTGTAGTAAATTTCTGTTTCTTTCTTTTCTCGTGCAAAAATAAGACCTGTTGATTAATTCACTCTGATTCTGAAGAAGTGGGAGATCTCTACAACTCTTTAGATCACCAAGAACAACAACAAGGACTCCTACTTTTTTTTAACTCTCGACGCCGCGACGTCGGTCCGTCGGTCTACCTGGTGCTCTTAGGAAATGTCACTCCTAGTCCACGACCTACGAGTTTAGATGAATTGTCTAGAAAACTTCATCACTATTGATTTCTTGAAGTAGATGTATGGACATTGTCATCAACATCATCAAATTCCGTTGTTTTCCACCCATGGTCGCCTACTTCATGAAATATGTACGCCAGAAAAATGCGAAATTTGTGAGGCTGCTTTGGGTCAAGTTTTGGATGTGGCTCCAGAGCAGAAGAGCACTAGCTTGGCTTACTCACCTGTTACGGCACACATGAAGATTTCCCTTAGTACCGGTTACTTAGAAGTTGTAGTAGATGTCCTTGTAGTTTTCACACGCAACACACGTCGACAACTTCACTGTTGACGTCGCACAGAATACACCACTGGAGGCTGCATTTGCTCTTCTACTTCTAGAGCTCCTCGTCCTATGAAGTTCCTTCCCTCTTCTAATGCCGGTGTCGCTTTTCTGCTCTCTACGCTGATCAACAAGGCTGGGCTGATGCTTGCTTTTTATGACAAGGACAGCAATAAATATAATGGTAGTGGATAATGATAGGAGAGCATTTCCTAAGATGGATTATGCTGGATTGCGTGGATTATCAGTGGAAGTAAAATCCGAAAACTGTGAGAAGAAACAAAACAAGCAAACTCCAATTCGTCCTAGAAGTAGTTGCATCTATAGATGCGCGATGATGATGAAGAATGAGAAGTCTGAAGATCATGACTTTCTTCTACTTCATCTTAGCACTGTTTTTTTTTTCAAGTAGACGCTCAGACGACTTCAGAACGTCTTCAAGTACGACATCTTTGAGGACGACTAGTGGACACCTTTTGACACAGGAGCTTTTCACGCGCAATTAGTTCTACTCTTACACGCACCATGAGTCCTCTCTCCTCTAATTCAGCGTGAACACCTTTATGCTGGCGCGTGCCACGGCTCCGGATTCTGAGATCAACCACATTGTCATGAATGGCGATGCGAAATTGACACTCCTGCTTACGGCCGACAGAAAGTGACAAATTACACTTTATTTTATCTTTCGGTTTGACCGGCGTGGTTAAAGTAAAAGTTGAACTACGTTGAGTTACCTCAAGTAGTGCATATTATTGTTGCTTTTGAGCTGCAGATGAAGATGAATGATATTAAGTAATTCTCAGGACCTAGTCCTAGATGAAGATGAATAATATCCTAGTCCTAGAGCAGGATGATGATATGATACCGCCCTAGGATGGCATAGCACCGCCTACGACAGCGCAAAAACGCTATAAGTTGTGACTGACGTCGGAATAATGGTTTTAATGACTGAAAATGTACCGCATAGTTTTTCATCAATTTTGCTGAATCGAGCAATCTTCGAGGTGCTAGTCTATATTGTTAAATTTTGAAAATCCAAAATTATACATTCTCATTGACTTATTGTTAAAATCTTGCGCTATCTAAAAGCAGGGCAAGTCGTGATGTTAAACAAGCTAGTACAATCTAGAACAATCATCTTCATTATTAAGATCTTGTGGCTCCCAATATAAGATTAACATCTAACTTATGGAGCCCCCAATATTGCTGCTTCAGCGACACAGGTAAGCGTGACTACACCGAGAACCGTTTTAAGCAGTCCGCTACGTGCACTCAAGTGACGAAAATTTATGAGGATTCCTCTTGCCTTCCACAACAATTATTTTTATTAAACCTAGTACAGTTGCAAGAGGTTCTACGAACAAGCGTATTGATGATTGACCAAGTACTAGACTACATATCGCGGATAGTGAGGGTTTCTTCTATATGAGTATGAAGCTCATCAAGAAGGGTTCTAATCTCCCAGAAACTGCATCACGAAAGAATACACGACTCATATCCAGAACTCTTTGCGTCAGTTCATCGATTCTCTGCGTCTCCTGCCGCGAGGGTTGTACAACAGCATCAATTACACGCATATGAGATATTGGGTGCACATGGTCCGTCATGGTGTCAGAGTGGAAATCGTTTTAAGGCTTGATGTTCCTTTTCATTTTCTACTAGTCCATCACCATGCATGATCTTTATAATTTTCAGCGACAAAGTAACTAGTGCACGACCTTCCTGGACCACTGGCAGGCACGAGCGGCTTTATTTCATAGGGCGGGAATAAAGTTTCTCCTGCTGTAGAAGTATGAAGTGCATCATTTTATACAATCTAGTTCAGCTACAACACGATGGAGAAGGACTGGATCAGTCAATCATATACATCTGGGTTACAACCTTACAATATATATTACAATCTAGTACGGTACTAGAATAATGAGAGGACTCCTCCTTCTTCTTTTCTCCGTGCAGTAGGGAGTCCCTCTCTCGGTGTCCATGTCCTCAGTCCAGGCAGGTTTTCAGTCCGGGATGGTTTGCGAGATGGATTAGGTAGCATTGCGGTTTACTCTAATCATTCCGAGAGCAAAGGGCCCGATCAATTTATGTTCTTGATTTTTGTACATCAGATTCGCAGAAGAAGATCTAAGATATATGCCACTTCCTACGTTGACTAACTGAGCAATAAGAACATTTTCAGATGATCCAGAATCTTCGTTCTTGTAGAAGACATATGTGGCCTTGAGCCTGGTGCAGGAGCATAAAGCTACCTTCTAACATATCTTATTAGGAAATACAACATATTATACATCAAAGTACTAGATCTAGAAGTTCCTTGTCCTTCACTGAAAGTTCCTTCACTGAAGATGTTCCTAGAACAACAGCTTGATGCCTGTATCATTCTTTCGGATGTTGTAATAGATCCTTCAACTTGTATCCCCTTAAGACATAAGTTGAAGGTGTTCAGAAGTATCAGTCATAACAACTTCATTATATTCATCCTCATGAGGGACAACATAGGGAAAAAATCTTCGGCAACTCGCCGAGTAGCTTCAAATCATCACTCATCCTCATACTTATATTGCTATTTTTACTAGAAGCAAGTTGTACAAGTACTTACTAGGTTGTAGTTGAGAAGGTCGTCTTGCTGCAGACGCCACGACTCGTTGAGGCACTTCTTGCATCTAGTACCACTTGCAGGTACGACTTGCAGGCTCTAACGGCTATTCCAAACCCGCCAACCGAAGAGGCGTATCTGGAGATGCAAAAAGAGGAGAATTCGTACCAGTGGGAATGGAAATTTGACCAGGCGCAATCCTTATTCGATTCTCCAGGCATCGAACATCTCACTATGCAAAACACATAGTTATCCTTATTCGATACTCCAGGCATCGAACATCTCGCTATGCAAAACACATAGTTATCCTTATTCGATTCTCCAGGCATCGAACATCTCACTATGCAAAACACATAGTTCTTGCCTACTACTTCTAAGTTTCAACAATTCGAAGAGGCTGTCGCACTTAGCGTTCTAGCTGGAGTGGATCTCCTTGAATCTTGAATCTTGCCAGGTAATGGTAACAAGTACAGTAATTAAGAATATCGGTTGCGGCTGCCCCCTGGGCGGTTTAATAGGGAATTGCCTCGTCTCATCAAAAACAGATTTGATTACCAACGATCGGCATCGGATAGGATTCTCGCACTCTTGTTGTATTATATATATGATGGATGCTGCTGTTTTCTTACGAATACGAAGTGAAGATGTGCAAGTACAACATGCACACAACAGGTAGTGCCTGCAATAGTTACTCCACTTTCGCTTTCGCATAATCATCTATTTCTCCTGCCTTATCCTATCCTATCTTACCCCCTCTCTATGAAGATCCTATCTTATCCTATAAGTACTGTCTCTAGTCGATGCCCCCTAATATACTCTCCCCTTCTTGTCCTGTCCAACGGAACGTATCCGTTCCTCTCTCTATCTTATCCTCATCTCCCCTTCCTATGATCCTATGCTATCATACTCTCCCCACCTTGTTGTCTCTTTCATTACAATTTATAGCTCTTCCTTCTTGCAATATTTATATAGTACAACTCCCCGGGCGGCCCTCCGCCCTTACGCAGCTTACCCCTCCCAGAGGATCCTTCTAAGATCAAGCAGCAGCTAAGCGAGGGCATGTATTATTATATTGGCGGTGGCAATATCTTCGATCTGATGGCTACGACTCGCGTGCGGACGGCTACCGGAAAGGTCTACATTTAAGATATTGCCATTAAATTTTAGTCTTACTCGTAACACAGATAAAGAATGGCGTAAACCACAGATATTAACATTAAATTTTAGTAACACCAAGGGCTGCATCATTGGTTGTAGTCGTGTTTTTTGGCTCTTCAGTAGCCACTGAAGTCTGCTGGTTTATCTAGTGGACCTACACCTAACCTAACCATCATCTACATCTAGAACAATAGCTAATTTTCTTACTCTACTCCGCTCTTCCTCGGCTTTTGCTTTTGAGCGACATCACGAGAGTTGAGAGCATCATGTTTGTTTCTTCCTCGACCTGCTCGAGCTCTACTACAAGAAGATCAGGGACATCGACGGACAACGCTCTTGCTTACATTTAAATAAGCTCTTATTCGTTTAAGATTAAATGAACTAGTGCAGGGGTGAGTTAACTCTATGACCTACTACAGTCAATGGATCTACTAGTTCTCTCATCATATTAACATGGATGATGTGAATGAAATAACAGTCGATGATGATGATGATGATGATGTCAATTACAGTTAACATGTTGTAAGAGCTCTATATTCAAAGACAACATAATGTTCTCAAATACGAGAGGTTAAAAGCAACATTTCCTTTTAAAGACGTTTCATGAAGAGATGATGATAGTAATCTTGACCTCGTTAAAGAAAGCCAACGGCTAGTTGTGGCTGAATAGAGTCATCTTCACAATTGTTTTCTAATTTTGCCCTGGCAGCGTGCAAGAGGAACTGTCGCCGAAAGAAATGTTACGAAGAAACCTAAGTATTAACTTTTAGATACTTGCCCTCAGCCTTCTACGTGGAGGACCATGGCTCTTTAATGGCTTCGAGCGCTCGTCTCGTCGCAGGTGAGCCCACTATCCTGTCCTATCCTATTTTCGAAGTACTTACTCCAGAAAATAATATCCCTGACTGTATGTTGTCGAGGTCGTTCTTGTTGTGTCCTCTAGAAAACATCTTCAGTCGTCGTGACTATGTTGTTCACATCGAAGTACAGCTTTAAGAATGCCATCCTTCGGGATGCCGAAAGCAAAAGCCGAGGACGAGGATGTCCCTTTTCTGATGCCATACAATGGAGACACAGCGGAACTTAAGGCTCTTCACTGTGACTGTTTACTCGAAAAGTGTAAATGATAACGATAAGCAAGTAAAAATATTAAACTTCACAGGTCAAATTATTGTGAACGGCGGATCAACTCCACCTATCCTATCCTAAGAGTAACAGTAATAACGCTAAAAGCTAATAGCCCTCTGAACTAAGTAACTTTCCACGGTTAGGGTTATTTCAGTTTTTCGAATATATTGCTCATGATCTTGTTTATATTCATAATTTTGATCTACTTTGTTACTGTTATTAGCTGCCTGCATCAAAATCATTTAGAAGCATCAAAATTATCGGTTTTCTTCGTTTTGAGAAGCACCAATATAATTGGAGTGTTTTTGTTTTTGTAAGGGAGCAGAACTAGAACGACTTCTATTGATAGGTATAATTATCTTCTACTCCGCCCCTGGTGGGAAGGGAGACCTAAGAACCCCGGGGGGGGGCGCCACCTCTGTGTGGACTAAAACTGGTTCGAATTTCCGCCCCTGGTGGGACGGCGAATCTACTTGCGCGCCCCAGGTGGGACGCCTCTGCAAGAAGAACCGCCTGCGCGCTTCTTTTTGCCTTTGCCTGCGTGTTTTAGCGCGCTCTAGACGAGATAGTGCGAGGCCCTTACTGTCTTCCCTGGGAAATACTTGGGAAGCCCTCTGCGTGAGGTTTCTGGTCGCTTTCCTCCGATGACGCACAAGGACGAACACGAAGAGAGACGGCCAGCCCGGGGCGCCCTCCTCCATTGTGTGCCAGGGCTCTCGCACTCTTGATGAGGTGAGTGACCCGCCTAGGGCGCAGGAGGAGCAGGGGCGCGGTGGTGCTGGTTTCGGTGCTCCGTGTGTTCTCAGTGTCCATGGTGAGGAGAGGCTCATAGCCCCGACAGGTTGGTGCCGCCTCGGTGTTTTCCATGAGGGCAAGGGGGTCGGTGGGTTGCAGGTGCGACGCCTTGCGTGGCCTTGTTGGTTGCTTGGTAGTTGGTTGTTTGTCGGACAGTCTACCTGGTCAAGGTGTGTAGCCTGGTCGCTCACCTCGCTCTCGTAGGGATGAGGTGGCCTCCCGCCCTCTGCCTCTGTTCTTGCCACCACCACGCTCGCTACAGCTACCTAGGTTGGTAGCTTCTCTCTGGGCTCCGATCGCTCGGCCCCGGCAGCCGTGTTGAGGAGGCCAAGGCGGAACGGTCACTGTTGTTGCTGGACGACACAGCTGAACACCTGCCGCCGGCTCCCTGGTTGGAGTTTGTTTCCCTTCGCTCTCTGGAACACGCGCGCGCGTGACGGCATGGCCCCTACCCGGCCACAAGTTCCCCTGGATATTCTACACGGGCGTCCTGACTTGCCGCAACCGCATCGCGTGAGCCTTGTGTGTTCATTCTAGCAGGCCGCTTGCTTTGCCGCACACTAGTGAGTAAGACCCAACGTGTTGCCGAACTCCTTCTATACATACATACATAATTATCTTCTAGTACATCAAGAAGTCTTGTACAAGAAAAAGTACTAGAAGGTCGTCTAAAAAAGGCGTGTGGCGATATTGGACTACGCTCCGAGATGCTTTTTACACTCCTCCGAAACGTGAGCCGCACATGTACTTGACCACTATAATTGGTGTGATTTTTAGTCTAAGAGGTGATATACTTCAGGAATTGGAACTGTCAAGAGTGGAGCGGCAGGAAGAACTTCTGGAACGTGGTTAACGAGATGTTGATGAAACGTTGCTTGAAGTGAAAACGTTGAAGTTTATATGAATTTCAACTTTCCAACAAATACAAATTGTATAATATTAGTTAGTTTTCACCTCGACATTCTTAGACTTATCCCGTGCAACAATATCAGTATCAAAAATCTTCTAGTTAGTCACGAAGATGTAGTTGGATCTAGTAGAGAGTCCTCGTGAATGTTGATTTCGATCTGTCATTCATGATGGTGGATCTTCTACCAGTCATCCCTAGAGAAGGAGTACTTCTATCTACAACTAGACTCTCTTTATATAACCTACTTCTACAACATCAACTACTTCGACGACTTCAATTACACGACAGGGCGTACGAACCGACGAAGAGGAATTTATTTTTGGGAGGTCAATCTGCCGGCTCGATGATCCAGAGCACTCCCGACAATGGTTTCTTGTTTTTTGGTGCGAGCGGTGACCCTCCGACCCACCGCATCTTGAAAGCACAGTTCGACTCGCAACCTTACTTAAGGCATGATGTTTTCTGGATGTTGAAGAAAAGGACGAAGAAGAAGATGCAGTTCTTCAGGATGTATTTTTTTTTTAAGATGGGTACAACGAGAAAGCTCTAACTTATTGGGAGAAGAAGATGGATGGGAATAACGAGAAAGTTAAGGCTCCTCAGTCTTCATTGCAGCTGGTGGTAGGTTGTGCTCACTGAAGAGAGCAGAGTTCATTATAAATCAATATCGAAGAGGACCACGAGACCCCCTCGTCCTGAGAGAACAAATTATAGGGAAAGAATCATAAAGTAAGAGAAATATCATGGTCAGGCGGCACGAGAGAGATAGCTGTGTAGTGTCTTTGTAGGGGGTCTACTCTCTTGTTGATGGCCTGCGTGTTGCGCTCCTGAATGGTTGACGACTCTTGTAATACGGTCTACCACCTTCAGAATCAGTGACCACCCTTCCGAATCAAATGACTTCTGACCGACCTCTAAGAACGAATGCAAGATCCCTCAGCTCGCAGCTCGATGTGATACCTTCCTGACCCACAGCATACGGGACTTCTACAATTATGGTGGTACAATAGCAGGTCTAGGAGGTGAAATATAGCATATTACATCAGCAGCCAAGGTGGTTGTCCTTGTCTGGAGGGTGTTTAAAAAGAGCAGTACTAATCGGAGTAGTTAGAGTTTTTAATCTTCCCTCTCAACAAAATAGCCCTTTCAGAAGTGAAGTTCAGCATGATTAAAAGTCCCGTCGACAGTTTCGGTTACGCCTGGGCATCATATCATGACCATCTAGATACGCCCTCGTCGTCCAGCACAATTAATTATCGCTTTACCTCCTGCAGCCATCGCTTTACCTCCTGCAGCCCTACTAGAAGCTTAATTTTTATAATCTCAAATCACTCGTCCTCTAGCTCTAGGCCTGCGATTTCTGCGTGATCGTCCTCTAATCTGAACCATACAGCTGGGATGGGGCTCCTACTTGCGCTGCAGCGACTAAAGGAATACAAGATAAGAGGCCGTCAGCGAATCTTGTCAAGCGGATTGAGGTGCGTAAAGAGATCGAAATGGGTCTCCAGGGACTCTACAAGGAAATTATGGCGTAACAACTCTCTATCTTCTATAACCTATCTTTATTACTGGTACTTATATAGAAATTCAAATTTTAAAAATTTCTACTTCTAGGTGGTAAACATTATTGATGGTCCTCTTGAATGAGGATTTGGTGCTGTCTTGGCCTTCACTTCTCAGACTGAGCAGGCACGTCGTGCTGGTTCTTCTACTCTCATCTTTATAAGGTTGAGGCTTAGGAGGTCCAGCGACGCTTAAAGCACATACTTACTGAAAAAAAATTACCGGCTAGTTCTTATTTTTCGCTCATTTTCATCCTAAGTTAATCCCTTCAAGCAATGTGTAACTATACAGTGTCAACAGTCGGAGTCATGGGCAACAGCTTTTTTGCCTTTGTAACACCTCTAGACAAGTCACAATCATCATCGTCATCGCCTTCGTCGTCATCTCTAACTTTGCCGCGGTCGTCGTCGATGGGAAAAAGGTGCCAGGAATGCCGCCTGGTGAAGTTGACATGGACGCGCTTCTCAAGGAGAACGCGGCAGTCGCGAAATACTTTTTATGGAGGCACTGTTGCCGCTAGACAGAGCTCACATGGAGATACTTACCTACATGGAGGTCCTTCCTTACATGGAGGCACTGACTTACATGGAGATACTTACCTACATGGAGGTACTACTTACATGGAGATACTTACCTACATGGAGGTACTTCCTTATACATGGAGGTACTTCCTTACATGGAGATACTTACCTACATGGAGGCACTGACTTACATGGAGATACTTACCTACATGGAGATACTTACCTACATGGAGGTACTACTACTTACGTGGGGGTGCAGGAGCAGCACTGTTAGTCATCTCAGGAGGCGCCAGAACTGTCACTGTCGCAGATGTGACAGTTCTGGCGCCTACTGAGATGTTATCGAAGAAGTATCTGAAGATGTCATCTCAGTGAGTCTCACAACTAGAACTACTCTATGGAGAGATCACACATCTCATCTTTTTCCTTTTCAATTTCTAGTTGGTTCCTTCTTGCTTTTCCTACCAAAAATAACCAAAGTAGGCGCCAGAACTGTCGTGGCTGCAAAAAACGTATAGATACTACAACTCATAAGTAATATGGTAAATCGAAGAAGTCTCAAAGCAGAGCGGATGACGAACAATGATCTGCGTTATCGTCCATAAGCTAGCCGTAACCCCAAAAAACCGTAACCCTGGCCGTAGGCCCTAAGCAACCAACCCTCAGCAACCAGCCCTAAGCAACCAACCCGTACCAACTAAACTAACCCTTGGTGCCCATGCTCTAAGCTCGCCAGCAAAGGAAGCTGCAGATGCAGTTGCGAGGAATCCGCAAATGTCGCTCCAAGAACAGATCGCTGCACTCGAGGCAAAAAAACCTGATGCACGAGAGACGCTGGTTTCGCTCACAGACCCCACAGCTTTCCAAGTGGAGCTTATGGCTTATTTTCATTGTGCTTTGACTTGCTCTTCTGCGCTGAACAACGAGAACATCTATTGTGATTGCAAACTGCGCTTTTTCAAAAGAAACATCATGGAGGAGAGAGTGTGAATGTTCTACGTCCAACAACTTCATCCCACTGGGTGTAGGGTTTTTTATCGTCATGCTGGTGTGACTCTAAGAATACCTCAGAATGCAACAAGGCGTGCATCGAAAGTTGCCAATCTGCGTCTTTTTTATGGGCACATACTTACAGTATGTACAACTTGTCGCACTAGTAGTAGGTGGCTACATACAGTATTAACAAGAATGATACTTGTTGTAGTTGCACCAGTCGATGAGGATCGAGAAATTGCTGTGCTTCTTCGTACTACAATTACAACATGTTATTGTAAGTCAAAAAATGATAAGAACTCGCTCCTAGATGAAGTCAATAATGATTCTACAGAACTCCACCTATTTGAACAACAATCGAAAGAAGAACTCCACCTGGAAGTCAATAATGATTCTACAGACCAACGCCATCTAGAAGATGAACCTAGTGATCATTCAGTCAAGAAGACTACTCGCCCCAATATGTAGAAGTAGAATCTACGTACTACACAACTTTTCTTGTTGTTGAGTCAACAGGAAGAACCAGAACAGTAGTCTACTTGTACTAGTACTAGGAATCCAATCCGATCCAACTACTTGTAGTACTAGGAATCCAAACCTCTATCTAAGGAGCTCCTGCTCTTCTATCTAAGGAGCATTGATGGACGCATCTGCAGGAGCTTCTCTTCTATCTCAGTCTCACATGCGACCTATCCTAGTTCCTAATAGGTGTTAGATGAACCTGCCTGTTTATAATCTTCTAAGTCTCACATGCGAGGAACTAGAGTATTTGGAAGTCGGCGGATCCGAAGATGTTGGACACGGTTGCAGGTTTCATGCCCAAGAAAAAATCGTGAAAGACTTGGGAATCAGCTTCACTGGTTTGGGCTGGGTTTCGCAAACCGATTCGCTTCAACTTTATGACAACCGATAGAAGGACTCAAGTAGAACTAGATGAACAGATTCTTGGAATTGCTACGGGGATCATGAGATGTAGAAGAGCAGATGTTGATGAGACGCAAGATACTTCTGGATACTTGAGTTTACTTAGCTTGTTTAGTACTAACTTCTGAGAATGGATTAATAGAGTTAGTAGTCATTCTCGTCGAACCTTGCATACTTTCGAGCCTCTATGTCTATTATGATTTTACAACAATAACACATGTGTAGTCGTGCCTACTTGGCCTTCTAATAGCTGCGTCCACATGCATGCAAGAAGGATCAAGGGAGCATGGTCGTGAAGCCTTTTCTCGCTGATGCAATGAAAAATTTCGCGAATGCGCCGAACCTGCGTTATGTTCTTCGTTCTTGTGTCGTGATGTACTTAGATATTTACATCAGTAACTAACTAACTACAAGACTAGAATCGTAGTGCTACCAGCAACACCAGAACAGTAGGTGGACTAGAATGATACTAGCGCCTGGCCACAGAGCAGCGGAGCCTCAACCTTCGAAGCTTTTGAACCTAGAATGGTACTAGATTTACTACTACTATCGACCTCTGTCAAGAGACGAGGACACTCAGGCAACGGCCGAAATGGACTGACTTCTACAGATCGCACGTTCTCAAGTGGATGCATAATTCGAGCGACTTCGTTTATATCTCTTGACTGGGTGCACTACTACTACTACTAGAACTTAGAATGGTACAGGTACTAGATTTACTTTTACTACCCACGTAACGTGTAACTAGCTTCAGGAGGTATCTATAAATATGAATTTTTAGAGTCAAATCGCTTAAATTAAGTAATCTATCCCAGTCTTATCTTTTATTGTGCAAGACAGAATTCCAAAAATAAATCAATGGGTGGTCTATCCTCTTCTTCGATTCTCTAGCCTGTCGTATCTTTCTAAAAAGACCAGAAGGGCGATACCTTCGTCTACAGTGACGGGATGGCTGTGGTTCTGATGGGGGATGCACGTCGTGCCGTTCTAGGCAATTCCGAGTTTGCCTTTCTGGAAGAAGTTAAGGTGGTCCCAGTACAACGGTTGTAGGATCTTTTTCTGAGCTACAATGTATCTTCTTCATTATGCCAATATGAAGACTCAGCATAATATGTCATATCAAAGACGTGGCTCTTTTGTTTCATTCAATAGAGACTGTCACGTCAGTGAAAAAACGCATGAGCAAGCACGACCCCCCCATGCGCATGCTCACCCTCCTTCATATACACTCGCAAGAATGCCAAAAAGGAAAAGGATGCCGCTGCCAAAGCCAAAGCTGATGCCGATGCCAAAGCCAGAGCTGACGCCGATACCAAAGCCAGAGCTGATGCCGATACCAGAGCTGATGCCGATACCAGAGCTGATACCGATACCAGAGCTGATGCCGACGCTGAAGCTAATGCTCTCGAATCGAGCGGTGGTATAAAGATTCAAAATTATAAATGTTACTAGAGGAATCTTGTTATTATTCGCAGAGGGTCACCTTCATGTTCATCTTGTAACGAATGCAGAATCGCATCATGCGAGATAAGTAGTTGTATCTTAATTTTTTGCGGCTGATGATCATGTACTACGTACTTATTAACACTTTTGCAAGAAGATCTTCGTTAGAAACAAGAACAAACTAAAGTAATTACAAAAAAATTTTACAATGATCTATTCCTGAATCTTCACGTCGTCGACACACAACATCATGCAAAAGAAAACAGGTGGTGGACACTCGAAAATTGGTGCCTGCGACCATGCGTGTGACTGTTGCAGTTCGTTTTTGGAGGATGGATCTGGAGGATGCAACCCGTCCGATTGTCCTTCGTGTGAAGGCACCAGCTGCAAGAACGTTTATGTTTGTTCTTGTTGTTGTCTTCTAAGTATAAGTAGACTACGTTTATGTCTGTTCTTGTTGCCTTCTAAGCGTAGACTGTCTAAGAAGTAGAAGAAGTACTAGTTTCTAGTATTAGAAGGTAAGTAAGTACTTATAACTTAGGTAGTTCGTTGTTCATCTGCTACAGAACAGTAAAAGGTAAATATATACAAGCATTATCTTATAGGTTGACCTACGCTTCGCCCGCCCTTGTCTCGACACCTCGCGTGAAGATTCAGCAACGGCAACCTCCCCTATTCTATTCTATCCCATCCTATCACATTTGGAGTTGATTCTTTTTTACGAAGTAGATAGAATAAAATAGCTTAACTTCTAAGAGAAGGCCGCCAACGACGAAGGAGTCGAAGAGGACCACTACGAAGGAGCCAAAGTGGCCGAGCATGATGCAGCCGAAGAGGTGCCGACGACGTCCTCAACCTGGTTCAATAATTATGTCTACGTGTTAAATAGCTCATTTCAAGCACTGTTCTCTCCGCTTCAAAGCTTGACTAAATATGCCGATCAATGATCAAGCAATCTTCATAGTCCTCTGCTCGACTGAGAAGCATATAATATGCATATGGTTACTCCTATGTATAGAAAAAGAATATACGACTACAACTATCAGCACTGCAAAAAATATACGACTACAAATATATTATACAACGACTCAGCACTTGATAGTCTATCACTCGGTCATCTTGCTCTTGTATTTAGACCAACAGCTTTGTCATCGTAAGCCTCCAATCAATTAGAATTAGTAATTCTTGAAAATCATCATGATCAACAAATCAGAAGTATATCAAGACATGAGAAAAATTGCAAAGGAGGAGCAAAAAAGGAAGAGAAGGAGAGATAAAATCTTCCAACAACAATGACCTCTTGCCAGGCACATCAATCAATCAATCAGTCAATCAATCGAATATATCAAAGTCAACCTCTTCTAATGTGAACGCAGAACAAGCTTTCTGCAGCACAAACGATCCGACGACGCAGTTATTCAAGTTAAGGAACTAGTTCCCTGGAGGAGCTGCATTAGTGGATGTTGGCCTCACAAGTAGACACTAATAGCCACTACATACGAGCCTCTGAGGTACCATGGCATGCATGGGGAAAAGTATAATAAAAAGAACTCAACACTTACACTGTTGAGTCACCATCTTCTAGTATCATCATCTCATAGTATGTAAATCTTCTAACAAAGGAGATCAATTTCAATACGAGGAAATCCCTGGAGCTACTTTGGACCATGCCGTGGGAGTGGAGGAGAATGAGACGTTGATCAGCAGCACAGAAGAAGAGTTAAGTCTACCGCTGGAGCATGTGGTCTTTAACACCATTATAGTCCTTGGATCTGCTTTTTCTACTTGAAAAGGAATCCAAGCATGCTCTCAGGGATGCGACAATGGTAGCTCTAAAAAAGGAAGACCGGGCTCGCATGGGCTTCCTTGCGCCGCGTTAAGGCCGTTGACAGATCAAAATAGAGGAGGAGGAAAAGTGGTGGTAGAGCAGGAGGAAAAATCAATAAGAGTAGAAACTAGAAGAAAGGGGGGAGGCGAAGTAGGACAGGCTGCTATTCTTCTTGCTTGACCAAGTATTAACTAGAAAGGGGGGAGGCGAAGTAGGACAGGCTGCTATTCTTCTTGCTTGAACAAGTATTAACTAGAAAGGCGGGAGGCGAAGTAGGACAGGCTGCTATTCTTCTTGCTTGAACAAGTAGTACCTACTTGATGTAAGTAGGTACATCATGTTGAGCTGGAGGATGCGATGTACAGAACTATTTGTTCTACGGAGAAGGTACACAACCAGGATAAAGAAGATATTGAGCACAAATATGACAACAAGAAAATCTTGGTTACACCAGTTACTCTTACCTGTAGTTCAGCCAACTAATTGCTAGTTGTTACAACTGATTGATTTTGATGTAATAACTTAGTACCTGTCTTGAAGAATTGTAACAAATAGTTCTTGCTTGAGCAAGTAGTTCTCTGCAGCAATCATGAGAAGTTGTTGGCAGGGTCAGAGACGGGGACCGGGAGGTTTTTCTACGTAGTTTTGAAAGAAGGTTCGTAGAAGGAGGAGGTGTGTGGGAGCGGTTTGTAGAAGATTAGAGGGGAATAGAAGATTGTAGGGATTTGTAAAAGATTCGAGGGTTTCTGGAAGTTTATCTTCAACATACTTACATTGGAGGTGGTGGCGCTGGGGGCTAGGGAGATGTTGTCACCAGTGTCGTCGGAGGAGGGGGAGGAATCGATGTAGAACGGATGAAGGTGAGAAGAGACCGGTGAGAAGAGACCCACGACTGGTGCTCTATTCGAAAAGAACTACTTCGAAGTAATTAAGTATAAGGTTGATTCAAAAACGAAATATTCAAGTTGTCAGGAGCACGTAATATATGACATGAGTAAAAACAACGTAGGAACAGGCATATTTGCAATAGCACTGCTGAGTATTTAAGTATGTTCGTAAAAGTCAGAAGATGTCAAATTTGCACCACAATAGATTTATTCGTTATCGTTTCTTATTATCACAACTGCATGCTTATTCTTATCGAATTTATGATGATCAACTTCAAAGTGTTAGCTGCACAGTTCTGTCATATTCACCACGAAAATCGTCATGCAAATGTGAACGAAATCATCAGTTATTATCAGCACTGAGTACGTATTATCTTATCAACGAACATCACAAAAAGAATTACGCATACTATCCAGAATTAAACGAAGTACAACTTAATACCATTTACAACATTCACAATAAATTTAAATACACAGTATGTACGACCACATCACTTAGTCAATCATTAGAGGGACGAGCAACGAGAACTACAACTACGGAGTCCAGTCATGAATCATGTGTACGTAAATAACCCGAAAATGATTAAAAAAGCGAGCAGAACCACATCAAGATGAGAGACAAAAAGTAAAGGTACTTGAATAGAAATGGATTTGAGCAGAACTACGACACACTGAAACCGAGAACAACAAATCATGGGCTTCTACTTGTTGTGATATTTTTTCATCAACTGTAAGTATATGAGCACCAACTACTTGTACATCATAGCCCCAGATAGTCAAAACAAAAACGACTTGTATGGCTGGCGAAAAAATGATTATGTAGTACATGCTGCTTCTCGTTACCACTAGCTAGTAAGCAGCAGGAGAAATGAGGTGCTTATTTGATCAGTGTTCTCATAGAGGGATGCTCTTAATGCACAGGTAATCGGTTTCTTGCAGTCCTTGCTTTCCGTTCCATTTCTGCCTTGAGCAACTGCCTTATAATCGGTGAGAGCCTTGAAGCTAATATAGTGTCTGATTCCTCTTGTTCTATTCGTCTTAACTGCTGAAATCAATAACGTTGACGACCAGCAGTACTAGGAATCTACTATTCTAAGAGGACTGTCCTCAGAGGACATCATCTTCGAACACTTCTCTTCTAGATAACGAGGGTGATGATTATAGAAGGGTAGTTTCGCTTTGAGGAGCGAAACAAGATACAGAACGCAAGAACTCCTAATTAAGTTATATGTCGCTCAAGCGTCAAAAGATACCTCCAGAACAGGTAAATGAATGAATGAACCTCCTTTATCCAAGATGAGAAAGACATGTGACAAACTCGTTCGTCTCCTAGCTCTGGGAGAGCTAGTGGACCACGCCGTGAGTGTCGAGCACAGGCACAGCACGACTCAGCATCACAAGACAACGGTTGTTCAGACTCAGCACAAACAGCGACAAGAAACGCAAGATGAAACAGGTGATGTTGAGCAGGATGAAGAGGATAAAAACGATGAAGAAGAAGAAGCAGAAGAAGAAGAAGGCAGCGCAGTGGACCCAGAGAACTTCCCGAATGAGGTTGACCAAGGACAAGAAAAAGATGAACGGCATAAGGAAGAGGGGGAGGACGGAGACGGTTCAGCACTATCATCTCTTCCACCCGGTGACAAAAAGGTAGATGATGATCATCTAGCTGCAGCTCAGCAGAGTGCTGAGGCGGCACCATCTGATGTCGCCGAGGCAGGTACTACTTGTTGGATTTACACGTAAGTGATTTTTTTTTTAGATTAGTAGTGATTTTAGAAGAACAAAGTGAAAAGTTGAGGAGGTTCAGGATGTTGACGACACTCATAGTTTATACGAATATGTAACTTTCTTTATTTGTACATCATCATCAGCTTCAGCATGATGAGCACTAACATTCTCTTCTCATGTGATCCGTTTCAAATATATCTTCTCGTCCTTCTCCTCCTGCTACAGATGCAGCTCTTAATAACGACAACCGCGTGAAAGAACCTCTCTTCAAGGTCAAAGCTAAGGCCAATCCTGCGAGTGGCAACGAACCGAATGCTTTCCTCCAACATCGAAGGTCCGTAGATCGAAGATCCGTAGTTGCGACGAAACAGGAAGACACGACTTCAACTCCTGAAGTTAAGCAGAAAATTAGAATTTGAATTTGTGTTTGTTATTTTGTTGCTTCTACGTTTACTTTCTCGGTGTTTTCTAGTCAGGTTTGCTCCACCAACATTTACCACTACTACCAGCTCCTGACAGTGACTACAATCTGATACGTTTGAACAAGAACAATCGCTTCATGATTTACTTTCTAACGAAGAACCTGAAGTTGCTGCGTTGGTCGGGGAGGAAGACGACTCCAAGAGAAAGACTGGTGCCTTTCTTGCGCCGCGAGTCGAGTCTTAGGATGGCAGACAGCAGGGAAGAACATTAACGAACGATTATAAGATCTGATAAACGCGAGCACGACACCAGCTACCCAGATAGCAAATTCAACTAGAGCCATATGATCCATTACCACGCTACAGAATTCAAGTTGATATTATATGAGTAATACATGATGAAGATTCTTTTTTGGATTAGGTACATGAAGATGAAGGCTTTCGAATAGGAACATCATCATCAACTAGTTGTATGTAATAATATATAGAATTTTTGGACACTTCTTCTTATCAAATCTCGACATCCTATTCTCAACAACTCGTACTTGTACATCTAATACAATCATCAAAAAAAATGAACCACGGCCACAATCTACGAAGAACCACGTCGACATGTAAGACCTGTACTCAAGAACATAGGAGAATCAATTTTTTGGGCAAACATGATAATGATTCATTCGCTTTGATTTTGGATTTTGATATCTGTAGTCGTTCCTTCTTGTATTCGTTCTTGTGTTCGTTCTAACATCAAAGAACTTTGCGAGGGAGAGGAGAGAAGGAAAAAGATGAGCAGAGGAAGCCTACTTAGTCTTAGAATGGCGCGATATTATTTAATACACGTAGACCAGGGGCCTTGTAATGAAATTATTGAGTTCTTTTCATTTTACCGATACTACAACAGATAAAGCATGGCACAGATAAAGCAGTCCTCTAGGAGGTCCTCAAGGACCAGCTTTATATCCTTCATCCGTCAACATCTTATGAAGATGCTGTTGGTACTGCCGCAACTAGCGGCACCAGAACGACATCGTCCTCCTCTACAAGACAATGATGCACGTCCACCTCTACAATTACACGACCCCAATAGGAAACATCATGGTTATCCATTCGATGCACTAGCAGACCACATCCTCGGAAGGTTCCTCTCAGCTACGAAGATGTGTCTTTATTTTTATGAACTTGAGTTAGAAGTTTGTGATTTTATGTCGATTTCGATCTTCTAAGAAAAGTTGTACTTTCCGATTAACCTCCAGGATAGAAAAAAAACAAGAAGAAGAAGAAGATGAAGAAGAGAAATTACTTCCTAGGAGGTGTATAGTGGGTGTGGGAGATGGAGATAAAGAGATGAGATTTATCGACGTGATAAGACTGAGCTTTAATGCATGAAAAGAAGGAGGACGACGACCCATGGTTTTCGAAGCTGGAGCATTTGACGGCGAGTCTGGATCATTGAGTCTCTTTTTTTATGGATCTGTAGCATAAGTGGTGGAGATGCAACATTACCGCAGCTCCGCGTAGAGCAGCAACATCACGACGTACCAGCAGAGTTGGTGCTAAAATATATCCCTCCACGTCCACTGTAAAGCTAAGCTAGTAAGTACTATTAGCAGAGATGAAGTTCCTACATCTTTCCTCTAATATCCCGAGCGGTTCCGTGGATTTTCTTGCATCCTGATGGAAGCGTCTCCAATCTCGGTGGAAAAAATCACACAAAAAAATCGAAATTGCATTCTTGTTCAAGGTGCTCTTTGGCCGAAACAGTGGGATTGGGAGAAGAGCACAAACAGTGAAGTTTTTACCATGGAGTATGCTATGGAGTTACGTTGTCCTATTCTTGCAGAGGCAGCTAAAAAGGACCCTAAGCAGCAATGGAAAATCACACAGGATGGCGCTGGATTATGGCTCTGTTGTAGTTCAGATCCGAACCACCAGAGGACACCAGTATATTTACTGTCAGTCCAAAGATTTATCATAATCATCTCTAGGGTATTACAATTACTACTCGTCCCAGCTTGCTGGCTCTCTCTACACGACATATTCATCGAAAGAGACTTCCACGGCCTATTTTCTCCTCTAAGTACATGTGCAGCTCTATTTCACGATCATAAGATCAGTGCAGGTGAACTCCGGGAACTTGGCCACGTCGTTACGACAAGCACCACAGTCCCTGCCTATCCGTTGAATTGGGTTATGAAGGAAGCAGCCAGAACCTTCAGCCTTGATGAAGACGGCGGGAAGACTTCTGCAACATCTTTCAGATTTAGTGGTACTACTTCTTCTACTTCCATCGCTAGCACAGGTGCTACGTCTTCATCTAGTACGTCCTCAATAGCCTCACCCACGAACAACAACAACAACAACAACGACAGCGACAAGAGAACAGTCCTCGATATCTGCTTCTTAGATGTGGAAATGTCCGAGAAAGGGATTTTGGAAAATCTAGACTGGACGAAGCTTCAAATCGGGCTTCTTAGTTTTGAATTTTTGCATTATCTTCCGCATGAGCGTCAGGAATTGATGCAGTTTTTGCGTAAGCCGAAAAGCCTCGGCGGTCCTGGATTGCGTGCTGTGAGTGCACGATCCTACTACAGAATTTGCTCCGAGTGGGACCGGCATCGAGCGATCAATCTGAAAGTACATGACTCAGAATGTGGAGAAAGAGATACTCCAGAAGATGCTGAAGTAGATGAGATTGGTTCTACTACAGCTAGTATTGCAGCTACTCCAACTCCTGGCGACAGAAGCAATAATCGGCCAGTCGATTCCGCACGACAAGGGACATACCGCACACGGTCTCACACTTGGCTTTATTCTTTAAGGCTTCGGAGCGCTCTTCGTTATCATTTACTATTCGTTTTACAACAAGGGCTTACTACTTGTTCTATCTAATATTTACTATTCATTTTTTTCTTGCGGGTCCTTCCAATGGTAATAATTTGCTACTGCATCTTCTGAATGATAATAAAATCCTGGTCGTGCAGAAGTCCTCTCAGTCTGACTAGTCGCACTAGTTCACCAACGTCAACCCACCTTGTTGTTTTCATGCTCTAATATCCCCTGGGCTGGAGCAAGACCAAGTGATGGTCGACCCCGACTATTTTCGAGAGAAAAACATACCGCTGCCCTTACACTTCCTGCAAAACCGGTCGCACATTCACTGCACAGCGACAACGACGTTGCCTAGAAGAAAACTGTGGCAGAGAGCCAGATTGATGATGTTGAAGAAGATACCTAAAAATGAAGCGCACAGGAAAATATTGGAGCAAGAACAAGTAGCATTACCGGAGGAGCCTGACTCAATGCACCTCGGATACGGAGCAGGAGACAACCAACCTGTGCACGACATTGCTCTACCGTCTATGACATGAAGTAAGTAGATTTTTGCCATTTATTTTCCATAGAGAAGTAGAGCATGTTGACGAAGTGCTCCTGTAGCGCGAAGGACTAGACTTCAAGAAGAGTAGGCACTCCTGTGAACTCATTCCAGTACATGATTTTCATGCGTCGATACCTCACTTGTCACTTCTCCCCTTTCATACCATCGGGACGCGCATTAGAGACTTTTGCGGCTTTGCGGGACTCGGAGGATCCTGGCGTAGTAGACCTGATAGCGTCTCACGCAGAGCTGCAGTCTCAAATCGCTTTCGAGGTGAAGGGAAGATGGGGTGAAAAGCTAGTTGTAGTGAATGGGACAGCTAAAGCTATGAGGAGTAACACAAGCATAAAAAAACAAAAAGGAGAAGGAGAACGGCAACATGTTGGAGCAGGAGCAAGTGGAGAACTACAAGGTGAAGTTGTACACGTACAGGAACAGGGTGACCAAAAACAAGATATTCAAGATGTCCTGAAACAAAAACAAGTAAGAGACTTGATGGAGTTTGTGCGAGCTCGTTTACAGTTGCCAGTTCTAAGGGTGGATTCAGTGGAGACGCTTTTGTCTTACGAGTTCGGAGGCAGCAGGGATAAAGATGGAACGAAAGGCTTATTTCCTAGAGAAAGGCGTTTCCGTCAGCCCCAAGAGGCTTATAGTGAAAGCGGACACGTCTTTCGAGCTCAAGATGCTTCGCATAGAAGGGATCGGCATAAGAAAACCGTGGAAAATTTTGGACGTTTCAGGTTTGGAACAAGAACTACGTCTACTTCAAGTTCAACAAGACCACATCGAGCTGAATCTGCATCTTTAACGACTCCCTTAAAAACATCCTCATCCTCGTCCTCTTCAAAGTCCTTTTCAAACTTCGAAGACCCTTCTGCTTCTCCTGCGGTTGTTTGTGTCTATCAAGCCAAAGGTTGGTATGGAGCTCGCTCACCGGTGCCCTCTCCTGAATTCCTACGGTCCGCGATTGCTTATATGAAAGCCAAAGGATTCGACCTAGTAGATATGGTCGTAAACAAAGACCTCGCTGATGGTGACTGGAGTGGCATACAGGGAGAAAATGATTTGGTTGATTACTTTTTCAATCAGGTTGTGGGGGAGGGAGATATGGATAACAACAACAAAAACAACAACAACGAGAAAGTTAACAAGTCCGCCTCTTCTTCCTCTACACACACTCGTTTCATCGATGGCGGCCATAACCGAACAGGACGGACACCACTCAAGGGGATGATAAGGGCTTTATCGCGCAATATTCGGCATCATAAAGAGGGACGGCGGTCCTTCTGGGGAAGATTCTGCGGGAATTTGGAGGCTCTAGAATGGCAACAAATGCTGCTGAGCTTCAGAAATCAAGACTACTTCGCGAAGTTGTTGCATCGACATGTGGATCCTATGACGAATCATATGGAGGTGGAAATAAGAGTGAACGATCAGGATCAGCAAGCAGATGTACTGAATAGAGGTTTAAGAGAACAGACTCAAGAACATGCGCCACAAGAACATGCGCCACAAGGCCATCAACCACATGGTAATCTCCTTCCCCTTGCTCCTGGTTTTACTGTTCTGGCGGCACAGTGGAGGACATCTTCAAGTAGGCGATTAAGGGCCACGCCAGCCCCCTCTGTCTATTGGAGTTGGGTTTCCAACATGAGAGTTTCGTTCGTCTCTTCTTTTTTACGATATCAAACACTATCTTGCGCAAAACGCATGTCCGGCTTAAGTGGACCGAGGAAGCTACCTTTATGAAGGGCTCGATGTAGATTATTCCGACCATTTTTTATACTTCTTGAAGATAGAAGATGCACAACATAGTGCATCGCAAAGGTCTCTTAGATAGCTGCTAGCCAGGTAGTTCTTCTTGCTGGCAACTACGGTAAGTTATACATTTCTGCTTTGTTGTTTTCACCAATTTACCTAGGAAGATTTCATCAACTTCGCTTCACCTTGATCCGACTTTCATCTTCACCGACAGAAGCCAACCTGCTGCGAGGCCGCCCGCTGCCCACGATAGAGACTTTCTGTCGGACGGTTTCCTTTTGAAAAAACCATATCCATAATCAATTACTACAAGTTCTTGGCACAATTGCCTTGCGCCTCCAGGGCTTCATTCTGAAAGTACTTAACGAAGATAACGATCGAGAAGCGGCGTTCAAGCAAGAATCCTGATCAGACATGAGGACAAGGTTGTTGAGATCTTGAAATAAATCATTCAAACTTGAAATCAAGATAGTTGGATTTGATCCACTCCACAACAATCGATGTACGAATGTTTCAAGATCAACCTCCTTTTCCTTTGCAAAAAAGATCATATCGCTGAAGATCCTTCTATGAAATCCATTTTCTCTACAACAAGAACGTTCAGCGTCGACTTTGCTCCAACTTCCACAAGAGCTATGTATAATTGCGCAGATTTGACATCTTTTCGTTTTTCCTTTTTTCAAATTTTCTTAAGAACTACTCGTCGAAGAACTGTGTTCTTGTTTAGCCCAATCTGGATAGAAACTCTTGCCATGTCCTCTCCTTTGTCTCCTGCAAGTAAGAAACGCAAGATGCCTTCCACCACGTTGACCAAAGCCGAGATCGATATTCTCGATGGCAATGACCGTCATCCCGCCCTCCTCCGTCTCCTCGACACCATCAAGACGACCAAGACTAGCTCCGCTGTCGCGGATCTAGTCGGTTCTACTGAAGGAGCAGCTAAAGAACATCCCTTCCTTTGCACTCATCATGGTGGCTTTCATTGTGATGAAGCCCTTGCCTTGGGCATGCTCAAGCTCCTTCCCCAATTCGCAGATATGCCGATTCTGCGCACAAGGGATCCCTCTCTGATCCAAGATGCGAAGCTCGTAGTCGACGTTGGTGGCATCTACGACCATGAGAAACTGCGCTATGACCACCACATGGGAGATTTCACTACCATGTATTCCGAAAACCACAATGTGACGAAACTGTCCTCTGCCGGTTTGGTTTTCAAGCACTACGGTACTGCCATTGTGAAGGAGTTCATCAAGCAAACATCTGAATCCGCTGGCTCGGAAGTAGATCCTTCTGCTTTCCAAGACTCCGACATTGCCAAGATCGTTCTCAAGCTCTACCGCAACTTCATCGAAGAGGTTGACGCTATCGACAACGGCGTAGAACCAGCGGAAACACTGAAATACCGCATTAGCACAGGACTCGGCTCAAGAGTGAAGCGATTAAACCCCAGTTGGAGAGAGGAGAACGTCTCTTCGGCGACAGAGAACACGCACTTCAAGAAGGCAATGATGATCTGCACCGAAGAATTCTGGAACCAACTGTCGGGATTGGTCGAAGAATGGTAATTTTTCATGATGTACAGACAGTGTCATTGATGAACAAATTCTCATTTCGCTATAAAGAACCACTTTTTTAGATTTACCTCACTCAGATGCTTCTACAAGAACTCAGACCAGGATCCACCACAACTTTTTCCACATCTACTGAAGATTTACTCCAAGAAAGAAGCCTTCATCTCCTCCTAGGTACCCAGCCCGCAAAATCGTCGATGACGCTGTTGTCGCTGCTAAGGATACTCGTATTCTTGTCCTCCCACGTTGCTGCCCGTGGCAAGAGCATCTGCTTGACATCGAAAGAGAGCAAGAGGAAAGAACCGGGGAACCTATTCCAGAAGATCAGAAGATGCTGTACGTCATCTTCCCGGACAGCAGATCTGGCAGTTTTAGAATCCAAGCTGTGCCGAAAGTCAAAGGCAGTTTTGAGAACCGCAAGCCATTACCCAAGCCGTGGCGTGGTGTGCGCGACTCGGATCTCAGCAGCGTAACCGGCATCCCGGGAGGCGTTTTTGTGCATGCTAGTGGCTTCATTGGCGGCAATCAGACCTTGGAAGGAGCTACGGCTATGGCAAAAGCAGCTGTTAATTTTTAGGAGAGGACGCCAGAGGCAGTTATTGTTATACATAGAAGATGTTATACTAGAAATGATGAGGATTCTACTTCATGTTCTTGTTAAAGTTGTACGTGAACAAGGTGAACATGTTGATCTACATCCCTTTTTCGTTGAAAGTGGCAAAGTTCATCCACGACCACAGGAACAAATGTTGGGAAAAATCCTGCATAGCCAATCCCCATGGCTGCATCCACCTGCCACATCCATATGGGGCATCATCGAGTTGCTTGACTTCAAGCGGACACGACCCGATAAACCAAAAAAGCGCTCTACCCGTGCAACCTGCCCTTCTATTTGTAATAAGGATTGTTCGCCACATATGACTGATATTACCTCTTACTCGAAGAACCACGGTATCGAGAAGCAAGTTCACGTAAAAACGCAATACTAGAAGCAAAACGGGTGTTGAAGAATGCCAGATGATGCTACGTAATCACGCACTTCGAGAGTAGAGGAGACGACAGTCACGAGCCCCATCTCTGTCTAAGTGAAGAAAAATGCTTGCTATCATGCTTGTCCTGTCTGGTGATCGGTAAAAAGAGAGCTACCTGAGTTGAATTCTGCAGAGAGCACTTGTTAGTGCAGTTGTCGGTTTCAAAAAATCGTCCGCCTGAGTGATGAAGGACATGAAAATAAGCGGAGAACAAATGCTGGTAGTAAAAGTAAGTGCGACGAAAAATGAATTACACGGGCGAACAAGAAAAGACAGAACAGCGCAGAAGTCAATTCCCTCACTGGTCTAGGTCTTCTCTAGCAGAGCTTTATTTCTACTTTTCAGCAGTCAGTAGAAACAAAGTCAACCAATTTAAAATTTCAAAATAGCAAGATGCCACTCGAAGCAATTCTCGACGAGGACTACCGCGTCTACTTGAAATTTCAAAATGCCACTCGAAGCAATTCTCGACGAGGACTACCGCGTCTACTTGAGCGGCTTCATCGGCGCTTCTTCGTCCAGTTCTAGTGCCGGTGCCGCTAGGAAACGCTTCCAGCCTTCAGCCGCTGAAGTCGTTGCCCAGTCGTCGGGAGATGCCCATGTGACGCATTCGTATCTAGTCGATTCAGATGCGCACCCGTTGTCCTACAAGTTGGTGAATTTGGACCATGATGGCGGGGTTTTACTGGGCATTGTTCGACAGATCATGGCCGCGGATGAAGTGGGTATGGCTGCTGGGGTTGATGATGAAGTTCGTTGAAATAACTGTCTACGTAGTATGAATCAAAGCTTAGGTTTAATTATCACATGATAGATTTAAATAGATTAAATCACAACTACTTCGGCTTTCTAACTGCTCACAACATGCATGAGACTTGCCTAAACATCCCTTGTGCGAGTGTCACCTCCTTCCATCTTCATTCCCTACCCGGCAACCGTGAGAGAGAAAGTAGCCGCCGAAGTTTCGAGGTATTTGTGCTTTCCCGTAGGCCGAGTGGTAGGCGAAGGCGACTATCCTTACGAGTACCGAGGGTTTCCTACCTCAGTTTTACTACCGAGGTCCACGTTGGGTTCGAGGAGGCATGATGCACATCAAGATGAAGATGAGCAGACTATAACAGCATCTTCAGCCGGGGAGCATGGTTTCGGCAAAGCTCCCCCTGGTGAACAGTTGCAACGTCGTGACAGCAGTACAACGATCGAGATCAACGGGAATCTTGTCGTCGTTCAAGACGATGATGAAGATCATGTGGATGAACAAATTGCTGACACATCGAGAACTAGAACAAGAGACGATAGAGCAGGAAGCCACGATGACCTCGACGACTTACTGGAGATGCAGGAAAATGCTTTTTTGGAGGAAGATGGGATACAGAAACGAAGTCGAAGCGGACAAAGCGGTGACATCGATGCAGCATTGCAGCCCCTTCATCGCCCTCCTGGTAAACTACATCAGTCTGCTGGATCATCGAATGCCTCACCGGCTCACGATTTGACGTTATTGACTTGGGAAGACATTTTGCTGCACGGTCGTGGCGCAGTGGGGGAAACAGCTCTGCACATCTGCTTTTTGTTGAGTATGGCTCCTGAAATAATGCTGGAGTGAATCGCCCTTCTCAGCTGGATGTAAAATTCAAAAAAAATATCTTCCCCAACGCGACGAAGGGCGATTCACTCAAATATTCTTGAATTCCAAGAAATATTAAGTAGTAGAACTAGAATTATCTTGCCCTTTCCCTTTCTCTCCTTTCCCCTTGCGCTGTCCCTCCTGGTGACGATGACTGCTACTTTCTGGCTTTACTCAGGTCTGCTGACCTAACCCAATAACAGCATGATAAGTCCGACTGGGTTCGTATTCACCTCTTCTATTAGCCTTCGACGGTGTTGTATATTACCTATCTAGACAGCCTCCAATTGAGAAATTGCGGCTTGTTTATTTTATCTTATATCATTGTACAACAATGTTCACCTGTCTAAACGAAGCGTTATATGTGTTTATCTACAGTGAGTCACCCTTCTCAGCGGGATGTAAAATTCAAAAAAAATCTCTTCCCCAACGCGACCTCGACCCACCTGGCGATCCCATCATTCTTCATCCTCCATTCCGACGCTCACAAAATCCTTATCGACGTTTTAGTTAAGCAGTTTGGGAAACGCCTTTGCCGCCAAAAATGGGATCCCAGAGTACATCTGGAACTGGAGAGTGCTAGACTTCTGCCGACAGATGTGCACGAATTGGAAGATTTGAGGAAAAAAGGGATTGCGGATCATGCGCATTTCTCTGTGGACAAGGCAGATGTTAGTGTGCGAATAGTAGAAGGAGAGGGCAAGGATCGAGTAGACGGAGAGGACAAGAATCAAGTAGACGGCGATGGCAACTTCTACACTACAACAACAAAGCCCTCGACTCCTCCACCGTCCTCGACCACAACAGTTGTACCTTCACACTCTTTCAATGCAATCTGGGTCCCTTACGTCGATGCAACTTACACCGGTCCTTCCTATCGCGGAGAAGCGTGTATCCACATTGCCATTACGAACAAGTGCCTAGATCAGGTGCATTTGCTAGCAAGAGAGGGAGGATGCGACATTCGGTACGTGCTCACTACAGGTACCTTCTTTCGGGGGAAATTGTACTACGGTGGCTTGCCGCTGCTGTTCTCGGCGGCGCATGCGACCCAGGAGATCTTTGACTTCTTAGTAAACTGGTATTGTGAAAGCAAGATGAGAATAATGCAGGAAGAATTGGAAGAATTGGTTGGAGGAGCACCGCCAGGTGGTCGTGGACGTAGTAGGTCAACAACTACACTAATTATGGGTCTAGGAAATTCAACATCTCCGAAGTCATCATCTGGAAGAGAAAGACAATACAGGAAAATGGGACCCAGATGATCCCTGACGAGATGGATTCCCGATACCTCTAAACTAGAAGCAGGTAAAGCTAAGGTAGATAAACAAGCTAAGGTAGATGAACAAAAGGGACAAGAACGAGCAGGACCCAGTAATAAAACCTCCTCTCCTGATCCTGAAGCAGTTGGCGTTTTCCCACCACAGTCTCCGCCAGAAACCGATGAAGTTGTCGACGATTTACTCCCTTCCCAAGTACTAGAACGAGCAGGGGAACAAGACGATTTCTTGGCGTCCACGACTGCTGAAAAGAACACAAATGCATCTTCATCGCCGGTTGAGAAGACTCGAGAAGGAATGAGCAAGAACAAGATGTTGAACAAGAACAGGGATTCTTCTAGTTCATCTCCGGTGACGAGGACCAGGTTCGTGTTATCCAAAGAAGACTATGTTCTGAAATTTACCGAGTACAAAAAGGACTTCCTACAGCAAACAGACCAATTCGGAAACTCGGTCCTTCATTTGATGACCCTCCATGGACGTCGGGAGCTTCTCAGCCACGTGATGGCTACCTTTAAGGTCATATTAACATTTAGCTTTTCTTTGAAGTGCATTGTCGTGATCAACACTAAAACTAATGGTTGTACCTTTTTTAGTGTCCATCTTTCTCGGCATCTCGGTTGTACCCTTTTGTTCCCCTGTATTCTTCTCATGAATTATAATAATATTAGTATTTATAGTATTAGCAATTCCCAGAAATCTCTTAAGGAGCTCCCTTAAGGAGCTTCCTTAAGGCGCTTCCTTAAGGAAATCAGTTTCCTTACGGAATTTTTATTATAAAAAGCTATTATAACTTTCCTTAAGAGGAAAAAAATTCCCTTAAGGAGGTCCCTTAAGGACAAGCTGTTATAAACTTGGGCTAATAACAGCGGCTCCTTAAGGACCTTGCTAGTACTACGAGTCCAAAAGTGTCAAGAACGTGCTAACGTGTTCGCGGCTGTTAGTTTGTAGGCTACTCACGTACACCAGCCACATCCGCAGCAAGACACTACGCGCCCACCCCTAGCGAATCGCCCCAACGAACTTCCAACCGCTACCCTTGTCATATATCGCCCAGCGCCTTTGCTTTTTTTCAAAAACTTCAGGGAGGTCATTCAAATACAGAGAAAGCTGAACGACCTCCCTGAAGTTTTTGGAAAAAAGTTAGCTCGCTCCCCTTCCGCGACTACCTTCCGCGCACAGCAATCGACCACGGCACAGGAGCGCGCGGCAGCCCTTGGAGGTCGATGGTTGACCAGTATACTCCTAACCAGCACAAAAGCGGGAGATGAATTGTAAGAGAGAGGGTGAGCACTTGAAAAGGTAGAGGTTGACGAGCGTGATCGTATTGATTCGCGAGAAGGCCAAAGACATACATCTCGGCGCTTCAAAGTCGTAGCCGTTGGGGATGTCGATGGCTGTGAGATGAATGATAGCCGTGCGCACTTGCGTGTCTGAAGGGTGGACCCTGGTGAGCATCATCATATCCATGAGAAGGCCAAAGGTGTGCAACTTTGCGTGTGAAAGTCGAAGCCGTTGAGGATGTTGATGTCTGTGAGAATGATAGCCGTGAGGACTTGCATGTCTGAAGGGTGGACCCTGGTGAGCGTCGTGATCATATCCATGAGAAGGCCAAAGATATACATCTCTGTGTATGAAAGTCGAAGCAGTTGAGGACGTCGATGTCTGTGAGAATGATAGCCGTGAGGACTTGCATGCCTGAAGGGTGGACCTTGGTGAGCATCATCATATCAACGAGAGGGCCAAAGACATACATCTCTGTGAGTGAAAGTCGAAGCCGTTGAGGATGTCGATGTCTGTGAGAATGATAGCCGTAGCCGTGAGGGCTTGCATGTCTGAAGGGTGGACCCTGGTGCGCGTCATCATATCCATGAGAAGGCCAAAGGTATACATCTCTGTGCTTGAAAGTCGAAGCCGTTGAGGATGTCGATGCCTGTGCGAATGATAGCCGTGAGGACTTGCATGTCTGAAAGGTGGACCCTGGTGAGCATCATCATATCCATGAGAAGGCCAAAGCTGTGCGTCTCTGTGTTTGAAAGTCGAAGCCGTTGAGGATGTCGATGCTTGTGAGAGTGATAGCCAGCCTTGAGCACTTGCGTGTCTGAAGGGTGGACCTTGGTGAGCGTCATCATATCCATGAGAGGGCCAAAGGTATACAGATTTGCCTGTGAAAGTCGAAGCTGTTGAGGGTGCCGATGTCTGTGAGAAAGTAGATAAGGGTGGACCTTGGCGGCCGTCATCATGTCCATGAGAAGGCCAGGCGCATGCATCTCCGTCGGTGAAGGCTGAAGGCTGAGGACGTCGATGCCTGTGTGTGAGAATGATAACTGTGGGCCATTGCATGTCTGAGGCGCGGACCGTGGTGGGCGTCTTGCGTCATGTCCATGAAACAGCCAACCCTATAGACACATCCCCGCGCCTGAAGGTTGGGGCCCAGCTTCTGGCTCTGCGCATAGATATGCCCAAGCGTGGCCTTCTCATGGGCCTCGTCCATGACGCTCGCCAGTGTCAGCCTTTTGCCATCACATGGGTATGCTATGCTTTAGGATTCTCCTGGACATGATCACACTCAAAAGGGCCCAACCTCTGTGCCTACATATGTCCAAGCGTGGCCTTCTCATGGACTCCATGACGCTCAGCGGGCCAGCCTCGGCGCCCATTGGCTTGCCCCTAGCAAGCAAGTTGGCCAAGGCAGTAGCCATAGCGGTAACCTCCTCACTAGCCTCGCCACAGTGGGGGCCAGCTTCCCAGCCTTGGCGAGCAGACTTGGCGACTTTTTTCGTTTGTCTTTCTGTCTCTTAGTAGTCAACCTGTCGAGTTGTTAACCTATGCCCAGCGCAGCGGGCCCTTGATGGGCCCGCTTTCTGGGCATGTATATAATATTACAAGGTAAAACTAGGGGCCAAGAAGATGAGGGGGCCGAGTAGATGCTAGGAGCAGACTCTAATACCTACTCAGATCACCTCGACCTCTTCAAGCTGAATCGTGCGGGCTTTGCTCCAATCGGTATCGCAGCGGTGATTCAGAACACTGAGATTTTCAACCTGTTGATGTTAAGGCTTACAGCAATTGTCCAACATCTCCTATGAATGAGCCCATTATCCGCAAGTAGTAGAAGTAGACTGACATGGGTCTCTCTCATTCTCAAGTGCGCTAGAAGATGTTGAGTCATCTCTCTCAAGTTGTACTAGATTGATGTTAAGGCTTACAGCTAATAAACTCATCTAATGGTGGATCTGTCTGGTGAAACCTTGTGGGTCTACGGACCTGTCCGCTGTCTACGGTATCCATTGCTCAAACTGGATTCATTGTTGACGAAGCAGGTACGGGTCGAACGCGCTGTACTTGACGAAGAAGAAGAAGACCATGCCGCGTTGCGACCCGAAAACGTGTTGTTGGGGAGACGACGTGGCGGCCGCGATGTACATGCAGCTAAGAGGACGAGTTGTACCGGAGCAGAAGCAGATAAACAAATCAAGACGAAGCTAACACAACATGTTGGTCATGAGGATGAAACTAAACAAATCAAGACGAAGCTAACACAACATGGTCATGAGGATGAAACTAAAAACGCAATGGATGTTCCTTCAAAGTACATGGTGGCACCAGGTGAAACAAACTCCGCTGACAAGAAAACTGTCCAATTCATTTCACCTACAGATAGTCATAGCGATGTTGATGAGACCAAGAAGAACTTCGGAAAACGACCTGGGGATCCTTTTCAGCGTAGTGACAGCGATCTGAGCTTAGAGGAAGTGGTAGATAAAAGTGATGAGAAGACAACTCAGCATATCAGTGCGAAGCAGCAACCGGACAACCAAACTGCGTCAAACGATTCACCGCCGTCCACGTCATCTTCTTCCGACCCCGTCAGGAAGGACCATATTACCACATCCAAAGAAGACACATCATCTTCAAGTGCAGCGCCGATTTTCGGTTCATGGACAGGTAACACGAAGAGATCGAGAACATGGCGCAGAGCAGTTCCCGCGATAGTACCACTCAGTGCGATCTCTATCCAAAGTCTCAAGGGTGTCCTGAAATCCAACAAGTCTTCTACATCTAGATCAGCCGCAAGTCGAAACAAGGCAGCATCCTTTGTCAGCAATTCGAAAAACAGGGTTCACGATTTGAGGACAGCGAGTGAAAGTGGGATGTTATGATCCTGCGACAATATTGTCACTGTCTCTGTCGTTGATATAGAAGAAAAAGAATTATTCGGGGGATTGTTCCCAAAAAGATATACAAAAATTGGGACCTTGTAAAAATTGTTCTCACGAGAAGATGAACAAAGACTGAATCAAGATCATTCATAGTCGTGCGTTATACATAGATATACTTCATCTTCATCGCGTAGCCTCTCGAATCGTCTTCTAATCAAAGGCTCAGTCTTCGACCTCGGCCTCGGCGCAGCAGAGAAGAATAGCAGCTCTTCCAGAACCAGCATCCTCAGGTGGAGCAAGAGCTCGCTGAATCGGATGGGGAGTGTCTTAGCAACAGGAAGGTTGGAAAGTTCGACAGATGGACCTAGTGAGAGACCCGTTCAGAGCGTTCTGGAACTGATAGTTGAAGGGAGCTGTCACGCATTGTTCACGCCTTTTGTGCGGCAACTGATAACGGATAAGTGGGCTGCGTATGCTAGGGAGATTTATCAGGTACTACTTAGACTGACAACGCCACAGCATGTTGATTCTTCATGGCTACAGACTTCTTTCACCTTTGATGCTATCTTGTCGTAGTTATACAGGTACAGGCGTAGCACTGTACATCTAGATCTATCTCCACCTCACACATTCCACCTTCTCAGGTCCACATGCTTTCCTATTTGACCAACCTGATTCTGATCGTTCTTGCTACCGAGAACGTAGTCTCGATCGACGTTCCTGCTCTCGGCGTTGTCTTCATCTTCTTCCTAGAATGGGGAAAATTCCGATATTGGTTCGTCCAAAAAGTCTACGTCAGAGTCCTGGCGCACTACTCCAGTCAAATGCACCAGATGGCCTTGGATAGCACAGCCATGGCAGCCTCGACGTTTGTACGTCAGAAGGGTCTCGGTGCCGCCTGTGGTCTCTTCTGTCGTCTCAGTTTGCGTGCTTTCAGGGATATGATGGTGTATCCATTTATAACGATGTTTGGTCACTGCTTTGTTGCTGGTGGTGGCACTGGAACTACAACGTCAGATGAGCCAAAGAACGCACACCAAAAGATTGGATGCAAACAGGATTCATGTGCATCGACAGTATCATCTTCGACATCAGGAACGACTGGTCATGCACGAAGTAGATCCTCATCCTCTGCTTCTACTTCTCTTGCCCTTCTGTTCCGCAGTGCCAAGATCGTCAGGCGATCTGCTCGACGCCTAGTCAAAAACGCCTTTTCACGCACGCGTTGGATCGTCAATACTTTCGCTAGGATGACCAAATTCGTTTTGGATTCGTTCACGGTTGAAGGCATCTTCTTCTTCCTCTATGCCGCTCTCGTGTCCTACGTCTACGTGAGGATACTGCTCATTCGCGCAGGTCTCTTTCTGGAAGAACTGTGGGGTGAGAAATGGACCGAGTCGGATAAGAATGATGTTATGGAAAGTTCATTGGCTTTAGATAGAAAGCACCGTCGTGAATCACCGTGATGAAGACTTCCCTTCTCAGTCGTAAGTGTGTGAAGATTTATTTTTGACTGAGTAAGTTGCACTTGTTCCTCGTCCTGTTCTGCAACGACCTCATTCTGAACTACAACCTTGCGTCGACACCAAATCTATGGACCTTTTGCCCCTCTAACCTCCGTACCTACTCCAACCTCTCCGACTACGATGTGCGATGGCGTCACGACTATCAGGGCAGAGTTGACCAGATGAATTGGAATACTTGGTCACCTAGGGTGGTGCTTGGAATGGCTTCCGTATTTAAGCATTTCCGAATTGCATTCCTCACTACCATGATCCCTGACAACTCTTTCCCTAGTTCGTTGTAGAAAAGAGGAATAAGAAAGATCTTAGCCTCTTGACTTTCACTCGCTCTACTCTCATGGATCTAAAAGGGGCCAGGGATTATGTGCTGAAGAATGTTATTCCGTGGAAGAGTCGTGTAAATTTCTTCCGTGGGAACTACCTCTAACGTATGCGGTTGGCTCCATTTCCTCCACAATCTGCGCGCCATTGAGGGTCTAGGACCCTTCGTGGTGATGGTCAAACTGATGATCAAGCGAGATATTTCCCGCTTTCTTGTGATTTACTTCTGTGTGTCGTTCGGCTTCACGCACTTGATCAGGGTGTTGTTTCAAGACACGATACGGCGAGATAGGTTTGCACTCTTCGAAGGTGGAGATTCACTGGTGGGTGCTGCGGGAGGAACTGCAGCTGCAACAAGGCTTTTGCAAACAGGAGGATCCGAAGGTGGCGCAGCTGGCGCTCCTGCTTCATCTCCCAGTACTGCGACAACACACGAGCAACTTGCAGAAGCATCGCCTACGTATCTAAACTTCGGTCAGCTCTGGCAAACGATACAGTTCTCGTTTCGTGCTTCTCTAGTGGCGCTAGAGGACCATGCGTTTGACGACAGTCGATATCGCGGTTTCTCCGTCTTGGTGTACAACGCTTACGTGGTGCTCACTGCGGTGATCCTGTTCAACCTGTTAATCGCGATGATGGCGGATACCTACGCGCGAGTTCGAGCAACGGCCGAAGATGAGTTTTTGCTACAACGCACCAGCTGGATTCTGGAAGCGGAGAGATCTACTCTAGCAAATTGCAAATTAGTGGACATTACCAAGAGACCGGCACACCACGTGAGGACTCCAGACTTGAATTTGGACGAGATTCAAGTAGGCGTTACTAAAAAAGGCAGAAAACCAATTGAGACATGGGCAATGCAGGTGGAAATGACTTGAATTGCATTTGATCATGTACAGTAGTTTCTTAGTGTTTTCTTTGTAGTCTTTTTCAGTAGATCATGAAAAAGCTAGCGTCAGTCTTGGCCTCTGGCGTCGCTCTCTCTCGTCCCAGTATGTAATTTGGATGATCTTATAAATATGGGGTAAATAATTGGTTGAAAGGGTGGCAGCATATAGTCCTAACGCAAAAAAAAAAAAAAAAACAGAACTAGTCTCTACGGGTCACTATCGGGGACGTACACACGACATCTTTAACACAAACACAGAAGTCACAGCACACCAGCCACGACGGTCTTGAACTTGAAGTACCGGCACACACGTCCGTGCTGACTGCAAGTAGTACTTTATTCAGTGTAGTCAAGATAAGATAAAGATATCCTGAGTGACGTCGAGGCTTATCTCTTCACTGCTCCTCCTGGTGGAAAAATTGTGAAACTTTGCCGAGCAAGACCAGGCAAGTTGTTGTATCCTATCTTCACGACACGCTGATCTCCTAAATGAACAGATAAAGATTGCGTGTTCACGACCATGAAGATAGACAGCTAGTCCACAAGCAACCCCTATCGGCTCTTATGGTTTGACATAGAACTGTCCTTGTCATCATGGCTGCACCGGCTAGAACTAAGAAACGAAGATCCTTAGGCTTGCATGTTGCATCAGCCGACCTACAACTTGGTCTGGTGCCTTTCCTGACAGACTGTGAGGGTGATTTGAAGGTGGAATAACAAGATCTTTATGATTGCAAAAGCGTGACAATCGCGAGCATTTTCAAAACACCCAATGAGAAGAACAAGTGACCTTTCTTCTGAGATTAAAAAACTTTGAAGAGTAAAAGGAGCTGCATGCAGTCAGAATGGGGCTCTAAAAAATGAAAGTTTGTGGACATTTGTAATACTCTTGCGCCCGTCCGGCTAAGGATGATGATGATCGCGATTATAGTACATCTGGCGACATAAGAAACAAGTAGTAAATTGAGTGCTGGCCCCGGTTTTCATTACTGATTGAATAATTCAAATTCATGCATCACGTTAATAAAGTAAGAAGTCTTTGCTTTTTTTATGAATTTGAATAACCTTAGTTACTACGTATAAATTAAAAGAAATCATCATGTCAGCCCGAAGTAGCGCGCGGACCGGATAGCACTACTGGGACTGCCTTATAGTCATATCGTACTGGGAGTGGGACTGTGTTATAGTCATATCGCAACATCTTCAACATCATCATGCCTGAGGCAGTACCGAGTGAGAAGCGTCGCGCCGTCGCAGCGACGGATAGTGATGAGGCTGCTCGTAAGCCGGTGGATCAAAGGGAGCGCGCCGATGCGTGGTGGCACGAAGGAGATCAGGCGTGGGTGCCCAAAGTGATAAACTTGCCCAATGTTAAGATTTCAGAATCAAAAATCTACATCTTCTTCTTATAATAGAAGCAAAGTAATTTTGAACACTCACTCCATGGTTTTGCTTTTGGTTTTTGCCTTAGAAAAGGTATGCGTTCCCGCTACCTTGTTACAGTCACAGTTCACGGACAACAACATAAACAAACTAGCTACCACGACGTCGAGGTGTTGTAACATCTAAAACGTGCATAAACAAACTAGCTACCACGACGTCGAGGTGTTGTAACATCTAAAACGTGCATAAACAAACTAGCTACCACGACGTCGAGGTGTTGTAACATCTAAAACGTGCATAAACAAACTAGCTACCACGACGTCGAGGTGATGTAACATCTAAAACGTGCATAAGCAAACTAGCTACCACGACGTCGAGGTGATGTAACATCTAAAACGTGCAAGAAGCTAAGCAACCCTCCCCCATGGTGTGAGGGAGAAGATCCGTACAACCCCGGCGAGAAAGTAAAGTGGTCTTGGAAAGACTGCAGAAAGAGAAAATGCCATAAGCAAGATTGGGGACCCTTTTATGGATTTGATCATATTGTCGCTTTGCTCTGCTTACGTTTAATACCTACAAAAGTGCTGGAGCTCCTGCTTGTTCTGTTGTTAGTACTAGAAGTTGTTGAAAATTTTTTCGCAGTGCTGGATGGAGCCTCCTGGAGGATAAGCCAACGTATCACGACAGGCAGTCTAGAATAATTAATATATATTAATAACAAATTTTGTCTTACCGTTATAATACCCTTACCCCCCCCCTTGAACCCCCCCCTTTGAACCGTTGCGCCGACCCTTATGACCCTTACGCCCCCCCCTTGCGATACCCTTTGAGACCCTTGCGACACCCTTACAGCCCCCCCCTTACAGCCGCCCCTTATGAAGCAGGCGACCCCTTATGATTTCTCCCCCCCTTTGTGACCCCCTTACAAGTTGGCACCTTTTTCCAACCTCTTCACCGTCGAACTCCGCAAAGTGCGCGCACACCTTCGCACTCACTGCCAGTGCTTCTCCTTGATGGTGTTCGGGATGTCGCGACTTTTGAACATCACCGCGCGCCGCTCTCCCATGGAAGTTGTCAGCTTTTGGATCATGATCGACAAGAGAGACAGAGCGTAGAAGAGTGCGCACCGGTCTACCCTGCAAGAGGGCCGCGCCCTATCATAGTGGTAGTTGTCTGGTCTCTCTCTGTCTGCTTTCACAGTAAAGAAGATGAACAACAACAACCAAGAGGAAGAAGATGACGCATCTTCAAGGCCTTGGGCTGCGTGCGTGTCTCACATGTGGAGACTTGGGGCCTGGCTGCTGGTTCCATTTGGGAGATGCTACTCGCAACACCTGCAGCCGGCCACATGTCTGGCAGATGGGCAACCGATGGGGCGGGCTATGTGCCTGCCATCCGAAGGAAGCGCGCTGCTTCTTATTGATTCGGCGCCTGACTGTTCAGTGTCCGCGTTGTGGTTGCCGGCTCTTTGCAGAGGAGGCGCGCCGTTTCCACCATTCCACAGCACCAGCGCCGACGGCTGATTCCCATGCTGTTGCAACGGTGTAGGAAGTACCCGCCCCCCTTTCCCGGGTGATGCTGTTGCTGGTGTTGCGGGTCAAGAAGGCGAGACTCCTCCTGGCGCTGTTCTTGCTGCAAACGGAGCACCAGGCGAAGGAGGTGCTGAAGAACAAGGGAAAGGCAAGGGCAAAAAAGGCCGCGGGGGAAGCCAAAGGCAAAGCGAAGGCCAAGGCGAAGGCGCGCGCTGCGCCATACTGAACTCACGCCACAGAATAACAGGGCCGACAGACGTGCTCCATCCTTTTGCACTTTCTTCGCCGGGTGTTTTCCGGGGGCGTGCCCTTTGTTTCCATTTTCTTCAGCGAGTGCTTTGCTCTGTCCTCTTACGCGCTTAGTTTTCTTCGAAACGCCGCATGTGGCATTCCCACCCCACGGCCAGACCGACCCTACTCAATTTCGCAAGCGATCAGTAGTCCTCTGCTAGACCGGCCTGGCGGCTCTTTTGGTGTTCGCTACCTACTACCCATGGCGTTCGCTACCTACATCCCATGGTCTTTCTCGCTCTCTATCTCAATGCACCCAGCACGCACCGCACTAGTTGTCCTGCAGCAATGCTTTTTTTTAGTGAAAACGTACTCCTTCTTCATATGTTGCACAAGGATCTTCCTGTGCAAACGTACTCCTTCTTCATATGTAGCACAAGGATCTTCCTGTGCATGAGTGGATTTTCTATTTTTCCTCCTTCATATGTTGCACAAGGATCTTCCTGTGCATGAGTGGATTTTCTATGGTATGGTGCTGGACGAAGCAGATGCACCACAGGACGATGACGAAAAATCCAACGAGCAAATGGAGGAAGAAGAGACGCGCTACTTGAATTATGTGGTGGAAATGCATTTTTGTACTTAGAAATAATACTAGCCGGCTAGTTTCCCTCATTGTCTCGGATAGGATCCTGAGGATCGATAGTCCACCCTACCCACAATGCTTAGGCATACTAAAAGTGTCTAGAAGATGAAGCTCTTCTAGTACTAGTTTCTTGAATTGATGCAGCTCTAAGAACACAAGCGAGCAGAGTACTACCTCTCGCAGCCTCCAGAAAGACTGCGCGCTGCCTGCCACAAGTACTTGGAAGCGAAAAGCCATACCCAGAAGGGAGGCTTCAAGTTATGAAACAAGTACTAGGAAAAATAACTTGTAGTTCGGGGATTTTCAATTTTATAACCATTGTACCACTAGTACATCAAGTCAACCTCAACGTTTTATCTGCTTCTAACGAATGGAGGCCACGAGGAATACTGCAAAAAAGGCAACGGTCGCGGCGATACGAAGCAGATGAGTAAGTGGAATGCTTTCGTTACTAGTTTTGAACAACGAAAGAATGGCAAAGGAGGTACTAGAGCTACGGGTATTGAGCCTAATGCTATTGCTACTGCGCCAACTTCAGCATCTACTTCCAGCACAAGAAGTACGGCAAGAGCACAAGAAACACCTGCTCCAGCGGCAAGAGGTATTTCACGAAACACTGCGAGAATTATATGAAAACAAAAGCAATGACAGGAAGAATAAAAACAAGAAGCACCCTTAACATTGTCATTGTCTTTACCACAGTGTTTTTTTTGATTGCACAAACTTCTCCATCAACACTTTGCGCGCTGAATGATAGCAATTTTGTTTTTGATTGCACGGACTCCTCGATCAACACCTCCTCCACCTGCTCTCTAGGTCCTCGTGCTGTCCAAGAACAATTTGACTGGCTCGACCCACCGCAAGCAGCGAGAGAGCCAACGACTCTGTACAATGTGAGTCGAAACTCACAACTTTTATTATGGATTTAGGTTAAAGGTGTTCTTGTTACCGTTCGTTTTGCCTTTCTGAAGGACGAAAGGCATAACCACGAAAGGGGTAAAGAACGAACACCAAAAGCCTACCGCCAATTTTTGCGGGTGCCATGCCAGCATTATCGAGGAAGCCAGACGCAAGTCCTGCCATACAGGATGGCGATGACCGGATACGAGGCCCGGACGGTTCCAGAGGACTTCCATCTAAGGCGCTAAAGACATTATTAAAGGGACAAATCAACTTCAACAAACCTCAGTCAGCGACAGCGTCCTCACCTCTAATCCTATGAAAGAACTAGCTGCATTGTATGGATGTACCCTTATGCCGAAGTACAAGAGGCTGAAGAGCTGGGAGGATCTGGCGAAGAAAAAGAGAAGTGAAGATAAGACGATTGCAGATTCATCGCGAACACGCTCTTTATGAGTGGAAGTTTAGTGGAAGTTTCTAAGTGAAGGTTGTCATCATGATCATCTGATAAGGACTACTGCTCAAATGATGAATCGTGACTAGTTACAACTATTTCAGAAGATACCTAAAAACAAGTAAGTTTTTGTCCTTGTCTAAGGTAGGAATCCGAGATGCAGGGGATCGTGGTGCAACACAAGATGTACCTTGGGGCCGATCGACCTGCGGACTTGCTTGCCCAGCGTTGCCTTGCGCTGCCTCAAATGGCTGAGCTCCTAGGGCCTGGAGTAACCAACCTTGGGTCTGCAGCCGATGCGCCTTGGCTGTCCGCAAGTAATGAGGCCGATCAGGATGTTGATGGCGTTTTTCGTGATGTTGGAGGCATGGACCGCAAGGCACGACTGAAAAGTGCCAGGAACATTTTTTGGCTCTTGCAGCAACAAAAGCTGGAGGAAAGGCAAGCGGCTAGCCGAACAACAGGAACAGAGACCATATCGTCCAAGGATCTGTCGGACCAAAATCGAATTAAGGGTAGGCTAAAGGTGCTTTTGTTACCGTTTGTTATGGCTCTCCTAAGGGGGGCAGCCATAACAAGCGGGATAAACGAACACCAAGAACCTACCTCTAATCGAAGGCTGAAGAAGATGAAGGCCTTTCACGAATGGCACGAGACGGCGCTGAAGAGGAACTTTCGCCTCGAAGTAGAGGAGTACGCAGCATGGGCATCTGTCGATTCTAGATTAAGAAGACGCTTCTAGATTCTTACAGTAGAGGACTTTTTCTTACTTGTTCATGTTGGTAACGAGCAATCGACTAGGCCTACTATTACAACTTTCTTGTGCTTTTTTTCTCAGACTCATAAGACGCAGTCTTCTTGAAGAAAACTAAACAACGAAAATCCTCAACGCAGCATGATCAAATGCAGCAGTTGTATACCCTGAAGTACATGACCATGACCATGCCCTGTTCTACTTCTAGTTCTAATGCATGGAGATTATACAGTTTACCTCTTGGCTGAGTTCCAACGTCAAGCACATCGATGGATGCGGGCAATCAGCGCCTACAGATCAGTGAGCTTTTCTGCGGTCACAGAGTTGCTCGAAATGCGCCACACCTCTTCTGATTAAGGCTAATAGTTGTGTAAGAACCAAAAACTAAAGGCTTCTGATTGTTCGTCTTCATCTGAATGAAGGTACAGGATGATTGAACGGCCTCTACATCGTTAGACAAAGGCGTAACATGAGGCATTATGCCATGACATGCCTGGTTGTGGTCCTCTGCAGTAAAGGTAGACCTGGCCACTGGCTGATTGATACAAATGTCTGTCTGATCTGCCTTGCTAATATCTCGCGTAGGGGGGTTAGGTCTAGGTTAAGCTAGCTGCTTTCTACTTCTACTTAGTATCAAGTCCTGAGTAAGCAGCTCCATCTCCAGATCAATCAGTTTCCATCTATTTGAGGTTGAGGACTCCTGAGGATGTCGGTGATTATCTACATAAGTAGTGCAAAGAGTTTCGCTTTTGCGAGGGCGAGTCGCATGAGTACACCCCATTCACGACAAACCCTAGCAAAAGTCGAAAGTAGATTGGAACGCTGTGGCTTGTCTATTCTGTTGACGTGAGAGAACAAGGGAGCTTCTAGGTCCCTCTTCTCTCTCTTCTAAGGCAAAGACGCCCGCGCCGACGTCAACGCTGTCAGACAGGGGCCCATCAGTGGGAAGGCGGCCCAGCTGGTCGAGTTCCAGAAATTCATCGCCAAACAACTCATGGCAGGAGCAGGAGGAGCTGCAGAAAATGGAACTACATTTAAGGCTCAGCTTTCAATGGAGGTCATAGTTTAGATTGGAGTCACTGAGATCGAAGAAGCGACCTCCCCTTGAGAGGAGAACAGGGGAAAAGGAAGGGAAAGGGGAGAGCTTTGAAGGGAGTCTCTTCCGTTCAGCATCATGATGGCCATTGAATGCTGAGCTTTAATACATCTGCAGCAAATAGAGGAGGAGCTCCTGCAGGAGCCATGGCGGGTTTGAGGAGTGCCGAGTATACCCACAAGGTCCAAGGACTAGATTGGTTTATGCACAAATTTGAAGCCGACATGTACGATCAGCATGGTCATGCTCTACAGGCCCCAACGATTTTGGCACCCTTGAGAATGTTGAATCTCAAAGACAGAAAGAGTCGCTTGGCTCTGGCAGATCACATGCAGTTTCTGTCTGAAAACGGAGTCGCCCCACCGATTGCGGAGCTCGAGTTACGTCAATGACCCTTGTTGATATTTGTTTTTGTCTGTTTCATTTTGCGTGGTAGTGATAGTGAAGATAGATGAGGATAGGTTGTTGATTAAAGACTTGGACTACAACTTGTAGTTGTGCCATGATTTGTTTGCTGATCACTTCTCCTGTCTACTCTACGGTTTCACGCTTGTCTGTGTTTCTTTCTTTCAAGTTGAAGCTCTTAGGCTCTGCGAGATCCTTATTTACAGTTTAGAGAAATGTCAACTGCTGAAGACTCTTCTAATTTTTCCAGCCGTCTCAGGAGCCGGCGACGTGAAGCGGTTCCGGTTTTTCGTGGAGTTCAGACTGCACGACTGCGGTGAATGCGGTGACTGGTCGCCTCCGAGTTTGTATGAGGCTGACTTGTTGCGAGAGGACTCCCCGTTTTTGCATGCTGTAGCTGAGGCAGTCCAGCGGCTCCTCCCAAGAGGCTTTGAAAGCAAAGGCGACAAGAAGGACCCGCTATCGTTGAGCAAGCCACACGTTTGCATCGTTTTGTGCGCTTCGGGTGTCGACTTCAGTGATCCGAGAAAGGATCCCCGACAGAAAACTCGGCTTCTTCGCATTCGGTTTTACGGGAAGTTGTAATAGTACTACTAGTAATGACTCGACGTGGTCTACTTCCTTTTAGTGTCACTACCAGTTGTAGTATCATCTCTCCCTCGCTCTCTCTTTTTTGAGTTCTACGAAGAACTTTTTCAACGAAAAAAAGTAGAAGTTGCTAGCCTTGATACGGAGCTGCATTCTAATATGTGGTCTTTCCAGAGCTTGTCATGACAGACAAGACAAAGGCGGACCAGATGAGGAACTTTGTTGTCAACGCTCTCATTGTTAAGGCTGTAGCTAATTGATTCATCTTTATAATGAGGTTCCTTGAATAATGAATAAACGGTGTATGGGGGAGTATTACTTTTCAAGGATGCAATTGAAAGATGAATTCCTGACAGTTCTAACAGAGGGCACAAAAAGGCAGAGGAAGACGATGTGAGCAAACTCGAGAATAATTTGCCGATGGATCGCCATATAGAACCGACAGGAGCTGCCACTACCGCCAGCAAGAAAAAAGGTTGTCGACTGATTCAAAAATATTCACGCTGGAGCTCAATTTTATGGAACAAGGCATGCAAAGCGCCATGAAAATGGATCATGAGGTGGATGCAAATAGAATATTGGGCTTAAAAATCTTCTCGTCTACCTACGAGTCCATATACTTGTAGGGCAGTGGTTTCTAATCATTATCGGGTTGCAAGCGAAAATGAAGAAAGCGACGAACAAGGACGCATTTGCAATGTTTTCCGAGTGCGTGATGCCTAATTGCGAAGACAATAGAAATCCGTACCCCGATTCCTCAGCTGCTGGTGGCAGGCGGGAAAGGGAGCTTCTTTTCGGCGACGCGTTTTCGAGTAGCGGCACATACGGAGTTATGAACACCTGCTCTCAGATATTCATAACTAGTACTACAATTGTGAAGTAGTTTAAGTTTTCTCTAGGCTTATCGATCCCTTCAAACAATATATCCCTAAGATGCTTATCCCTTCAAACGATATAAGTATAATGTTTTCTCCTCCTTTTGTTTCCTGATCCTGTTGAAATAAGCAATGTAGTATTCTAGTTCTTCATCCTGCTCTAGAAGTACTTTTGATTTTGAAGAAGTCAGGAGAACATGCTGTAGTTGCTGGTCCTTGTTCTTCCGCTGGTTTATCTTTCTAAGATAGCTTCTCGTGCTGGTGGAGCAGGCAGAGATGAGAAAGAGAATGTTCGCAGCCCCAGTGGCATCCCGATGCGGCTGGATCCGCACTGTGCAGTGCTGGAGCTGCGACGATCTTTCTGCGTGACGAAGGACGCAGACGCGCAAAGGCAGCAAAACGAATTGCATCCTCCGCGAACTCATGTAAAGATTTTGACACAGAAAGAAGGCGCAAACCTTCTGGAACGCAAAGGATTTTTCGTGTCTGGCGTTGAAGGTTTGTCCTACGACTGGCAGTCCTCTTCTTCCATCTGCGGAAACGGAACTTAAGAATAAAGAGGATCACTGAATACAATTTACAACGTGCGTTCAAGCTCATGATGTTCTTGTGCTTCTTGGTAGTAGAAGGGCGATGTCGATCTTGAAGATAATGAGAAAAAACGTCCCCACTACAGTGATTGCAGTTCTTACTGCTGTAGTAAGTTCTGAGTTCTAGGCTCAGAAAGATTTTGTTTGTTTGCGAAGATATTGAGTGCTTTGGTCTTCCACGGTCCACCTCATTATTCAGCCGAAACCCTCACAGAAAGCACGACAGAGCAGCTCACTTCTAATCCAAGCCACTGTCAACATCCAAGTTCAGCGTCGATGAAAATTGGCGTGGGCCTGTCCGGGGCAGCAGTGGCGTCGTTAAGCCGGGAGACGAGGACCTGAGTGACATGGTCAAACTCCCACGAGAGGAACTGGAAAAGCAGCTCCAACGACAGGAGCGAAGACGCACAGGTGGTGGCAGTTAAAAGACGAGCTGCATTATTCTATTGAGCTTCGAAAGGGTCTTTGTTCGAGGCAACTCGATATCGATCTCCATCTTTGTGACACTACGCACACGTTATTCCTTAAATATCTTGTTCTTCGATTGATAATAGCGATCTTTAGTATCATAATCGCACGAAGTACATCAACTACATGATCATACCGCTCGTGGATAGAAGATGAATGAGAATGAATGTCCTAGTCCTCTACTTTCTCCATTTCTTTCTTCGATCTCTTGTTATTGTTTCTTGAAAATGCTTACGGATGATCTTTGGCAAGAAACGTGGTGTCCTCTTCATCTGCCAATATTCTTTTCCTCCTTCGATTTGCATTCTGCACCTTCATATTGCTGCTCTCATCTTTGCGACAACTACTTTCCTGTTTTTGTATGAGCTCCACCTCCTGAGCAACACCCAAACTAGTAGACGAACCACCCAAAAATCTTAACATAATTGCTAAAAATGGAGCACCACGTCAATCCATCGGCACCAACCTGTCCGATTAGAGGAAATAGATCCCTCATTCGTCTCCCAGACCACTCTTCGTAGTTCATCTTCGACATCATGCGGCCTAATATGTCGAAGTACTACCTCATTCCCTAGAATCATGTTCTTGCAACTCGTTCTTCATCTCACAAATCTTCATGCGCATGAGTGTCCCTCATCCACCTTTCTTATATCGTATTCAGCCTAAAAAGAATAACTTTCTCATAACTTTTGAAGACCCGCCTGGTGCACGACGAAAACGAGCCAAGTGAAAATTATTGTCGTGTTCAAGAAAATCGGTATACCATCTGGTGCAGGAGCTGCATGTCCATTGGACTACCAGCATAACATGTGTGATACTGATCGGTCTTGCACTGTAATCGCGTTTCGGTTGAACCCACCAGTAAGAGAAAAATGATTGGTTGAACCAACTCTGTTTGCAGATGATCATTACAGATCTACTCTGTGTCTGCTCTTGGCCTGATCTTTCCCGCTTATCGGTCGAGTGATAACAGAGGATCATCGTAGCGGCCTAGTATTGAAGGATCACGACGAGCAATTAACGGATCATTCTGCTAAGCGAGTTCCTTGCACATCCTCTTCCTGGCGCTCACCGCTGCCTCCCCGATCTTGATTGACGTGGTTACAGGTACAGTTAACAAGAACAGTTTGACTTTGATATCTACTGTGATTACATTCCAGCATCACTTCTTGTGTCTTCTGCTGTACCTATTGTTCCATGCTTACCTGTAACAGGAGGTTGTCCTTGTCATCATTCTTTCGGCGCTCATTGTATTGAGAGTTCACCTCATTGTTTGTAGAACATGCAGAAGTAGAATCAACTACATACAGAAAAAGGCGGAAAAACTACATCAAGGTTGAACGAACAAGATGTCTGCGCCTGGTGCCGAGGAAGGCCACACCAAGCCGGAAGGCGAAAAGCCGGCAGAGGTAGAGCAGAAGGAAGACGATGTGTCGATTGTGACAGCTTTGAGTTAAGGCTTCCGAAACCATAACCGGACTACTCTTCAAACAACATGCTCGAAAAACTGAAATAGCCGAGTTACTGACTGAAATATGGGACGTAGCTTAACATCAAGGCTCCTCTTCCTTCTCGTCAGTATCTCGGGTATTCTCGTCTGTTACTCGCTTAGTTCAGTTTTTATACTTAATACAGTTCTTCGCTGAAGAATTCATTCTTTCACCGATACATCATACTAGGATCATAAGTTTCTACTAGCTTGGAGCGTCCGATAACATCCCGCCCACTAGGATCCCCCTCCTCCCCGAAATAAGAAACTAAGCACGGCAAAGATGTAAGCGATCCGCGTTCTACAAATTTCGAAAATTTTCCACGTTTTGCCATCGTTTGAGGATCGACTCTTATGCGTTCGAAGTGCTAAGATCCCAAACTTTTTTGATTTTAAGCCCTTTCCCTGAGATTCAATATCTTGGCTTTGCATTTTTCAAATTTCGAAAATTTTCCACATTTTGTAGCCGTTTTGGGATTGAATTTTGTGCGTTTGAAGCGCTAAAGCCCCAAAGTTTTTGACTTTGAGCCCTTTCCCTGAAATTCAACTTCTTGGATTTGCGTCCATTTTTCAAATTTCGAAAATTTTCCACGTTTTGCCGTCGTTTTGGGATTGAATCCTGTGCGTTTGAAGTGCTAAAGGTCCAAAATTTTGGATTTTAAGCCCTCTCCCTGAGCTTCAATCTCTTGGCTTCGCGTTTTTCAAATTTCGAAAATTTTCCACGTTTTTCGTCGTTTTGAGCGAGTGAGTTTGAACTGCTAAGGTCCCAAAATTTTTGATTTTAAGCCTTCTCCCTGAAATTCATGCCATGGCTTCCTGGTTTCGTGGTTTCCAGCCGTGGCTTCCTGGTTTCTTGGGTTCATGGGTTCATGGGTTTGGGGTTCGTTTGTTTTTGTGTCGGAGGTTGTGGGTTTGGGTGTTGGAGGTTGAGGTTTCGGAGGGGAAGTGTTTGCAAAGTTTTATTGCTTTTAATATTGATTTCTTTGACCTGACCACTCTAATCAAAACTGAAGCATTGGGCACGAAACTTGCGCGCACGTCTAAGCCGAGTAAAATGGCAATCATGGATGCAGGATATGAGTGCCGTAGAATGGCCCTTGGCCCACGCTCTTCGAGGTCGAAGTCTCCCAATAACAACAACGGATTTGTTGTTGAAGAAGCTGGTGGGGATGCGGTATGGTTCACGTGGGTTTTTCTTGCTATCACTGTAACTACTGTGTTTGTAATAAATAATAGTACGGAGAGTAAGAACAACTCGACGCTTGATGTCATGATCGTGTTCGTGATGTACTCAGGTTTGCAGCTGCTAGGCAAAAACGTAGAAGTTATACCTCGTCCACGTATTTTTAGTTTGTCATCAACAACGTTGTAGTATTAGTTTCATCTCATCAACAACAACACCTCCTTCACAGGTACATCAACCTCGACCAGTACAAGTTTCTGAAGGAGTTTTTAGAGGAAGACTTGTGGGAATATGAGGAAGGCGATGGGCTGAGTTTAAACCCACACCGTCTCCAAACTCGGCGGTTGACGCAAGTGCAGATGAGACAGCAGATGTTGAGGTACTAGTGAGAATGACTTTGGGAATCACTCTATTTTTTAATGTCACTCTATTTTTGTATGTCATCAGGAGGAAGTACTACTACTTCCTGATGATCCTATTTTTTCAACCTACCAACAAGAACAACAAGAACATCCTGCTCCCCTCCCTCTCAACAGCCTCGTCTACACGATATCACGCATCTCGCAAGCACTAGTAGCGCAATTGCGACAATGCCTCGTTTTCGAGACCAAGTCTTTGGCACGAATGCTGTCTGTTCTAGATATTGACGGAACGAGGTGGATCCGCTTTACTGACTTCGTGGATGTCGCTGAGCGCGTCTTTTTCCCCACGCAGGACAAGGGACTAGGGGAGCTGAAGATGGTTGAGAACGTGCTGCGGCAGAACTCTGATCCTGATGTAGCAGCAGCTGTCGTCGCGCATGGTAGCAGCACTGGCGTACCGCATGCCCGCAACGAACAGCTGAGAACTCAGAGGGAGTTTCTCGCTAACGTGTTTCGTCTGTTGAGTGGGAAACCGGCGGATAAGAGCGCTAGTGCAACTGGCAAATTGGCTGGGGGAAGTCTAGGCTCTCTGCACAAAGAACGGGTGCATGTAGACGTAGCTGCGACAGTGCTGAGCAATGTCACATTGCCCCAGTTGTTGGCTTTTCGACGTGGCATTCTGGCACGATTCGGAAGCTTTCGGGTCGCATTTGAGGCCCTGAAATTCAGAGCCAAGAAGAAAGAGGATGGAGATGGACAGGAAGGAACATCTTCAAATGGGGACTCAAACTCATCCAGTAACACAAGGAGAAGTAGAGGACAACTAGTACAAGGTTCTGGAAGTAGTGACAGTGAAGCTCAAGAACATCAAGCTCCTGATGAAGGTAGAACACCCTATATCCCCAAAGAGAATTTCATCGCCATGTACGAAATGCTGGTCTATCGAAAAGGGAATAGTTTCGCGCATCGAGTGGCGCCAGGGAGTGGAGCTTCACCTTCAGGCGTGGAGTTTGATGTCGAACCTGATGACTCGATACCAGTCATAGATAAGCGCGACAACAAGCCTGATGCGAATCGAGGACGGGGTGGAAGTGTCTCTGACACAAAGTCTTCTAGTGGGAAAAACAAGTCATCTTCTCCGTCCAAACTACAGGTAGTAAAAGGTGGCGCATCAACTGACGTAGAACAACAAACAGAAGAAATGAGTAGGAGCAAGAACATCAAGAATAAAGGTAGTGTTACTGGTGGAGGAGGTGGAAAAGGAGGTGAAAGTGATTATGCAGCTAGTTCAGATGAGGAGCAAGATGAGGGCTCATTCATGGTCGCTATGGAAAGTGTGACAGAGTTGGAACTGGCCAGGGAAGCAGAGGCCCAACGACAACTATCCACAGGCCCAACTACTGGTCCTTCGACTGGCACCGTAGTCGCAGTCACAGATCCAGATAGTGTCGAATCCATCTCGTTGCGCAAGTCGTGGAAGTGGCATCGAGATAAACACGAAGACCCTGCGGCAAAATATCTACCCGATCACAAGAAAAGGAAACAAACAGAGGACGCGGAAGCGGTGTATTCCTATGCGAGGTGTCTGGGTATGAGGAATAGCTTTGCAACGAAGGCGGAGACGAAGCACATCGAAGGGTTGCCGTACGAGACGTTTTTGCAGCTGATGGCGACTAGTGCTCCACAGACAGGGATTTCAGCGTTTCGAAAGAGGATTCTGCTGCATTTCGGAACCTGGACCAACGCGTTGCGGATCATGCTACGGAAGTTTCAGTTCGCGTCGCATCCGAGGAGTCAACATTATGGCAGTACATCTACTAGCAGCAGAAGTACAAGTATTTGGAAGTAGTTTTTTGTGAACTAGAAGAAGGTCATAGATGAAGAAAAAGTACCTATATGAGTAGATCTAGATTATCTACTTACTCGTCTATAATTTATAGTTAGAACTAGACTATAAAGAGCTAGACTATAAAAATTCCTAGCTCCTCCTTGCAAAAATGTTCCTCCACTTCTAACAGGAAATCACTCTGGGCCTCGGAGACACCGCTGCCGTCATATCCAGTGAAGGATTGCCGCGGGTGCTACTTCCTTGGCGTGAATACCAAATGCTGGTTCAACATGCTGGTTCAACATCTTGTTCTGGAGGAGGCGATCTCCCAAGGCACCTGAAGCAGAAGCTGAATCTGCAGAGATTCATGGCCGAACGTGCCTACTACATAGGTGGCAGTAATGATGGTTCGGGAAACGACCCATTGGACCAAGAAGATCCCGACTTCGGCGCAGGCAAGAAGTACACGCCAGCTGTGCAGAGAGAGCTGGAGTCTTGGACCTTTTTCGAGGCTTTCGCTCACCGTCTCGATGTGAACCAAGCAGACGCCACTAGGCTTTTCCGCTCCTTTGCAGGTGGAGAAGAGAATGAGAGAGTGACGTGTGGCAATCTGCGGAAGGTCTTTGAGAAGGGGGATTCGTTCACTCTGGAGGAGTTCGCTATCCGCGTGTGGGCCGCAAAACCGGCAGGCGAGAGTATCGAGAGCTGCTTTCAGCAAATCAGCGGTAGTTCGTTGCTAGAAGAACGAGCAATGATGGGTTCCGCTGGTAGTGAATTGCTTGGTGGATCTGCTCAATACCACGTTGGTGAAGTTGATTCGACTAGTAAGGCGAACAAAGACCAGAACAGTAGCACTTTCGGTTTCCGACCTCGTCCACAGCAGATGACGCGCGTGCAAGAAGCCAACGCGAGAAGAGGTTTACTGCGTACCGAATTTTCTGCTGAACTATTCGGTATCTACCTGACGAAAGCGACAAAGCTCATGTTTGAGAAACGACGCTTGTTGTTGCAGGGGATGGCGAAAGGAGGTAGTGCAGATAAGCAGGGGAAGAAAGTAGAAACAAATAAAGGTACTAGGCCAGCTTCTCTTCCGAGTAGCCCTCCCAGTAGTCCAGCTAAAATAAAAGCTCCTGCTGGAGGAGCGGCCGCTGCATCTTCTTTTCCTACGTCAGCAGCAAAGAATAAACCCTCGGCTATTCGAGATGTTGGAGGTGGCGGATCTCCCAAAGGAAAGTTTCTACGGATGAAGCGTCTCGCTTCCCAGACCGGACTCCTCAGTGCTCCTAAGAGGGCAGCTAAAAATGCGGTGGAACGAACAACGGAAGGCGCACGTGTGAGAACGTATCCGCCATTGACGCCGAATGAGGTCACGAAGTTGTACGAGATGCTCCGGGAAAAGAACGGCGGCGAAATGCCTTCGCTGCACTCGTTGTTGCAGCATTTGCCATCCAACGTGTCCAACGTTTTATGTACCACAGCTACGAAGTTCAGTTCAGGCGAGAGCACTTTGATAGGATACAACCTGCCGAGGAGTGCGGTGAGAGCCTTGCATACTGGGAAGATCTTTTTGGGGTGCATCAGCGTTTCCGCAACGTTGTTGAGGTACCCAGAGATGGCGAACGTGTTGGCGACTTTGTTTGTGCCGCGTGGTGGATCAGCGTCTTGTTCTCAACAAGCAGAAGCTGCATCGGCAGGGGGAGGAGGTGGGTACCAGAACGGAGGAACAGTAGGTGGTGGTGGTGCTCATTCTCTATCTTCTACTAGAAGAACAACAACATTAGCAACAGTGGAAAAAGCCCTAGCTCTGGTCGTCGCTCAGGCGTTGGCGGACGCGAAAATCGTAGAGAACGGAGCATCATCGACCGCCCCACCTCCTTCTGGTGTTGAGGCAGGTGCTGAGAAGTCTTCACGTGTTTCATCGAGTGCCATCAATTCGAGTACTAATGCTAAGACGTCAAGCAATGCGAAGGGAACCGCAAGAGGCGCTGCCTCAGGTAACAACGGCGATTTCCAGCGAGAAGTTGATAGCAGTGGAATTCTACGCCGTTGCGTGTATCTAGAGAAGAATGCGGATGCAGATGGCGTCGTTTCTGTTCAGATTCCGAGACCACGATTTGTAGGCGACCGCATGTTCGCATGGGGCTTGTTTATAGAGGAAGATGAACCAGTTGCAAAAGCAGGAAGCGATGTGGACTCATCTACACCGGCAAGTCCTCGAACAAATGGCACAACTGGAACGACAGGAGCCTTCGATTACATCTCAGGAGATTCTACTTTGGCAGCTGCTGGTGCAGCGTCTAGTCTTCTGCTGTCGAGGACTTTACCATCTGTGACCATGCTCGGTGAGCCTGTTCATTACGAGGTCGTTGGCCCCAAACCCGGTCGTCCCGCAGTGACCAATGTAACACCTACCAGCTGCAACGTCCAGTGGACGCCGATTCTTGAAGATCGTGAGAGTAGCATGTTCGGCAAAGTAGTGGACTACATTGTGAGAGCGGAGCCACAGGTGGACAAATTTGAGGAGAATTGTCGCTTGTTGCCAGAACGTTTTGCTATGCGGTCGTTGTGGAACGGGAAAACACAGAGGTGCGAGCCGGTGTGCGACTTCAGGATTGACAACCTTTTGCCAGGCATGCCGTACAGATTTACGGTCATACCAAGGCATAAAGAACTAGTGGCGACTGGTGCCGCGGGTGGAGGAGGAGCGGGTACTCAACTTAGTTTTCGTCCTCACTTTTTTTAGCACTCCAAGTCCGAACCTTAAAATCGAGATCATTTCGATTTTGTACTTGTAGTACGTTGTTCTCCTTGATGAGCTTCTTCTTGTTCCACATCCACATCAATGATTAGCTCCTCGATTCTTGTGTACTAGAAGTGGGCAAAGAAATCTATCCACCCTGCTACTGCTTCTTCATCAGGTCCCGCCAACGAGAATAGTCTCCTCGTCTTATCGCATTTGAAAGGCGCTGCTGGCGACCTTGATGCTGGTTCGTCGCAACAGCAGTCTCAGCAACAAAGTTCTGTAGCAAAGGGTGCTGCAGTGGCGCGTCGTGCATTTGGTGGCGTCAAAGAGGCCGTTTTTGGCAACGTTGGCGGTACAGAATCGATTCCTAGTGAGGTGATCACACCTCCTAGAAGCGGCAGACCTGGACCACCGAGCAGACCAGAAATTTTCACCTTCAACAGCAATGAGGCCGTCATCAGAGTGCGGTTGCCGAATGACCTGAATATGGCCACGATCTACGACTACAAAGTGGAATATTGTGTCGCAACGGAGAGCGAAATGACTAGTTTGCTGGAAGAACAGGCGAGAACGCACAACTACTATGAAGCGGCTACAGAAATGGGTGCTGGAGGTATGCAACAGGAAAAAAGGTGGACGCAGTTGCCGCAGTTGTATCATAGAGTGTCGACTCACGGTGTCGTGAGTGGTGACGGTGATTCTCCGCCAGCTTCACCTAGAGCGGGAGGCGCGGCAGCAGGCATGAAGATGAAGGCCCATAGATCAATGACGGTCTCCATGCTCTCTGCCGATAATGAGCTTCATTATGGTGATAATGGACGAGGATTGAATGGAGGCATGGCTTCGTCTGGAGGTACTAGGGGACATCGAAGCAAGGAGATTCTTTTGCGTGTTTCCCCAGTTCCCGAAAGCTGGATCATGCACGTCAAGCGCGATGCCGAAACTTCTAGAGCCGAACAAGTTGAGGCAGATCCCGACGTCGAGCCAGAATCTTCAAAAATCGTGGTCCGCATAGCCGCTGAGTCCTCTGGTGGCGTCACTGATTGGTCCCCCATCTCTCTACCAAGGAATTGCCTAGTCGACTCCCGAAAGTCGGGTGCAGTGGACCATTGGCTTGCGGACTACAACGAGAAGCGGGGAAGGATCGCAATCGAATTCCCAGACCCGCATCCGATGTTGGACGCAGTGATAATGGACTACCAATACGAGTTAGAGATCTACTGCGACAAAGGAGAAGACCATCCGGATCTGTTGGGTGGTAGTACTGATACAAGTGGTGATTTGATTGGTGTTGATGCTTTTGCTAATTTTCTGTGATTATTTTGATTTGTGCACTGCCTGGAAGATTCGACTTTGATTTTTTGTGCTATCATGTTAGAGAATCTCTTCACTCTTGTTACTCCTGGAAGATTCGAGGAGGAGGACACCAGGAATACCAAGAGTGAAGAGATTCTTTACCATCAGCCTGAGCTTAATACAGGTGCCGACTCATCCCCGACCAATTCGTTTAATCGAGCGGAACAGCGTAGACGTGACGCCATGATGCGCGAAAGGGAGAAGATCTTCGAGGATGCGAATCGGATCCGCAAGCACTGGGGCTTGATGCTTCGCCACACTGGAACACTGCCGATGGCTAAATCAAGGGCGCCAGCATATTTCAACTTAAGGCTAGGAGGTTCTTGTCATTGTTGAAACTTGGAGCTTACTGAAATGAATGGAAGTAGCAGGAGTACGAGTAGGACCACGAATTTCAACTTGTCGACTATGACTATCGTCATTCAAACATTGAGTTCTTCTAATCCCCCGAAAAAACCACGCCAACCGCGCTCTCGTCGACCAATTACCTGAGCAGTTACGCGAGCCCGGGCATCCAGTCCTACAGGGCGGTTTACATCTCACCGATATCATGTTGGAGTACGTGCAAAGTGATGTCAACATGTCAAACGCTGAGAAGCGGCGGTTCATCGAGAAATTCGTAGCAGAATCCCATCAAATGTACGTTTCCGTAAGAGTTAGAGGACGATTTACAAGTGGCATTCCAATGAGCTGGTCCAAGAACAATTTGACGACACTCTCTGTCCCACTGGGAGCTAGCTTTGCCGGGAGATCACTGCTGATGAGCGATCTGTACATGACATCAGCGGCCGATGCGATGATTGCTGGTACTAAGTCTTTCTTCTTGTTCTTGACAATGACATACACATACACAAGAAGATGGTCCTGTAGTTATTTCCAAGTGAAAACTTTCAATTCATCTTCGACCACAACCCCCTCCACCCCCCACTCAGGTGGCACAGGTGGCGACGACCCTCATTGTGATGAGAAGCACATTTCCCTCGTCGAAAAGGTGGACTTTGATGCCCTGAGTACCAAAGACGCCGTAGCCAGTTACCTAGCTTGCTCTGCGGCGGATGTTAGAGAGCGGCTGAGGAACGCTCGGAACTGGGAAACCTTGAGGGAGCGAAGGGAAACCATGAGGAAGTTACGGGAAGATACTTTGTTCATCAGTACTTACCGGATAAGTATGATCTGGTTTGTCGGAAGTAACTCTTGTGATGATCTCGTTACTCTTATGCCTGTCCTTCTTCCCCCATGCGCAACACGACCTCCTCCTTGTGATTATCTCGTTACTCTTTTCTTTCTTCCCCCATGCCCATGCGCAACACGACCTCCTCTAACAAAAAGCGCTGCCGCACGCAAGCAAGCCCAGAGAGACGCTCAGCACCGCAAGACGAAAGCAGGGCTTCTACTCCCAGCAATCGACGAACTTCGCACCTCAGGTGCGGAGACATTGAGAGCCGTAGGCTCGCGGATAGATCAAGTACTCTTCGGAACAGGTGGTGGTGGCGGAGCTCTCTCGAAAAAAGCCGAGAGTTCAGAATCTTCTTCGCGTGTAGAGTATCTACGGACGATGTGTCAGGAACTAGGTTCGGTGACCCAGTTTCTGGATGACGTGGAGAGTGCTGTTGGTGGTCCAGCCGCAATTTTGGCGAGATATGGAGAGATAAGAGTTGGAGGTGGTCGTGCTGGGGACTCTAGTACAACCGCCGCAAAAGAACACGAAGATCCAGAAGGGGAAGCTTTGACAAAGAAGTACAAGACCGAGTACTATCCAGAGTTGTCGGATTTCTTGCGGAAGTTTGGTTGTTTGAGGGATGTGGTTTCAACGAGTGGCGCCAGTGGAGGTGCTGGAGCAACAACTACACGTGCAGCGAGGCATGTAGAGGGCACAGCTGCTCCCGTTGCAGGACAAGCTCAAGCAGCTCCAGCAGCGGCGGAAGCACCTGCTGCCGCAACAGCTGACGCGGCTGTGGTCGCGTGGGCACCGTATCTAGTAGACGGAAAGGGCCATCAAGGTGAACACCAAGGTCACGTAGATGCTCAGCGTATCACTGATGACGATCTAGCTCAATATACAGAGAAAGCTCAAGCAGCCGTTGCTCCAGGCCCCAAAAAACTCTGCTCTTGCCGTCTCCGTGTGGAGTTAATCAAGGATGAAGGAAATTCAGGTGGTAGTCCTGCCTCAAGTCCTGGCGATGCTTCCGAACCCCAGCAACAACTTCAGGTTTGCACTTTGGAACGCACATTCGAGATCGACCTCCATTCGGAAGCACCGTTCTTGCTGAAAAACCTTGAAGATGTGAAGCAATACTTCGCAACTGACCCAGCAGAGAAGGAGATCACCAACGACTTAGCGAGTCTACTCTTCGACAAGTTTGGGTTGAACGACAAGTACGACAACTTCGACGAATCGAGATTAGTGCCGATGTTGGACCGACTGCTGACGAGGCTCTTAGACCCACCGACGAAGGCAGAAGACGCGACTTTGGAGGAGGTGGAATCAATGGAGAACAGACTCCGAAACGAAGGTGTAGAAGGAGATAGAGACTTGTTGTCGATTTATGGTCTCGTTGTAGAATCTACTCTGTATACTCTCGAATGATAGACATCACAGTCCTCTTCTTACTCTCGTCGAATGATAGACATCACAGTCCTCTTCTATACAATCCTGACATTCCTCTGTACCTGTGGTTACTCCTACGTACTACAGTTTTCCTCTGTTTTATAATCTCACACTTGTCCTACTCCCAGTCCCCTCTTCTTTGTCTTTCCCCGCATCATCCTCTATCCTCCTCTAATTCCCGATGCTCCGTGTCGAGTCTTTCCTCGACATCATCGACCGTCTAGGAGTCGAGAAGATTTCGTGGGCTAACAGTTGGTTCCGTAAGTTCCCGAAAGATACCTCACCTTCTGTAGAAGAGCTTTGTCGACTCCTCGACTACGTGAACAAATTTGGCGGTCTTGAGGACTTTTTTGATTTTTTCAAGAAATTGCCGGACCTGCAGTCCTACATGGACGCAGTGACGTTCTGGGAGGCATTTTTGACTACACCTGGACCGTTTCAGGTGTTTGGCAACGGGTCGATAGGAACGCATCCACAAGAGAACGTCCACCGGCTGTCGACGCGGAGGCATGTCCTGCAGCACAAACACATTGTGGCGCAGCTGTTGTACCACCTGGATCAGTGCGGCACTAAACCGTTGCTAGGTTTTCACTCGGCCAATATCAAGCCGAAACTAGGTGGCTCGAATAGTCAGAGCAAGCCGGGTGCGGAACTGGCGAAGATCTTAGATTCCGGAAGACGAGGAAATGTCTACTGGTGTGGTCTGGCACGGGCACTCGATATCCTGATGCTCAATGTGTGCGACAAATTGGACTACTACATTGAAGCAGGACGTGTGATCGACTACATTTGCGGGATCAACGTTCAAGGTGACGACGGTCTGGGGCTCCACGATTTGTTGCAGTTGCTGACGCAAGCGGGGAAGACGGATGGCGGTGTGAAATCGTTGTGGAATAAGATGGCGGTACTCGTCTTTGTTTCTGAGGATATCTCTTGCTCTTCAAGACCATGATCTTTATTAAGTACCTTCTTGATTGTTGGAAGATACTGCTCATCTCATGCTCGTCCTCGACATGATGAAGATATAATTTGCTTTTCTAGCGATCATAGCCACCCCCTAAAGCTAATGTTGTCCCACTCAAAACCATCTTCAACAGAACTGCGGTCCCGCTCGAGTGAATGCTCTCCTGGACGTGTTCGGTGATAGTACACAGCGTGGCGCCGACCCGGAGTTCGTCAGAGAAGGCCTCCGTGTAGTCCAAGAAGCCGGTGGCTTAGCCGCTTGTCAAGCCACCATTCGCGATGCTAGGTTACTTCAGAAACAGCTTTATCAAGGTTGCACTTTGTTTGACTTTGAGTATTCGTCGAAATTCTTTGGGTCGGCAACCGACTTGGTCAAAGCGGTCCGCTATTTGGAACGGCATGCAGAGTATACTTCATTCCCAATTCTGAAGTTTGTCCAGCTGATCGGCACCATAGCGCCATCGGAGAAGGATTTGCCGGACTTTTGGGAGTTCTTGCTGCAGATGCAGGAGTGCCAGACGTTGCAGGATTGGAAGGACATCGTCATAGAACTGTACGAAGACAACACCGCTTCCTTTTTAGACGACGACGAGGAGAAGGAACTGTGGCTAAACTTCGCACCAGAGCGCTTCTTGTCTGTGCCTCTGACGACAGAAAGGTTGAAAGACTACAGAGGCAAGGGGAAGACGCTGATGCAGCGGTGGGAAGTGAAGCGGTTTTTAGATGCAGACCCTCAGAAAAAAAAGAAGCAGCAGATAAGAAAAGCCAGGACAAATGCGAGTTTGATGGCGAGTTTTGGAGGCGGTGGAGGTGTAGAGAACGATGCTGGAGCTGGTGTGGTAATGCCTGGCTTTGAAGGAAAACACAAAGCTAGTGGGGAACAATCAGGTGGAGAGGAAGAAGAAGCTGTTGCTGGTGTAGTAGAGCAAGACTCATCTGCAGCTGCCGGTGAGAGCCAAGATCAGGACTCAGGAGGAGGCGCGGACTCAAATGAAACAGGCCCTGCTGACGGACCCGAGCAAGAACCTGAGCCACAACCTGGCGCTTCTGAGGAACAACAGAGCAACGAAGTACTAGATGACCCAGAAGTACTAGGTGACCCAGAAGTACTACGTCTAGCGGCCGAACAAGAAGGGAAGAACGCTGAATTATGGGAAGGCGCAGATCTGTTCATGGCTCGCGCTGAACTAATCAATGCTACTAGCGCTGCTAGGAAGCAGAAGAAACGAGCAAGAAAAGGACCGTCAAGATCGTATCCTGCTCCAGCTGCGGTTTCGGGTTTCTTGGAGATTTTGAAGTTGCAGAACATTCGCTTGTCAGATGTTTCTCTTCTGATTCAATTCCTCGACAACCACGCCAGCTGGGAAGAGATGTTGCACTCGTTGCAGTACATCCGCATCGTAGCCAGATTAGCTGATAAGGGCTTGATGCCTCTGGACTACTATCCGAAACGGGAGGATCAACTAGCTGCAGAAGATGAAGACGACAAAGATGTTGAAGAAGGAAAAAAAACCTACAATTCAACCTCGATCCATCGCAGTGTCCATGACAAGTCTCTTCTAGTCGAGCAAGAAGCTATGTACCAACTTCTGAACGCCATGCGACATTACGACGGAGGTTTCCCAGAGTTGCAGAAGGACTTGGTCGAGAAGGTGCCGGTTTCGCATTGGCATAAAACGTTTGCTCTAGGAACGGAGATCATCCGCGTCACCAAGTCGCCAGCGACGAAGAGCTATAGCGATCAGAAGTTCAGGTTCTATCTGGAGACTGCTGAAGAATTGGAAGACACGTTCTTGGGCTACACAGAAGCGTTCAGGAACAGCATGAAGCTATTGCGGGCGTGCAAATTGACGGGTCAGAGCGGTGTGCGAATGGCGATGAGCGACCCCCTTTATGATGATGGAAAAAGACTTTGCACTTGATTAAATGGCAGTAGCTAACTCATGGCAGTACCTCACACTCTAACTCATGCTCAATCGTACTGAAGCCAATTCATCTCCCCAACATTCAGAACATCAATCTTTCTGTTTCTGTTCTAATCCCTTCAGCCCCTCTTCTACCGTGGAAGCTTTTTGCCCGGCCACGCCGTCCGAGATCAGCAAACAGGAAAACTGCTGTCCAAGAATGAACAGTGTCTGCGCATGGAGTCCATAGCTGCAATCGAGGCAGATCTGAACTCGATGTCCCCGCGATCCAGGAAAAGTGAGGTCCTCAAGAGACTACCACCAGAGTACTTGCGGAAAGTGGACTTGGTAGTAGACGAAGAGAAACGGGTCATTGATGCGGCATTGTATTCCGGAAGTGAGGAAGAGAATATGGAAGATGGTGCTGTGGTAGGTAGTAAAGGAGAAAAGATCATATTAGCAAATTCATCTTCTGGTGCAGCAGGACGAGCTGCTCTTGACAAATCCAAGACAACATCTTCTTCTAGTACTTCCAACAGTGCTGGACCACGTTCTCAAGTAGCAAGTACTGGCTCCTCTCTCTTCCTTCAGCGTGTGTCGCACGAGAAGTTCGCCCGCGAAGTTCGCGACCACTGGGAAGTCTGGCTTTCAGTCATCCACAAACTGACCAAACTTGGTCGTGGGCCTTCCTTCTTCGTGGAGGCTACCGAGAACTGCAACTTGGCGGAGTTTTTATTCGCAGTGGATGCTTTGAAGGAGGTGCAGCTGTTGGATGGCCAAGTCCCAGACGAGGACCTGATGGACAAGCGAAGCGATGGTACTGGGCCTTCAGCGCCAGGCACGTCACCGACCATTTCTAGTCCTAGAGAACGACGGAAACAACCCGCGGCGGCTGGCTACACAGCGGAAGAAGCCAAACTGCAAGAAGTCGACAAGGAGACGTTCTTGGCGCAGAAAGACTGGGACTGGGAGAGCATCTATCCAGAGGAGAACAACCCGTTGGATCCACCGGTCAGTGCAAGGCGAGCAACTGCTGCTGTAGATGGAGAAGGAGAAGCAGCTCTTGTAGATGAGGGCTCTGGACGAGCTGGTGGCGACCAGGACGACAGCGCAAGTAGCGGTCGTCTTCCACTAGTAACCTGGGAAAGTAACGGAAAGCCGAAGCATGTAGTTACCGCTCCTGTTGCCGTTGCTGTTGCAAAAAATAGTTGTAGTTCTCCTCCGAGGTCGCCGTCACCGAGAGCAGCTGATACTAGACGGGTGACAGTTCTTGTGGAGAACGAGGACGATGCCGTTGGCGGTCGTCGTGCAGCATCCCCATCGAAGTTCCAGATTCCTCTAGATCAGAAGAAAAACCCGAATCAAGTCGTCGCAGTCTCCGAATACACTGGTGGCACTTTTCAGTTTCAACGTGTCTCTCGCTTTTCTCCTTTGAAGTCACTTTTGAACCAGATCCGACTCTATGGCGGCCCAGAGACTTTCTGCTGGCTCCTGCGTGGTGTCCCACTCCAGCGCATGAAGGCGCAGACTCTGGCATTGCAAACTTTGGAGAACAGTCCTATGCTAGCCGAAGAAGCGGAACGTGGATTGCTAGTGCAATTGCTAGAAATGGTGGAAGAATTGGGCGGATTGAGGAAAGCTATCGAAGCTTTGAGGAATGAGGTAGACGACATGCAAACGGTGGCGAATGTCAAGGCTTTTGGAGAGCAGAACGCAGCATCAAAGCTGCCACCTACGTCTTCGGTAGTCACAGGTACTGCTACAGGAGCGAGTAGAACCGTTAGTAAAGATGGTGACAACCACGCTGCAGGACCAGGACTAGGAAGTGTAGGAACTACAACGTCTGTGCTAGCTGTGCCTCGCGTCCCACCGGCACCTCCTTCGACGTTAGTGAGTACTTTGGCTGGAGGTAGTGCTGCAGGAGGAGCTGGTGTTGAAAGAGGAGCATCGCCACCAGCTGCAGGGCGGCTTGGTGGAGCAGGCGGCCTAGTACTAGCAGCATCGCCAGTAGGTTCGGCCTCACCCAGTTCCCCTAGTGGAGGCTACGGGTTTGGCTCTGCCGTCAGCGCTATGCAGTTGGGTGCCGACTTAGCACCCAATAGTCGCAAGCGACGGAAGCAGTCAGTTTTCTTCGCTGCTTTAGGAGAACGGGTCTGTCAGGAGTTGAAGTTGAACACTGACGAGCCTAATGAGGCGTTGGCGCGCGCAGAGCAGCTGATTAAGCTCTACAAGGTCTTGTGCGGACCTCCTTTGCCGTATGTGAAACCTGAAGGGGGAAATGGTGCAAAAAGCAACGGAGCTAGTGCTGCTGGAGGTGGAGAGGCAGTGAGTCACGGAGAAAAAAGTGAAGGACATCATGGAGGTAGTTCGGAGGGCGCTCGCAACGGCTCGGCTTCGCCAGGTAAGAGCCGTGTCCGCAAATACACACCAGTACAATGGCAAAATCCGAATCTGAAGCCCGAAAAAGTGCCTGCGTATCAGCAAACACCTGTGGCAGTGATGGCGCGCAAGAAGAAGCAAGTTGCATTTGCAGAAAACGGCGAAGCAGGAAGCGCTGATGGTGCTGGTTCAACACCAAACGCGGGAGTCGATGGCAATCATGACGAGGAGCTGAGTTCACCCCGAGTTGTTGCAGGAGCCACATCACCGCGAGTTGGAGAGGAGACCACACAAGCACGGCTAGATTTGATAGAGCTCAGTGCGCGAGAGCTGTATGAAGTCCAGAGCATGTTGAGGGAGATTGTAAGCTACTGGCGGATAGGAAATCTGGCTCGTGAAGAAACGCTGGTGCCACATCTAGTACAAGGAAAAGCGAAGTCGTCAGAATATGGAGGTGGACGAGCTAGTCGTGAGCAGACCTCTACTGGTGCAGGTGCTGGCGAGCAAGCAGATGACAAGAACAACGCTGCTGGTGAAAACCTCGGTTTCAACACTTCTACCGCTCGTCCTGTCATTCTGTCCTCCAAAAAACCGCATCTAGAACACACGCGGATGTCCTACGCTAGGCTGCTAACGAGATACCTGCACTTCTTGAGCAAGATCACGGCTACGGACGTCGGCTTTTTGCACATGCTCGAAGATCTGCTAGATTTTGGCAAGCGCATTCCCCACGTTCGCGTCCTAAAGATGTGGTCGGAGCTGAAATCGCAGTTCCCTGACGCTCATTTGGAGGAGTGGGAGGTTTTGCGGCAGTGGATGGGCAGGTTGGGAACGCAAGCTAGCGGGTCTCAAATGCAAACACTGGCTCCAATGATTCGACTGGTCTCAAGGGTTATTGAAACCCGTGAAGGCCAAGTAGCTTTGCAAGACGTCTTCTTTCAAGGCGGAAACACGGTAGAGCAGAACGCTTTGTTTGGAGGTAACGGAAATGCTGGTGCTACTAGTGCGCCTGCAATCGCTAATGCTCCATACAATGCTGGTGCTGTGCCGCCACAAAGTGCGCCAGTCGTTACTTTTGCCGGAATAGATCAGATGCAGAGCAAGCCCAATTTGTACCCTCAACAGCGATCGGCGGGAGGCCGCGCGTTAGAGCAAGGAGGTAGCAAAACTACAAAACCCTTGAGTTTGTACGAACAAGCTCAACAACGAAAGAGCAATGAGCAGCAACTAGTTGATGATGTAGGACGTCAACAGCCACAAGATGAATATCGCGGTTACATCCGTAGTCGACAAGGCTCATCCCAACAGTCAGCAAGAAATAAGAGAACTACTGCATCATCGTGTCCAACAACGACTAAGATAGAAGAGGAGAAAGAAGTAGAAGGCGTGGAGGATGTCGTCGAACCAGCAGTCGCAGTTACAGGAGGTACTACAGGAGCGCCTCGTACAACAGCAACAGCACCACAAGCACAGCAAACGAGAACAGCCCCTTCCGCAAAGGGAGCTGGTCGTGGTGGCAATGCTGGTGGAGCTGCGCAGCAGGTTCCTCCTGCAACAGCACCAGCGGGTCCCAACAACGCGGCTGCGGGTGCTCGAGGGGCGCAGTTTTTATCTACCTCTCCTCAGAGACGAGGGGGTCCGAAAGGGATCCACACTACACGAGGTGGTGCCGCGAAGCCACCTGCTTCTGGCAACATGAATGGAGGTTTCGGAACCGGTGTTGTTCTCATCGAAAACAAAACGCAAAAAAATAAGGCAGCAGCCCATATCAATCGCCAAGCAGATCCGCGCGGTCGTCCAGCACCATCTTCACTAACCAGATTGCCAGCGGAGAGCCACGATGTCAGTTCCATACAGGCAGGTGGTAATGGCATCGCGGGAGAAGAGCAGCCTTCTAGAGGTGGACCAAGAGGCGCATTCCATACGCGGAGTAGCAGCAAGCAGGCGCCATCACCAAGCAAAACTTCGCCTAGTAAGGTAGCAGCATCGGCTGCGAGTAGGGCTGCTAGCCCAGGTAAACACCAACCTCATGATGTTGTAGCTACTTTGGACGAGGCGCCCCCACAACTTCTACAGCGAGACACGGAAATCATAACCGTGGGAGACTTGCAACGACAACAAGGTGATGTCGTCGACGACGAAATCATCGAAGACCATCCATCGCGGCAAGCGAAGAACAAGCAAGTCGCCATCGGCGACGATCTCACTAAGGATGAACTAGAAGATCTTACTCTTTCTCGCGAACTACATCCAGCATATCCTGTTGGAGATGTACAACCTGTTGTTGGAGGAGGTGATGGAACCACAGGTTATACAATTAAAGATCAACATGAAGATGAAGTAGAGGAAGAACCTGCTTCCTCGCCAGACGTCGATACTTCTCGTCCACCGCTTACTGCAAGACAAGCAGCGGGTCCGCCATTGACACGCGAGAATAGCAAGAAAGCCGATTCCTCCGAAATCTCTGTTTCCTCCGCTTCCTCCGTGTCCTCCCAGTACCGCGTCCGCCAATCCCCTATGGTGTTACTCGCGGAACCAGGTCAAGAGCCAAGGTTTATCCACCCACATCCAGGTGCTAGAGATGCGAAGAGTACTCGTCGACAGGTGATCACGTCGAAAATCAAAGTAGACAAGCGAATGGAGTATGAGGATATCAAGACAACCGAAGAAGATGGAGGTGTGGCACAACATATTGAGCCTCGGTTCACCCCAGCAGTGATGACTGAGAGCGATAAGAGGAGACAAGATAAGAGACAAGCAAAACTACAGGCTAGGGGAGATAAGATAGGTAGAGAGAGCAACAAGAAGGGTGGCGGTGGAGGTCATCATGGAGGTCATACTAGTCCGAAGAGTGCGAATGGTAAGAACAAAACAAACATAGAAGGCGACCATCAATTCCACCAGTCTTCTCGAGGCTCTACACCGACAATTACGGAGGAAGGCGAAGTGGAGGAACCTGCCGTTTTGAGCTCTTCACCGATGAAGACGTCGGGTGGTGAGCTCCTTGGTTTCATTCGACGCAAAAAGCCGCCAGGGAATAAGCTGGCGCCTTTGAGGAAGTGACGAAGAAACTGCATTCATAGTGATAGTGATAGTGTAACACAACATAGTTTGTTATTCATATGGACGATAGTGATAGTGTAACACAACATAGTTATATATTCATATGAGACGTAGAATCCAACATTCATCATAGTAAGAAAGAACTACAACATAGGACGACACTTTCCTTCGATTTCATCATCACTCAAGATCACATGATCGAAATAGAAATTCTGCTGAACTAACATCGGATCGACATATCATCATGAAAAAAAGAATAATCTAGTAGAATTAGACACGAAGATGAAATTTTGAAAACAAAACCTTTGGGATCCGCCCGCGAAATCAGAAGCCATACCAGTATCAAAATCCAACGATGCGAAAGCCGTCCGAACCCAGCATAGAATAAATAGGATGAATACATCAACACTTGCACGCGTATTAATGAGACCTTTTTCGAAGAAACTACACCATATTGAATATGGCATATTCCATAACCAAGTTATTGAAAGTTATTCCATCATTAAGGTAGTAGTGCAGCACTACAAATGTACATAGAACAAGCGATATCGACTTAGTGACAGTGACAAGAAAGTGACAGTAGGTGCTAGTACTAATATTGATGACATGTCGTGAAATCACAAATAGAAAATTTATGAAGTGAATAGCTGTTGCAAAGACACCTGACAAAAGCATAAGCTTGTCCATCCAAAATATTGAAACTTGAAATGTCTGTCGAGACGATGTATAATTCCCATATTGGACGGTGCTTCTGTGCTAAATGAAAATCACGAGACGCAGTTTGCAAGTCAAAGTATGTGCACATGCAGTCACAGTACTGCAGCTGGCACGTTGTCCCTGACGCAGGAACGACCACTGCCACTGGGACTGGAAGAAATTAGACTCTCTACTTCGTGTTCGGTTCTTGAAGACAGTTTTCTGAAGTGCTCTACTCGTCCTTCCACAAGGCTCCACCATGATGTCATCTTCTTCGACGGACTGTGCCTTCGTTAAGATGAGACGAAAGGAGTCGTTCGTCAAGAATACTGCAGTAGTTGGAGGAAAAAACAGAGAAGCTGCATGGCAACAACGAGGAAACAATGAAAAAACACAGATCTTCCTCTATGAATAGTCTCTGCTTCTAGGTGTCTACTGATGTGAACAATATATTTCTTATCAGACGTAATTCTCAAGCCTCCTCTTTGACGTTCTTCTGATTGACAACCTGCTATAAAAAAATAGAATATCTACCACCACGAACACAACATGACGCACATGTTTGGTTCATCATCGTCCGAAACTCGAACATCCATATAATTCTTGAGACCATCTCCTATTTTCTTCTCTCAAGAAACCAACAGCAGGAACAAATGCGCGCAGAACAGAGATGGCAATATACTAGAGACGCATAGAAGAAATATGAGCATGGCCCTGAGGACTTGGTTTGTTCGTCAGGGTCTCTCCAAGTTGCAACTAAGAACATGAGATTATAGAGAGTATCCGATACAACATCTGTACTAGTTGTACGAACGGAGGACTGTTAATACTGGTCCTCGTGGTTCTTCCCGTTGTACAACACTTAGAAGGTAATGACTTGAGAGGTTCATCTTGAAGAAAGCTGTAGGTATTCGGTCTTATCAAAACAAATACTTCTACTAGATGTAGATGCCGATGTAATAGAGTACCCGCCATATTCTTTCTAGTGGTACGAACGAACGTTTTTATATCTTCTACCTACTACAGGCTTTAGTGTCTGTGTCCTCGTGAAAACAAGGTATCGTCGAAAACGGTTTTTTATGTTAAGATCGCAAGAACATTGCTGGTATGCATTTTCACCCGGCACCAGTGAAACAACGACTCGCACTACCTGCATTTGTATCTATAATTGTCCTCTTTAAAAGTGCGACCCAGGTTTATTCTCAACAAGAAGATGAATCTTTATGCTGTCTGAAACAAAGGGACCTTTTCATCTCCGGCATTCTAGATTAGAAACCATTCCAGATTAGAAGCAAATCCCTTTATTTAGTGTAGTAGTCGTGTACGTGTTCATTATCATTTGTTTGCAACCTCTCAACTCTTTTCTACAAGCAAGGCTTCTACTCCACAATAAATTGATCGCAAAAGTCTAGTCCTTTCTTCACACATATATTTTTGTAGGTAATAGGTCCTATCGAAGTCGATCGTTTATCTCATCGTTTTCTTCTTGTGGCCTTCACAATTTCTATTTCTTGTGAAGGAGGAACGGAGCTACCGAAAGTCCGGCAAGAACGGCTAGACAGCCGTCAGAGCAGGATCATTGAAGAACGGGAGTACGCAGTGATTGTCCGTTATCTTCCTGTTTAAAGACGATTAAGGCGACCCGTGGGTGTGGCGCAGGTCTGACACTCTTGGTTGTGTGACACCAACTGGAAGGAGACGCACGAGGCTCCTTTTTTTCTCATCCTTAATAGTTATTGGTTTGTGTTGGGGGTTGTAAGTAAGTATCGTCGTGTTGACCTGTAAGTAGGTACTAAGCGTCTCATGTACTTCGAACCGATATTTATATGTTGCAGCAAAGTATTCTTCATCATCGCACTTTCCTCCCATCCAGGATGAATTGCAGGGGTAACAGTGCTCTTAGGGTTCTTTTTAATGGTGTTTTTTCTTTATAAGGAAGCGATTTGGATTTGAAATTTGATTTCTATAATAATTTCTAAGTGTCGTGATTTGAACAAGACGTGTTGATAATGCCTGTTGAGGCCCTAGTAATACCATGATCGTCATCGGTCACCATTGATTAGGATTTCCCGTGTTGTAGGATAGAGATAAACTAGACGTTAGTTAGTAGACAAAGTCGTGTTGTTTTTCTTTTTTCTCGTTATTGTTCTAAAGGACGAGAAGTAATATGAACGAAGTATGGTTTTACCGCAAGAACTCCCAAAGCGGAAAATTTTGTCTACATTTCTTGCATTCTTTTAGGGACCAATTGGATTGTCTTCCTTGTTCTTCCGGAAAAAAGAACAAGAACTACTACGACCAGGAAGACAGCACCAGCACCACGTCCTGCAGATCAGTAGCTCCACCACGTCCTGCAGAAGTACAAGATCCACCACGTCCTGCAGATCAGTAGCTCCACCACGTCCTATCTCTGATAATGAGAAATGAAATGAATTCTTTGTCCTCGTCGTCCTCTCGTTCACCCTCCGGCAACAAGATGACAGAATCCGAGCACCTCCAAGATTCGGCGACAATGCTTACTCCTGCCTCTGCTGCGCGGTCGTCAGCCAGTCGGGCGTCACCAATGACGATGACACCCCGACCTCGTCATGGTCCGAGGAGTAATTCAAGAACAAATCCTCGCCGGAGAAAAGTGCATTATCATGCTAGGACGAGAAGGAAAAACAACTTGTTGAGTTCTTCCAGCAAAAGAACGGATGATGATTCCTCGACATTTCGTAGTAGTGATCAACATCTCCATGAAGTAGGAGCAGCACTGAATTCTACATCTTCCTTGTTGGGCGCAAGCAGTGAACAACAAGAGCACGACGACATACACGACCATGAGTATTTAATAGACCAAGAGTATCATCATGAACACCGAAGATCACGGTCACCAAGACGGCTCCTAGGTGGGGAAGACATGATAGACCCTTCACACAGACACCACTTTAATCATCTTTCAACATCTTCGTCTGGGCGTCGACGAGAACTCCTCGAAGCACGAGAGGAAGTTGTAGAGGCTGATGATGTGTCTTTTTTTGAAGAGACAAAACAACGACAAGATGAACAAGGAATACCTCCTTTCATGACCACGGCTGAAACCGGCAGTGAAAAAGTAAGTGGGAGTCCACTTAAAAATGAGAAGCACAACATCAACGTCGAGCAGCAAGACGATCACGGCATGATATTCGTCGATGCTTCAGCCACGAGTTTGAATGTGCAGAAACCAAAACCGAGACTACGACAAATAGGAGCAGGTAGCCCTCATCATCCAAAAGTAGAGAGACCACGAAATGTCGTCCATTTTGAAGACGAACTATCTTCAGCTGCCTTCGACCTCGACGTCGATGAGCCTGTTGGTGGTGCTTCGGAGCCTGAGCTGAAGGTAGTTTTAAGGGTAGGTTAAAGGTGCTTTTCTTACCGCTTTTTATGCCTCTCCTAAGGGAGAAAGGCATAAAAAGCGGGGTAAGCGAGCACCAAAAACCTACCTTTAATAGTTGTCGCAAAAACGAGAAATGATCCAGTAACGACAGGAATGAAGAAGGCAGCACCCGCTGCAGTGCTCGGTGTGGCTGCAGGTCTTGGGGCGGCAGTGAAAAAGTACTTCAAATTACTTATATTTGCTGTAACATTCATGTGAAATGTTTCGTTTCGGATTTTCCATCCTTATATATAATATTTTTACTGTCTTCATTCTCAATATTAAGCATGTTAGTTTTCACCTCGACAATATTAGGCTTATCCCATGCAACAAAATTAAGTATGTAACTTGTACTTCTAGACCTCGTGCCATATTTGATGAAGATTAGGCACCACTTATATTCCAACTTTTTTTTCAGCATTACCACGGAGGAGGCAACGGGCAGCGGCGGCTTCCTTTTCGACCAACGAGACGATTTTCTCTTTCCATCTGGGAGTGCAAGGCCAGCGATTAGCCATCAATTGATCGACAGCACAAGCTCTAGGAGTTTCCCGCCACATCCTGGCGCAGGATCTCTAGTGCCTGACAATACCATAACGAATACCAATATCACATCACCAACGACCTCTGCTTCAGGAACAGTTTCATCGTCCACTTCAAATCACCTCAATACCATATCAAACACCAACATACCTGCTGGGCAACCTGTAACAGCAAATCCCGGCTATAGTGCTGCTTCTTCAGTCAGTACAACTACAGCCACCGCTGACCTAGTGCAACCGGGAACAGTCTATTTCCAAGAAGGAAACGTAAGAATCCTGGCTGATCCTGTATCAATTAAGGCTACCACAAGAAATCCTTCTCCACAGGCATCTTGGTCCCGCTTTTCAAGGGAAAAGAAGACCCAACATGCTGCTGAAGGTGGACGTCTCTTAGTTCTAAATCGAGAAATGCACTTGATCCCTCCCATGCTTTCGATAAAGCACACGAAACCATTGAGAAGGTTCGAAGCGAACAACTGATCCAAGAATTTCGACGAAATCAGTTGTTGCACTTATGGAAATGGATGATGGAAATTGAAATGATCATGTTTTTAAAAGTGGTGCTTGCAACGTGATGTTGTATTTCTCATCTGTAGAAGACAAATGATAATGTCTGCAGCATCATTCCAGATTCACTGCTTCTGCAGCTACTTGTGTGTCCACCCTGTTTCTGCTGCTCGTTTAACCTACCAGAACCTGTACTTGTTTCATTTTTGTGGAATGGAAATGATCCAGATCATCTTCTTCATAAGTTGACAGTTATAACCAACATCAGAGACGCCGACAGGTTGAGTTTGTAGTGTGTTACAAATTCGTTGTAGTGTTTCACTTCTTGTTTCGCCTCTGTTCGGCGATGAATTTTGTCATAACACAATTTTGCTTAATCTTTAGTGTGGATGTTCACGAGATAAAACCGAAGCACGTGGTCCTTCACCGATGTTGATTACCACGCCTTAGTCGATATAAAAGAGAAGATTCGTTCGATAATCTCTACTCCGTCATCAAAGGCAAAAATAGCAACATTCATATTAGGTACAGGCCCCTTTCCCCTATGTGAATGTTCAGTCGAACGGATGTATGATTTTTCCTGTTTTTGTTCCCTCTTCTAACTCCCACCACAACCTCGGCGACAACTGGAGAGAACCCCGCACCTCCTCCACCCCCAAACGTCGCTGAAGTTCAGAAAGAATTTGAACAACTACTGGAAGAGCAACGTTCCGTCAGACACGGCAGCGCAGCAACTTCACTTTGGCCGTCTTCTGCAGCGAATACTGCAGGTGCAGCGTCAACAGGGGCAACGACAACCGGCTCCGCAACGGCAAATCTAGACAACTGGATACGAGCTAGTGCCCGAAACAACCTCCATAGTACGGCTACAGCACAACATCACGCCGCAACATCTGCACTAGCGGGTGATCATACGACCCATCAAGGATCACTGTGGGATGCGAGAGCGAGTGGGGCTATAGAACGTACTTTTTGCTGTTGATCATGATGTGAGTATTTGTCTTCTTTTGAAGCTGCCTGCTTTTCTTTTTCACTACATTGGAAATCGAAATTGTAAAATTCGCTATCCTTTGTTGATGACGGCTTCACATCACTCGTCTTGTTCACTCACACTCTTTACAGCTATGCGCAATTTCATGCGACAACCCGGGATGGACCTACTTTCTCGTGGTGAAGCTCTACGCATGCAGCCATACCATTCAGCCTTTCAACATCAAAGCGGAAATAACGAACTATCAGCTGCAGCTTCCTCTAGTACCAATGCTCTCGACAACGCTTCCGGAACTTCTTTCGGCGGTTTAGAAGGTGGCTTTTCACGTACACAACTAGAAAATTTAAACGCGTACAGGCAAGAGGATCTCCGTATGCAACGAATGATGATGGAGCATCTAAATTCACAAGCCCGTAGAAGCAACGCGCTGGCTGCTGCTAGACATCATCAACATGTCAGGCCTGATGGTGGGAATGGAAATGGATCTCACCACCATAGCAATACTGCTGGACAAGAACTACAAGTAGGACAAGAGCATCATAACGGTGGAGGTGCACAACATTCTAGTACCAGTAGTGCTGCAAGTAGTGCCCATCACCTTCATGCCCCGCCGGGCGACAGCATTTCAACCACCTCTCCTGCACCAGATTCTTCTGGTATTTGGAGTTCCTTTGTAGCGCAATTGTTCGGATCATCAACGTCTTCTTCGTCTAGTGTTGTAGCAAATTCAGCGAATACGGAAGCAGCAACAACGGGCTTAGCAGGCAGTTCCACCGCCATGGCCCAAGGTATGCCTCAGGAGATATCAAACGTTAACGGTGCCCTTCGAGGTACGTGGATATCACCCGACGGGCGAATCCACGACTACATAGACGCAAGAACTGCAGAGCTGAATCCGCATAACTTGCCCCTACAACATCCGGGTTTGCCATTGCCGGATATGGTGGGTGGGGAAGGAGGTAATGTCGATTAGTTTTTAGGAGTGGATGTAGGATATTAGTGCAATTCTATCCGAAAATGTTGAAGAAACTAACTGTACAAATGGATTGCAAGAAGGATCGTCTCGTCCTTGATTCACGACGTGATCTACTTTTGCTCAAGTTCATCATCTTCAACAGCATTTTCATTCTACTTAAATCTGTTCAGGTTTCCCGATCCCTCCACCACCCGGCGGTCCAGGCTACGACCCCAGCAGTCCGTTTCCACCTCCACCCTTCTCAGGCGGGAATGAAAACCCATCAGTTCCTCCGCCACCCACACCACCTCCAGCGGGATCTTCTTCTGCTTTGGGGTCTGCTTCTTCTTCCTCTGGCCCTCATGGAGGATCAGATAGCGCCTCTTCTTCCTCTGGCCACTTTCCTTTCCCAGGAGGTGGCGGTGCAGCAGCTTTGGCTGCATCTAGTACCGGTCTAGGAGCAGGAAGCACTCTGGGAGGATTGTCTGACATGCTTGTTCGGCTGCCTTGGAGTGGCGCCATCCACGGTGCGGAAGTTGCCTTCATAGTGGCGACCGCAGTGGAGTTGGTGACATTCGCGGTGGATCATAGGGTACTTGTTCCTCTTTCTACTTTTTTGGTTAAATTGTTGTTCGCGGTGGATCATAGGGTACTTGTTCCTCCTTCTACTGTTTTGGTTAAATTGTTGTTCACTTCTCTTATCAAGATCAATCGCACTTCTTCTCATGAAGCAGGAAATATTATAATCAAATAACAACTATTTTTGACCTCAAATTTTCAACATACTGATACTCTTTTGAAACCTAAAAATCAGGACGCTCGCCTGGCGGTAACCCGTCTCGGTCAGCGGTCAAAATTCGCCCTCACTCGTGGCGCCGTAGTCGGTAGTCTGTACCAGCTCTTTGCGGGTCTCACTTGTCCGTTGCTTGCAGTTTCTTCTCTGGTAGCATGTGCAGAAGGTGTGAGCGGAGTCATGCAGGCCAGTGATGACCGCTTCGCACACGGCCTAGTGCGTGCTCTGAGCACTCTTTCCGCCTCTTGGGCTGCCATTGCCGGTGCAAAAGGCAGCGCTTTCGCACTATCGACTCTGCTGGGCATAACTTCACCGCTCGGATCGGTCTTTTCGGCTCTGTTGTCTGCATATCTGGCTTTCCTAGCAGGTTCAAGAGCAGGATACCATGGCCGTGCGTTTTTGCGGGATCGTGCAAGACAACGCGCAGTCGATGATGCTCTGGTCAAGATTTTTGGCGAAAACCGCAAAAACATTCTGGGAACAATCAATGGACTCGGAATAGGGAATTTCAAAGAGCAGAACGAACATGGGGAGGACGATGGCGACTCTACTACGAGTAGGACAGCTATGAGTACAGCAGCTATGTCATGTGGAGCAACATCAATTTCTAGCAGCGCATCATCTTCATCTTCTTCGTCTCTGATTTCCATCAACGACTTAGACCAAACCATTTTACGTCGCGCCTATTACGCTGTGTCCAAGGCAGCGCATCCGGATAAAGGCGGTTCAAAGGAAGAATTCGCAGAACTGGCGCAAGCGTATAAGATTTTGGTCGAAGAACTGTTGATACTGGAGAACCTGAGAAAAAGACATGAGAAGAATCCATGCATGCGATTCTCTTCAGTGTCGAGCTGTCTATGGGCTTACTTCAGTGGCGGCACTTTGTCGTGGGGAGACGTGCGAAGAAGCTGTGAGGAGTTGAACACTTTTGGTGGAGGTGTCGGATTTGTGAATCATCCGAATGACCTAGCAAGAAGTACTAGAAGAGGCACTTCTGGTAGTCTGATGAAAGGCAGACGAGGTGGACGAGACGACCATTCGAGCGCTGAACCAGTAGAGATGCATTGCCTTCTTGACGCGGACATGAACACCAGACGCAACGAGGTGCTTTTGGCGCTCTTAGACCAGGAAAGAGAGCTTCGCGGTCTCGAACCAGACATTGAGGAGAAGTACTTGCATTTGAAAGAGTTTATGCTCTTCAGGACACAGGACAACAAAGTCGCGGTGCCTTGTTTATCAGGTGGAGCAGCCGAGCCTGCTGTTCATATGGTTGCGTCCCCACAGCTACACCATTGTGGTCGTCCTGGAGACGCGTCGAACTGTGCATCGACAAGGGCGCCGAGTACTCCATGCTCAGGGAAAGACATCGCAGTAGCATTGTCCCCTGGGAGCGCGACTTGGGGTAGGATAAAAAACAGAGCTGTGGAGTTACATATTCCGACTCCGTTGTTGTCCTCACATCCGCAGTACGATAATGTTGATCATGAACTACAACGGCGTCGGAAGGATGCACAGCGAGAAGAACAGCCACGACTTGTTATTTCTGCGCAAGAGTCTCACACTCAGTCTGACGACGTAATCTACCATGATCTTCAACATCATGATCTTCAACATCTTCAAGGAGAGCACCATGCAGGCCATAATGTTGAGGAACCACAAAAAGAAGAGATGACTTCTCCTATCGACCCTAACACTTGCCATGATCATGATGGTGAGGAACCACAAGAAGAAGAGATGACTTCTCCTATCGACCCTAACACTTCTTCTGCCACTCGTATCATGATCACAAAGCTCGACAACGCCGACTCCTGGGCCAGCTGCTCAACTACTTGCTCTCCCAGCTCCGCAAGAACAGTGAACACCAGCCACGACAGCACACTGATGCTCACATCGTCGAGCTCACGAACACATTCAAGCCGAACGCATTCATCTAGCATTATGGCCGCATCTTCTGCTTTCTACTCTAAAACTGATCCTTCCTGCTCGAAAAGTAAGAGCATGTTGAAGAAGTTTGAGGATTTCCTATTCTTGAATCACCATTTTCAAATCTTGAACAACGCAGAGGATGTGCTGGACTTCACCTCACAAAGGCGGGAATGTACTAGTGTGATCAGGTGAAATAGTACGTAACGAAAAGAAAACATTTTCAGTAAAAAGAATGTGTGACACATGACGTGAGGGTGTTGATGAAGAAGTGTTCGACTCTACTGACATAATTGGTGGATGAAAGACAAAACAGTCTGAAGAATATTTTATTAGCATGACAATCGGTTTTTACTCCTCAACATCTCTAATCCTTGTTCTTCCTCTTCCTCCAGTTCGTGTGCCTCGGTCTCAACTTCCAGTTCCTCTTCAAGGTCCACTCGTCGCCGTTGGTCAACAACTCCGCGTATGTCCTTCTCTTCCGGACAAGACCTGACGTCTACAAGAACTAAAGAACAACTACAACAACCCCCTCCTTCTAGTCCAAGAAATTATGTTAATCAGTTCAATACAGGCATAGACAACAACATGCACCACTCTAGTAGTGCTAGCACATCATGTAACGGAGGAGGAGGCGGAGGAGGGTCCTCTTCTAGTAGTAGTACGACTGGAACAGGGTTGAGACTTCTAGGTACATTTTGTTCGCCAAGGCATCTCCAAATAACGACTGGCGGGATTTCGCCACGGCAACAGCTAGGACCTGCAAACGGAAAGTCACCATCTACACGTCGTGCGCCCGCAAGTCTCAAACTCCTCCCCAATTGCGGTCGCTTACGGACGCCATCCTGGCGCAGCGACGATGAGGATTTCTATAGGTCAAGGAGTTCGAGTCACATGTGTCATTTGCTACAGCTGATGTCGGCAGGAGCAGGTGGTAAAAGTAGGCGTGACGGAGCTGTAGGTCAAGGAGTTCAAGAGCAATTTGGTGGTAGTTCAGCCTCCTCGAGCAGCGGGAGAAGAAAACGACGATCTTCACCAGCTGTAATGAATGGAGGGAACAGAGGCTCAACTTCACGCTCACCGCTAGCCTCATACAGCCAAACAAATCGAAGATTCAACAACATCAACAACTACTTCCTGGAAGACATCAATTATGTCAATCTATCGTCTCCAACATCATGGAAGATGAAGGGCAAGGTGAAGCACCAAGATCATGACGATGTCTTCCTAGTACAGGATGATGATATGCGACTGAGTCCGTACCTACAACAGCATGAGGAGGATGGAAGCAGAGCAAGAGAGGATCCATATCTTCGCGGTGGTGGACGAGGTGGCGCAAGAACTCCAACAGCTGCTGCTGTTCCGAAAACTCCGAAAACATCAAGGAAACCTTCAAAGACACCTGCGACCTTAAACAAAGCTTCTTCCATGTTAAATCCGCCTTCGCCGAGAGGAAGTAGTAAGTCCTCAATCGCATCGCCCACTCTATCATCATCTTCTCTATCTTCATCTGTCTCTTCCTCCTCTTCGTGGACAAGAACGACACCGAGCCCAAACAGTTCGCCCACGACATCAAATACTAGCAAAGCCTTGTGGCACCGTCTAACCGGCACTAGACGCTACAAGGATACTTTCTCAACGTCCACGTCGCTTCTTTATTGCTTCCAAAAACAGGTGCGGAATAGTGATAGTTCAGCTGTGTGGTCCTCGTCTTCGGAGGCGAGTGACAGTACAAGAACTGAAAATCTAAACCAGCATGCTAGTACGAGCACAAATACTGGCACCATCTTCGCACCTTCATGTAGCTCGTCAAGGTCTACTTTAGTATCGACGTCAAGGAGTCCCACAAATAATCGTCATGGCGGTGCTGCTTTTGGTGCACAAAAACCATTGACGCCTACCTCTTCTTCAACCTGCTTTAATACTACATCGAGTGGTACGGGTAGCACTAGAACGCAAGGGTCTTCTACTTCAAGGGGCCTCACGAGCAGTCAGGCAGTGACACTAGACAGCGCTGGCGCATTACCTTTCTGCACCGAATTCCGCAAAGAGCGTGGGGGAAGTATGTCATCGTCTACATCGGTCGAACAACATCAAGTTGCGCAAACCAAGAGGAGTATGAAGGCACAGCACAAACACGCGACGACCACCACAATTCTTGATGAAGGCTCCTCAACGCGTGAAGCTACTGAAAGCATGACTGTCGACACCCCGACTCCTAGAAGTGAAAGCGGCACGCCAACATCGCTAGTGAGTGGGTTCTCGCACTCGGCGACGACGGATAAAAGTATTGGGCTTGATTTCCTACTCACAGAAGAAGAGTATGACTATGAAAGGACACACAACACCACATCCTTTACACAGTACATGATGTCTACACTCTTGAATTATAGGGAAAAATGAAGGTACTAGTTGTGAGACCATTCTGATTCGGAATTAGCTGAAAATGAACATGAAGTGTTGACAGAGATATGATTTTTCTCATCGCAATAATTAACTTTGTCAAAGTGAAAAATTATAAATAACATAAGGATCATTACATCAAATGGACATTCTTGATATGTTGACTGCTGCTACTCTAAAGTTGTATTTCGCAGTGGAGGATCAATATGAATGTGATTTCGTCCATCTACTACGACGTAATCGTATTCGTAATTGCACAACGCAGCCAATCGTCGATATTCCCTTCGATACTAGAAGGAGATGTAGTCTTAGGTACTACCACTTCTATTAGTGTAAACAAAGATTGTGTTTCTTGTACGATTTTAACGGCGCGGATGACTTTTCTACAGAAGTCTATCAGCTGAAAAACTCAGCATAAAGATCTGTGTTTTATTCACTACGATTTTAGGTTTGCTTATCACTTGTTAACAGGATTTTTATTTGCATGCTCCAGCGGATGCGGAAATGAGACATCGGCATGAAGAAGATGAATGCTATCGAAAGGACAAGAAATGATTCTACCAACAATTTACTATTTGACACCCCAGCACCGTTGACACCCCAGCACCGGGGGGGCAGGCGGAATGTAACCGTCTACAACCACTTCTTTGATTACAACAGGAAAAATATGCGAACAACAACTTCTCTTTCGACAACTTCAGCACGATGAACCAAGAAAACCAAAAACCAATCTCACCCAAGAAACTCAAGAAAAGTAACTGGTAAAAACGTATAGGCAAGTGGCATCAAGAACGCACATCAAATCTTCGCCAAAGGTCTGATGTGCTTGTTTCTCGCAAACGCCTATCGGATGATCTGGCTATTTACATTACGCATGAAGACCATTAAATAGAAAACAAGAAAACTTCTACAATCGCTAGAACGAAATGTATTTCCACACAAGTTCTTACTAACTCGACATCAAGAAGACTACTTGGGTAAAAATCAAGCCATGTCGACGAACCACTCCCGATGATAGTTATTCCCCTTACTAGTTCTTTAAGTTCTTGTTCAGATCAAATAAGAACAACTACAAGAAGATCATTTCTCACCTGTGTGATTTCAATTTTTTAGTTCGATAGTTCTAGTTGTCTGGCAGCTTTGGGCTTCCTCTCATCCGTTCATCCACGTTAGAAAAGTGGAGCATGGTGAGCGAGGATGCCAGTAGGTGTCCTGGTACTAGAACCAGTCTTTTAAAGGACGAGCAGGTGGATGATAATGTATGTCCGGATGAATGAATGAATGAACCAGCTAAACCCCCTCGAACTTGATCGTATAACTGTTTTGGATTGGTATGCCAGTAGGTGCAGGTCTGTTCGTGTGTAGTGAGTAGTTTTCATGCCATGCTGGCGATGTCACCATGTTGATTGAAGATACCACTGTCTCGTAGTCACGTCAGGGCAGAACGTCAGGGTCACTTCTCAAACTCAGGGGGGACATGATGAACAAGAGTAAGAGGGCGAGGGGAGAAATAGAGGAAGAAGCAATTTTTATAGGAGATCCATTCTTGTAGTTCATCATCTTTCAAGAGGAGTATTGACGGATAAAGAGGAGCAGGAGGAGGCGAACAAGAAAAATCTGAATACGGCATTGGGGTCAGCACAGGCACAAGCGTTCCAAGAAAATGATTGAGATTTGTTACTACAAGAAGTTTATATCGTTATCGACCACACAACATCGCTCGTCCTGGGGAATCAAAAATATCCATCCAATATGCTGTGAAGCTCACTACGTTAGAGTCTACTCTGTAAATAACGAGGCGCATTTTCACACACAGTGAGCTGCTGGTGTGGTGATCTTGTGGCGCAGCTGGTGATTGTGTCCGCGAGAGGCCGTTGTTGATGCTGCTAACATATTTATTAAAGTCCGTCGGCATGCTCGGTGTCCGTGTCGGTTGAAGCAAGGCCACTACGTGCACTCTGACCTGTATGATAGACAATCGGTAAGTAGATCGAGTTGAGAATCCACGATTAGAAGTCGGTCAGCACGCCTCTCTGTATCTGTTTGAAGATGCCGTGAAGATCCATGCCAAGTCTTGCAACCCAAAATGCCAAGTCTTGTGCCCACAGCTCATTTCCACTTCGTGCCAATGCCAAATGCTCGATACAACATGCAACCTTTACCACTACCTCTTCGTCCATTCTTGAAGAAGATCATTCGTCAGGTCTTGTTTACCACTACCTCTTCGTCCATTCTTGAAGAAGATTCACCAGCTCCATTTCCTAGTACTCCTAGTCGCATTTGCATGTGGTATTAGCATCTGTCGCAAGAAAAAAATGCCTACCTCCAGTTCCTCGTCTTCTTCCTACCTTGATCTGAGTTACCGCACTCGGACTACCGCGCGCAATGGCTACGGGGCTTGGTGGTCATCTTCTGATGAACAAAGGGACGGAAAGTCGTCAACTACGGTTGCCGCAGCTGGACAGCCAACAGGAGTTATCCCTCTTGTTCAAAGACAAAGGACTTCTAGTTCTACTTCTACAACAAATTTAGATCATTATACCAAACAAGGCACGACAAGGACCAAGAAAGTTGCGATAGTTTCACGATTGCGTCTGGGAGATGAGGTTGGCGAACAGTTTGCAGCAAGTAGAAGAACACAAAATGCATCTTCATCAACGAAGGAGCTTGAAGAAACGAGAAACAATGATGTTGAAGTGCTGACGAATCCGTCTGCGGCTCAAGCTACCTCTACTAATCAAGGAAAAGGTGTCAATGCTGAGGGTGAACAACACGCAAAGACCGACCGGTCAACATCAACGTCGCTGCGAGTCATGGAGCAAGGTGAGGATCCCGAGCCTGCGGGGGCCGCGAGCGCCACCACGAAGCGAGCGGAGGTGGAAAGTATCGCAAGGAGTTGTACCTTGCAGCAAAATGTTGAACGTTTCGGTGCCTTCAGGGCAGTTGCTGAGCAAGTGGAGGGGCTGACGCTGACACAGAGTAAGCAACAGAAAAGAAGTAGTGCATCGGCATCGGCTGCCTCGAAGTACGAGCAGGATCAAAAAAACGCAAGCACCCTTGTCGACATCAAGAAAGGCGACGATAAAATCCTCTATCTGCACCCTCGTTTGATAGCACGAGGTAAGAGTTCGTTTTGGAAAGCGGCTCACAAAACTGTCACAAGTGATGACCAAAGCAACGAAGCCACTATTACTCTCGTCTTCGACCACCTCCATCGTCCCATCTTACGTCCTGAATGCGCGAACCTTGTTCATCACATACATCGAGTACTTGGTTTTCGGTTGGAATTCTTACAAGAACAGACGAATCAGAATCAAGTTCAAGGTTTCCGTTCTTCAGCAAGTACTCCAGCGGCCATGAACACGCTTGCGAATGACCCCGTTTCTGCAAACCTATGCCATCGTTTCGTCTGCAGCATCTTACTTCGCAACCTGGATGATGAGGCTGTGACAGCTTTGCTGGCGTCAGTGTCTTCAGAAGACACGAAGGTGAGCATCGTTGATGAGGACGGACACGAACATCACTTGAAATTTTACTCACCAGCGCATTATTTCTTCCTGACAAGAGGACACAGAAACTGGTTCAACAGGTGGTCATCAAATAAGCCTTCGAAAAAGCGTGCGTTTTTTCTATATGTCTCTGTTCTCCACGTGCAATACGCTTTTCGTCGAATTTTTGGGTTGCCGATTTCTAAAGGGAAAACGAATCAAGACGGGACTTCTTCCAGTAGTTCTGTTCTTGTAGACGAAGCTTGGTCACGACGGCCACCAGCATCAGGCTCACCAACTTTATCCGGAGATGAGCAGGAGGCTCAAAAATTCTCTTTGAATACCTATTTCGGCAGCAAGAACGAAGTCCTTTCCATTCTCTTCGCTTTCGACTGCCTGGCAGAGTACTACGGCAAACAAGCTTCAGTTGAAGAGCATTCTGTGGATAAGGAACAATTGTACAAGCTCTTGCTGGAGGCTGAAAACCAAGAAATGATAACGATAGAAGAGATGAAGCATGATCATCCGTCCACTTCTAGATCACGCAGAAGCAGGTCTTCAGTAAAGCAGTTACGACAAGCAGATAACGACCATAACGACAAAGAACATGCTTTGCTTCAAGATTTCTATCTTTGTCAAATAGCACATCATGGTGATGGAGCTGATGAAGCTGCAGCGAGTCAGGTGGACTTATCATTTGCATGTCCAGTCTTCGAGTTTGAGCATCATAAAATGCACAAAACCGATCCGAGAAAGATGCATTTCTTCGTGATGGCGGCTAACGGGATCCCAATAACCACCAGCTTGCTCGAAAAGGAGCTAAAACTCCTTGGCGCCAGAGCTACTAGTGGAGAAGTCTTAAAAACTCTATTCCAAGAAGAGGACGATGAGGTTGTGGTCATGGCTGTTCCACCTGATGAGGGGTTGTTTTTTTTGGAGGAACACGATGAGGTGGCAGATGTTGAAGAAGCGGAGGAGCAACATGCTGCTCGTAGTACTGTGTCTGTGATGGACGTACCAGGCGACGGAGGAGCAAGTGTTGATCCACAACAAGGGGTAGCGGTAGAGGAACCGGAAGTGCCCAGCTTCATCAATGCAGGAGCTCAACCTGCTCTTCGACCATCATTTAACTTTAACAACAAGGTTAAAATGGCTTCGCTGCGAAATAATGTAGAAGGGAAAGCCGCGATGAGCGCAACAGCCGATGTTGGAACAACGTCACCTGCTGCGGCGGGAAACACCCAATTTCTGGCGACACCACGACAACAAAATAGCGGAAAGAAGAAAATGTCATCGGCTGCGTCACTACGACACGTATTGAGGTTAGAATCAGCCAAGCGCCGGGCTGCGAAAATAGAGGCGAGGAAAGAGAAGGAATCAAGAAGGAAAAAGGAAGAAATAGATATAGATATAGAAGCGCAAGCGGCTGAGAAGAAAGAAATCTACAACGACCTCCACGACGATCAACATCAACATCATGACGATTCCGTTCCTGGCGTTGACTTGGATAACGTTAACGACCTGGAAGATAAAGAAAACCAACCTGTAGATTTGGACGACCTTGCAACTTCTGCTTACAAGAGAGGCGAAAAAAGCTCCAAGAAGAATTTTGAAGACGACACTGAAGTTGGTGTGCTGATCAACAAGCATGATCAACTGTTGCACATGCTGAGTGAGTTTTTGTATCTGCAGCATAGAAATTCTGCAACTGCGGCGTCAGCTAGCCACTTGACAGAAAAGGAAACACACGTCTTCAACAAGAAACAGGTGGACGATATTGTGCAAGCGGAAGGCGAGAATATGCCAAGAATGCCAGAGACCAGCTCCTCCGGCCAACATCTTTCAGTGCGCGATGATATTAACGAGGGAAGAGAAGTCCTCGAGCATGATGATGATGTTTCGTTCTTTGCTGATGAGGAAGTAGCTCCTCCTGGGCGTCGTGATGGAACAGGTCTTCTGGAGAACATTTCGGAGATCGAGGCTAGCATGGGCAAGGAGTTTCTCTACCACAGAAGTCCTGAACGAAGTACTACGAACATGGCACATCCTTTTCCTGATATTGGCGAAGATGATCAGGGTGATGGCGTTGAAGATTTATTTCGAAGTAAAAGACACAAGGCGAACAAGCTGCCAAGAACGATGAAGAGGAAGACCGTTACACACCGAGATGCGAGAAGTGTAGACCACGATGAGGTCATCTCCGACGAGTACAGTCGCCACCCGAAGACGTCTTCTACCTCAGCACTTTCAGCTTCCAAACTCTACGACATCACCCTCGCAAAGCTCGAGGATCAAATAAAGTTGCTTGCATCAGAGATACGAGCATGTGGTGATGAAGTAGTAGAAAGTAGTAGTACTAGAAGAACACAGCATGCAGGTGGGATGAAAGTTGCTCTTCCTCACGAAGGAGGCCGACTTCAGACTGGTGACATACGCATTCCACGGCAGAGAAATTTAGTAACATGATTACACTTCACCTAAGGTCAATGTGCTGGAAGGATTCGCTTCGTTTAATATTTGTTAATATAGTTTTCTAACTCTTAGGGAGAATAAGTTTCTTGAATTCTAAGGCCAATGAAATTGTTGGCAATCTGCTTGCTGTTCATCTCTACCTGATGGGTGTTCACCTTCAGTCAGCACGCACAAGAAAAGTGTCGGTCTTTATCTGTACAAGGATCATATAGAGTGTAGACAGACATGAGGGAAAAACTGATATTATTCTTGATCATGTTGTTCCATCAAATGTCGTAGGCCTCTGTGATGTGAGTGATCGTATGCAACTTCTGTATGTTGAGTGACGCAACAAGAATTTAAAGGATACGGCCATGCCGATGTTTGAGTTTTTCCACAAATGATGTGAGCGCCGCACGATGAAAAGAATCTGTCAGAGGGTGAGGGAGTGATTACTTCTGTTGCATGAGCGTGGATGCCTCGGCATCCTGTAGAGTGTGAGTGGTGGTGTCTTTGTTTTGTCTGTACTATGGTTTTTTCACCTTCGATGATCAACATCATTCTCCTGCGATACTCTGAACTACAGGCTTATTTATTGTCAAATTCCAAAAATTGACTATTAGTCCCCCGTGTCCACCCCCTAACAAGTGTTGGGTTAAACCGTTTCTCATGTTAATGTTATTACCTAAGAAGTAAAATGCTTAGACATGATTTTCCTCTTATAGTGAGGTCGTGGTAAGGTGCCACATCAGGAGCTACTTTGATTAGATTGTAGTTGCCCTTGTCGTGAAAATTTTACATCCCCGGACTCTATTCCTGAAGATTCATCCATTTGCAAAAGGATAATAATATTCAAATTCCTTTTCTCCTCCTTAAGAGAAAGCCCCTTCATTTTTATATGTTCTTTTTAGTTTGATGAACTCATTGGAGGTTCCCGTAGTTCCGCAGCTACAAACAATAAAAATGAAGGCTGCTATCGCACCTAAGTCGTCCTCCAGTGTGGCTGCAAGCAAGGTTGCTACTGGAAAGGTTGCTAGTACCAGCGCCAAAAGCTCAGCACCAAAAGCTGGGGTTTCAGCCAAGACTGCTTCTTCGCTTAACAGCAAAGCTGCTACATCTGCATCTCCTCCAGCGAGAAACAAAGCACCTCCAGTTGCGCCAGGTAGTAAAGCTTCTGCAAAGCTAGGAGGGACGACAACGACATCAACAGCGAAAACTGGTGCTCTGAGGAAACCTTCGCCTGGTGGTGTCATAAAAGTTCCTGTCGGTAAGGGGACGAAGGCTTCTGCGCCAAAGGCGAAGACTGTCGCGATGCAAAGTGCGGCTGTTGCTGCAGCTACAGCGACGACACAAATGGCACCAGTAGCTGAGGAGGTGGAAGTAGATGGAACTGCTAATGCAGGTAACTTTGTAGATGTAGACCCAGACGCCGAAGATGGGATGTTGATGCTCCCAAACAAGACAGGAGAATCCGCTGATGAACAAGTAGGAGGTCGTCAGAGCGATTTTACGAGTGTGATGTCCATGGGCGATTATACAGAAGAATTTCCTGCTGGAGAACTACAGAATCAGGCTAGTATATCTGCTGCAGCCGGCGCACCAAATCCAAATCTTCGAAATCTTAATACAACCCGAAGCAGCCGCCAGATAAATGAGCGTTCGAGTCGGCGGACTACAGTCGAGTCTGCCTTAACAGCGCTAAGGCAAAGAGATGTGGAAAGTATTGACATGCGAAGTTCTTCGTCTAGTGCTTCATCGTTTGCTGATGATGTTGAATTTGCTGAAATGTCTGGCCGCGACCGCGAGCTGCTCGAAGATGCTGAAATTCTAGAGGCGAAAAAACTTCACAGGCGTAGTGCTGCAAGAAGGAAGTTGAAAGCTCCGGAACGCGAGCACGACCATGTGGAGACTTTGTCTGGAAAGACCGTCAAGATAAGTCGTCCCGGAAGCGAGATATTACAGGAATTCGCGACGATCTGCAAGACCGTGAATCACGGCAACTTGACTACGAAATTGATGGTTGTGCAAGAAGCGGGAGAAAGGTTTGTGTCAAGCCATGACTCGGATCAGAACATCAAGCTGGTGGTGGTGGATCAAGATAAGGCACAGGAAGAAGCACCTGCAGCTGCAGCTGCGGTCGTTCCTAACGGTAAGTTAGCACCAGAGAATGGAGCTACTTCTACTCCTACATCTGCACCAGCGCCAGTACCAGTACCTGCAGCTGCAGCAGACACCTCTCCACGAGCCTTCGATCATCATGAAGTAGATGAATCGAATTTTTCTTCTGCGGAAGAAACTGGCTTTATGACCGGGACCGACTCTCCAAGGAGTAGCCCAGGACTAGGTGCAACTCAGACGTCCAATGTGCTCGATGAAAGTCGGGTTGTTGAACAAGTCGTGGAACTCGAGGATACAACCGGCAAGACGAAGAACGAAAGTGCCGTTTCTGGTATGGCAGGTCTTGCTGCTGTATCTACGACTACAAGTTCTTCGAACAAAAATGACGAACCACAGGTGGAAAGAACTTCCGCACCAGAGGTGGACAAGGCTAAAGCACAAGGCACGGCTGCTGCAGAAGTCTCTGCTCAAGATCGGGAAGAACAAGCAGGAGAGACGAATCCTCCTACTGATGACGCTGCTAATCGCGACAGAATCCGCCCAAGTGCAGCTGGTGAAGGTCTTGCGGGTGTTTCTCTCTACACTTCTTGTTTAGAAGATGAGCGGGACGTGTCTAAAAAGTCTTCCCAAGATACAGAGGACGATGACGACGATATCGACAAAAGCACTTTGCTTTTGCAGAAGATGGAAGCCGAAATCGAAAAGCAGCGTCTAGAGCTGCAGAGACTGCTAGACAAAAAGGACTTGAGGGATTCAAATGCCGCGAGCAGGAGAGGGTCCACTGCTTCGATGATTCAGAAGAATAATAACCCACTCTCTCTCTCGTATGCTGGTGGAGCAGGTAGAGGGAATCGAATCCAAGGCAGTGAAGTGTCTGAATATTCACCGGAAGACGAGCGTCCTAGTGGTTTAGAAAGTAAGCGAGCTTCTACACAGATCTCAACGCATCTCGATGCTTTGGAGTCGCTGCTATTGCGTATGGATGCGGCCAAAGAGCAAGAATTAGAGGAGTTGAGGACGCATCTGGAATCGGAGCATCAAGCTATTGTTGAGGAACTACATGCTGAGCATGAGCAAGCCTTATCTTTGGAGGAAGAGTGCCACTTAGCTCAGCAAAAACTGGAAGAAATGCAGGGGAAATATGAGCAGGAAGTCGCGAAGTTGAAAACCGCATTGCAGAAGAGCAGAACTGAGGCGGAGCAGAAAAGAAGCGACGCTGACACGTTGAAACAGCAGTTGGCCATGTTGATCGACGACTCGAAAGAGACCGAAGAGGACCTGTTGAAGGCGGAAGAAGACCTGGCTGAGGCCGAAGCAGACTTGAAAACGGAGAGGGAAAAGCATGCGAGGACACAGGTTATGCTAAAACGCATCACTCTGGAGAAAGACCAAATTCGCCAACAATTGGAGGAGAAGGAGAGAATCATCAAGAGGACAGCCAGGGAATCAGAATTAGCGAAACAAGTCGAAGAGTTACAGCGACAGTTGAGCGCTGCTCTTGCTGCTGCTCCTGAAGGGACAACCAAAAGGGAATCTTCATTTGCATCCACCTACTCTTCGCCTGAACCTGCTGCAGCACGTCGTGTCTCTTTTGACGGTGGTGATAGTGATGAGGAGCAGCCGAAGAAGCAGGCACAACAAGACCCTCAAGAACAACAAGAAGAGCTTCTAGACGACAAAACCGAAAATCTTCGAACATCGTCATCAACCAGTCAGCAGCCTCAGCGCGATCGATCTAAAGAAGCCCGCGATCAAAGAGACCACTTCGCAGCCCAACTTCTTGCCGCTGAGGTCAAGTATCAAGCTCTTCTGAACGATGTCACTCTAGAATACGAAAAGAAGATCAAAAACCAGAAGAACATCTTCGAAACGAGGATGTCCGAATTGGAAGGTGATATGGTAGAGTACCTCCAAGCTGAAGTTCACGCTTTGGAAGCGGAGGAAGCGGGTGAGGCGCAAGGAATCTTAGACGCGGTTAGGCACACGAAGTTGTTTAACAGAAGTTCTGTAGGGTCCTATGATACGGCTATTGATGAACCCGCCTTAGAACAAGGAGGTGATGCCTCGGACCTCCTAGTGATGAATCCAGCACTTCTACTGGCAGGACAAGGAAGTGATGCCCATGCCTCGGACCTCCCAGTGATGAATCCAGCACTTCTACTGGCAGGACAAGGAAGTGATGCCTCGGACCTCCCAGTGATGAATCCAGCACTTCTACTGGCAGGACAAGGAAGTGATGCCTCGGACCTCCCAGTGATGAATCCAGCACTTCTACTGGCAGGACAAGGAAGTGATGCCTCGGACCTCCCAGTGATGAATCCAGCACATCTACTGGCAGCCCCACAGCAGGAAGAAAAAGGCAAGAACATCAAGCCTAGTGATCGCGTGGTAGAAGATCTTCAAGATTCTCGTCCTAGTATACAACTAGGTGTCCTCGCTGCGAGTGCGATCATCCCGAGTAAAGATCTACCACCCCTCGAAGGCTACGACCTGTACGAAGGGCATGGTCATGTAGAGCACCATGGTAGCCACGACCACAACGTTAGTGCCATCTTGGACGCTTCTAGTTTGCAGGTTCTGGATACGACCGTGGAGGAGGTCAAACCTGTTTGTATTGTGGCTGTTCCAGCTGTTCCTGAAACGGATAAAGCTGCAAGCAAGAGCAGTTCTCCTGCACGACCAGCTGCAGAAAAAGAAGTCAAGAAGGTTGCGAGCAAGAGCAGCAGCAGTAGCGCTACCCCACCTTCTAAGGATGTGAAGAAGGCTGCTCCTAGCAAGAGCAGTACAACTCCTGCTTCAGCGGCACCGGAAAAGAAGGTTGCAAGCAAGGTGGCTAGCGCTAGCAGTGCTGCTAAAAAGCCAAGTAAGGATGATCTTGCAGGTTCTTCACGTAGTTCACCTGATGCTCCTTCTCCATCTATGAAGACTACGAGCCCATCACATTCACAAGGAGCAGTTGTAGTGCCGCAGGTTGCAGATAATGTGGCTCCTGCCACTACAGTATTGAATACTTCGCCAACAACTACGAGCACAAAACGAGCTTCGCCAACCACACCAAGAACGGCTGCTGCTGCTAGAGCAGCATCCACTCCGCCTCCTCTTACTCCACATGCTAGACCTTCACCTAAGGAAAGCCACTTTCACGTGCCTGCACTGTTCCAAGCTCAACAAGCAGGTCAGGATGAAACTTCGCGCGGTAGAGAGTACAGCAAAACGGGAGTCCCCCTACTATCTCCTCAGCAGCAAGTGAGTCTAGTCACAAGTGCCATTGACGCAGCACGCTTTGCTGTCACGACTGGAGCCTCGCTCACCGGAACCTATCTCTACGCGCCTCACATGTACAGCTCTTCTAGCGCCGCTTCTGCGCCGAATTCACCCAGAAGCATGAGCAAAGATCCTGCGTCTCCTGGTACGTTCATCATCAAGACGTTGACTGGCGGAGGGATCGTACCGTTTTCACATCAGGTTGTGGTGGACAGCAGGATCACTCCTACGACCACGTTGAACAGCGGTGAAAAGCTAGTAGTTGACGAGGATGAAGAAGACGAAGTTGCGACATTACTCGGGAGTGCACTTAATGGTAGCAGTGGGGTTCCGGTAGTTGGTTCTCCAGAGCAGAAGCCACGTAGTGCATCGGCTGACATTGCCTACACGAGAACTGGAAGGGCACAGCAACTATTCAATGCTGGCGCTCGTGTCCTAAAAGAAAAATTCTCTCCTAGATCTCATTCGGCACTGAGAGTGCAACTGCCCAGCATGAAGCCTGTTGTCGTCCCGGCACTTCTCGCCGAGAACACGACCAAAGTACAACGTGGTCGCAGTACTTCAAATAGGAAGAAAAAGGGCACCAGGAAAAGCGAGGATGAAGACGGTGATGGCGCATCCGCATCTGTTTCACCAGGTGGCGGGCAACAAGACGCAGAAGCAGAGGACCAAGATCCCGCACTACATCACTTTCACGATCCGAGCCACCAATACGACCCAAGCCATCCTCTGCACGCTCTTCACAAGCACCATCATCATCACCATGGCGGGCAACACTACCTGTCGGAAGCTGATGAGGCCTATGCGCATCTCTGTGACAAGATCAAGAGAGTGCGGGAACGTATTCGCGAACGTGCCGACCAAGCCCACGGCATTGGCCTAGTTAAGGGACATGAGCACGCGAATATCAACATAGTCGAAGAAGCTGACGCGGAAGATGAGCGGCGAGAACAAAGCGAGGAGGAATATGAGCGCCGACATCCACATCGCCATCATCATCGTCAACATGGAGAGGAAGCTGCTGGCGCTGAAGCTGTTGCTGCAGCTAGTACTGCTGCGTTACCTGCTTCTAAAGAAGCTGCAACTCCACTCTCACCTAAAGACGTTTCTCTTTCCGTTTCCGCCCAAGAACAGCCATTATCATCCCCAAAGCAATCCGCACAAAGTCGTCCTCAACATGACCTTCATATTCTAGAACGTCCAGCATTATTATCTCCTGACGCGCATACGATGATAGTGAGCCACATTCGATCGTCGGTTGTTGTGCGAGAACGTTCCCGGTCACCAGAAAACTTCATCGCGGCAGCTGCGAGAAAACGAAGAAGAGCTCCCCTGAAGCAGGAAAGCAGTAGTTCATCGTCGTCATCGTCTGAAGACGAGGCGGAACAACCACCGGTATGTTGTCATCTAGAAATTACTCTCTTCCTTCTGTTACCAATTCATCAACACTAGGTATGTTGTCATCTTCAAAGGCGATCAACCCAAAAAACACTTCGTCCTCCTTGGGGCGCTCCGCCGGCCTGTCTCTCTACACCTCGTGTGAAGGAGATAGAAAGGCAACCTATCCTATCCTATCCTATCCTATCCTATCCTATCTACTCTCTTCTTTCTGTTAACAATTCATCAACATATGTTGTCAACTTCCAACATGTCAACACGACTTGATGTTTTGTTGATATTTATTTCCCAAAGACCACATCGGGTCCCTCAGTTGTCTAGTCGGTTAAATGAAGAATTGACTACCAAATAAACCTACCCCTCCCTAATTCAGTGTGATGTGCGTTTAAGATTAGTCCTTCTAACTGCGAGGTTGTTGAAGTTAAATAACCTACAATCTATCCCATACTCCATTGTTTCCCAAACGAACGCAATTTTGAATCCTCAGGCGCGACCCGTGACGGCCATGTCCTCTCCGGTCCAGCAACAGGCTACGTCGACTTCTCAGTCCCATCCACATCCTCCACCCTCTGCTGGGAACGGCACTAATCCATCCAACGGTTACTCAGCCAGACATCTTCTCTTAGCTGCTGGCATCCATCCACGACAGGAGCAAGCTAACCAGCCGCATGCCCTCATTACAGGTCACGACATGCATGACGCCAGCTTTGCACATAACCAGTTGTTGTTAAGGCTTCCACAAATTCATCTCAATAAAATATGCATCTTCGACGTACTTTCGAGAGGAAGCGGTCAAAGATGCACTCTAAGATGAATATGGGCAGCAAGGTCTAACGTGGAAAAACAGACACAGAGGCTTAGCGCATGACGACGACAAAGCGCATCTTCGGGGTATGAGAGGGGGCCTAGGTGGCGCTATCTTTGGCGGTCCATCAGGGAGGCCTCGAGCAGCCGCTGACGAAATAGGGTTTACGAAGAGGAGAAATTTACCTGGCAAAACGTTGGTGAGCGCTTTGCCAACTGCCGGAGCGTTTAATGAAGCGGCGAATATGACGGCGATTCGTTTGCCTGGTGGTAGAAGTCCCTTTGGTGGTGCACGTGCAGCACAGTCAGGATCAGGAGTAGGAGTGCCACAAACTAGCACACAATCTTCATCTTCCAGCATTCTAGGCCATGCCAGATCCGTGGTGAACAGTTCGAAGAAGTTCACGGCACAGGATTTGTTACTTCCAGTTGACGTAGAAAAAGTCATAGCAAACGCTGGAAAAGTGGATTTGAAAACGGTGAATATTCCGAAAGCGAACATAAAAGTAGTGGACCACAGCACGATGAATTCATCAAAGCAAACAACTTACAAGAACAACTCTGGTGGAGGTTATAATTATCCCTCAATGACTAAGACAGGAGAAACCAACATCTTCAGAGAAGTAGATCCCGAAGGAGGTGGGGATGTAGTGGGGACAGAGCACCACGATCCTGAGCCACAATATTTTTCAGCAGGTGCAGCTACAGGGACAAAGACGAGTCGTGGCTCTTCTCCCAGTGATGCTGCCAGTAGGTCAAAGCAACCGAAGCAAATGGTTCAGGCTAGTCCTCGCTATACTGATCGAAGTAGTAGAAGCACTGGCACAACTGTGTACTATGGAGATTCCAACATTGCCGAAACCAGAGCTAGATCCCCGTCTTTCTCTTTGAGCAATCTGAAGAGTAAAACAGTGGGACTTTTGTCCAGCACGCACAAGATGCTTACGGGAGGTGGCAGAAGTCGCTCCCCTAGTGCAAATCCAGAGGGAGAAAGCAAGGAAATAGACCCAGAAGAAAAGCGTCCACAGAAAAAGAATCGGATTAGAACAACGGGGTACATGCAGAGGCCATCTACGGGAGTAGGAGTTTCTGGAACAACAAGTGGCGGCGCCGATGAAGGTGCAAATCAAGGGATGTATAATCATGTCTCCTCGAAGGTTGACGCTGATGCAGTAGCAGATGATGCTGGTGAGAATTATAGCAGCTATAATAGGGTGGAGGACAAAATACATTATCAGGAAGTAGAAGCTCCAGCTGAAAACCAGAACAAGAAAAAGAATCGTATCCGAGCAACTCCTGGTTATATGCAGACGAGGCCTTCCGTCGCCAATCAAGAAGGAGAGCATTGCTATACCAATTTGACTTCCCTCGTATGCAATGCGAATGATGCCTGTGGTGGTACTAGTGTCCAACAACAACGAAACGGTACGGAGGAAAACCAAGAAGATCCTTTAACGCAAAACTACGAGGATGAAGAAGAAGTGATTCAACATTGGGCTCCAGCATCAACAAGCATCGACGGTGGGGAAGCGGTAGGAGGAGATGAAGCACCGGCTGTGCCATTTGTCGTAGGTGGAGGTGTAACATCAAAAGACACTGATTTTGGGGCTTACGATCATCCTGCTTAGAATGGGCTACTACAACAGACATTGACGCACACTTTTTAAATCATGATCAACATGATGTTGATGGCGATTTTCCCGAGTTTTTTCTGTTTTAGAATTTTTACATATTACAGTACTTTCTTCCATAATATCTTTTTAACTTACACCACGATTACAATCTACAATTTATGAACTTTTTTCAATCACTTTTATTTTTACATAGCAGTAGCAGTAGCACAGCAAGGATATGAACTTAGAATTTTTTCAGGAGCATTAGGGGCCATGGATAATTTACAGGAGCATTAGGGACCGTGGGTAAGGGACGACAGCTGATGGCCGGCCAGAACGTATCCATGCACATCAGCAGTAGCGATCAATCTCCTGTGTTATTTTCCTGCAGCTCATCGGTCGAATGATTCAACGAAGTTGCACCAGGCTCCACAAATCAAATTTTCTTTTTCTTTACTGTAGCTCATCGGACATGAATCACAAAAATGAGTCGTCGAGCTCTTTTCTAACACATCTCGCGACTAATCTTAATCAACGGTAGTCGAATTTGAAAAATCAACATTCCCAGAAAATCTTCCATTCTTTAATATGCTTTGCAAATCCTCTTTCTTCCGTCTACAAATCATAGTCGAATCGCACTAGGAACTCATCTTTCATACAACAACGAAGCGCATGAAAATGAAGGAAGCGCTTGAAGACCGGACTTGCGCACGTCGAGTGTGTGGAAAGTCCGGCAAAAAGGAATTTTTAAGGACCTCGCTTTCATCGAGCAGCGAGAATCATTGCTCGATGGTAACGAGAAAAAGCCTTCTGTCATGAGGGGAAGAAATACAAGATGTCGGTGAGTGTCGAGAGATGAAATCTTAGAGTGTAACTGTAAGTAGGTAGAATAAAGTGTCCCTGTTATCTCTGTAGTCGGTCCCAAAAAAAAAGTTCAAACTATTTGCTGTGCAGCTACCAGAAATTAAGTTTGAATTTGTGTTTACACCTCCTCGAGCATCAAAGCTTACAAACATTACCACGACTTCCATTACTACTAACACCATTCATCTGCTGCACAGCAAACGCTGCCTGCTGCCAGCAAAGAATGAATCATACATAGCGCATCAGCTACAGGATCAGTAGACCATTTTGTGGATGATCATATTGAACAATCAATATAATGAGAATGACCATCCATCATGATGTTCTATTTCTTGAGGACGAGCGGCATGCCTCGAGAACACCTTTTTCATCTTGTAGCTTCACGATGAAGTCATGTTCTCTCAACTTCAAGAGACATCTCAGGATCTTCTCCTCTAACCTCCCACGAATGGAGTCGTGTTGCACGAACACCGGAAGAGATGTTACTAGAGGCACGATGTGAGTACTTGAAAAAGCAAACTCATGAAGGTCTTTTCCACTACTCATCAACGACTACTGCGCGACTCACTAGTTCTTGTGGAAGACGAGTGGGCTACGCCAGGAGTTGTGAGGTGGGAAGAGGAAGAGGAGGCTACGCCACGAATGTATTGATAAAAAGCCAGGAATGGGAGAAGCGAACGCAGAAGCCAGGTGGAGCGGCAGGAGCGTGTTAAGAAGCTAGGAGCTGCAGAAGCGCTTTAAGAATACACCTGATAACTCAAAGATGAGCAGGAGGAGCAGCAGGATTTTTTTGAAATTTTTAAGGGGAACAGGTGACAGGAAGAGGAGCAGGAGGATGAATAGTAGAGCACCACTGATCAGGGCAACTCAGCCATCAAGGTGATAGTAAGAGGCGCCGGTAAGGATAATGATGTATATTTTTGATTTCTTCGAGGAAATTATCTTCTTCTTCGCGATCGCGACCATTATTGATTACTATTGAAAATTACGATTACTGAAAATCGACAACGAAGTGTTATTCTTGCAGATTCTTGATACTCGTGATCATTACTAACGACCATCTTGACAACTACGTAGACGCACTATTGATTACTAAAACTAATACTACTCATTATCACAACCGGCGTTGTCATGACGGTGTAAGCTTTTTCTCAGACTTGATCAGGTAGCAGGGTCAGGCATGAGGTACATGGCGATGACGGATGACCATGACCACATCGTGGAGTCAACGCAGATGTTCACATTATCAACCAGTCAAGCTGCAGGTGGCGAGTGGAAAACGGGAGCGAACCCAGAAACTCGGCGCCAAGAAACCAGAAGAAACATGAAGGCCCTAGTTTAGAGTAGCGTCACGAACAGGATCATATGTCCGGAGAAACCATCAACAGTGATCGTGATTATCCTCGCCACAGCCCAAATCTGCAATGTCATGAGAGTTAAACAACAACTCAATATGCCATGCTAGGAGCTGCTGCTAGCCAGACGAGTGGATGGAGCTAAAGCTGCAATCTATTTCAAACAAATGACCGTCCTCGTTGTATGTTCTGGGATCAATATGATACTGTTCATGATCGGTCGCGAGGGTCGTCTGAACTGCGTTCTGTGAGGAGGAGCAGCTGCAGCTATTGAGTGGTTGCGAAGCGTGATTGAAACTAGAGTGAAACAAGAGGCGCTCCAGAAATTCTATACGGAATTTGTAGCATGCATGCAAAAAGAAGAAGAGTACTTAGATTTGTGATCTTCTTGATCGACTAAGTAGCAGAAGTTGTTGGTGTTGTAACTGTAGAAACGTAGCTGCCTTCGTGATTAATGTAGCGCGACACTTACATTACACAGGTGGAACAAGAGTTGTAACTACTGTAAGTGTTGTTGTATCTTCTTGCTAAGGACTTGTTCTTATATTAATCGAACGCTTCTAGGCACATAATCGCAAAAAGATGTCAGCCTTTCTCACGAGCGCCTATACCGTCGTCAACTTCGCGAGGGGGACGAAGCAGATGACGGATAAAGCACGCAGACTTCTCAACTCCGTTCAACAACCAAATAGTGGAGAACACGATAAGAGCCAGCTGAGTCGACTGCAGTTAAGGCAAAGGCTATCTGCATCTCATTTCTTTGCGCACCAGGAAGATGTGAAATTGATAAAAGGGAAGCAAGGGCTCAACTACATCCCAATAAATGCTTCACAGTATGTACTACACAGGGACAGATCATGATCAGGTACTTATTTAGAAGTAGTCGTACTCGTTGTAAAACAACTACTGCTCAGTCTAATACGAGCGGCCCAGCTATCCCAACGTCTCGACTGCCTTCTCGAACCGGTAACGACCTTGTTGCTCTACTCGACGGACAAGGGGAGTACCAGTGTGCAAGGGATTCTCCTCAACGGACTACAGGTTTTGCAATTATGCTTGGTGGAATGAAGAAGAAATCCTCGTTTCAATAGGTTTCAATAGGTTCACGAAATGAATTCAGTTTATCGCCTGTGCTCGTCTCGTCCTTCCCTTCAAGACATACGTCAGGGTAACGGGGCAAACAACTCTTAATATTCATTCATCTTCATCTTTCATCCTTCGCAGTCTACTTTTTCTGCGAGCAGCACAACACAACCGAGCAGCTAGGCGAAACCGAACAGTCTTTACTCGACGTGGCGGTTGAGTTTCATCTGAAGCAACTGGACTTCGTCTGTCAGAGCGTAACGATGGCCTTAGCGACTGTGACGCACCTTGCATCTTGCGGTGGAACGGGATCTTTGCAATCCCGCCATCAACCATTCGACATCGGAGTCTCCGCTAGCGCGCTCTTGCGAGCCTCCACACGAATAGGAGACGTGCAGGCCGTTGCCGGTGGTGGTGGGGAGCTGTGCGTCGTTGTCGGCACCATGGTAAAAACTACCTACAAAAATTAAGGGTAGGTTAAAGGTGCTTTTGGTTTTGTTACCGTTTGTTATGGCTGGGGACAGCCATAACATGCGGGAGAACCCAAGAACACCAAAAACCTACCTCTAAAAGCTGCAACAACAGCCTCAAAACAGAGGAGGAGGTGGTGGGGATGCAGCTACATCGTCTTCTTTGAATCCTACAGGGATGGCGACTACGTACGTCTCATCCAGGCGCAATCGCAGGAATGCAACCTCTTATCCTGCCAAGATGAAGCTGATTATGATGGGTCATCGATTCGTTTTACGTGTAGATCCGGTGAACCGGTTACTGAACGAACATGGCGGGCAAGAAAGTAGTCCTCGACCTTTTTTGGTAGAAAAAGGTGGAGAAAGTGCTAGTGCTGCTGGACGACAGGGAAGTATGGAATTTCCGATAGCTGTGAGTCTGCACTTTGAACTGGGAGTAAAACCTGATGTTCCGGAACAATCACGCGTAAAAGCGCAACAAGTGGAAGATCATCGTCACGATAAAAGTGAAGGAGATCTTCATGGAACAAGTGCCACCACTGTTCCTGGAAGAGCCATTAGCAAGAACAAAACTCGCAGTGACCAGCTGAACAGCCGACAGCCTGTGCTAAGCTTTGTCGTTGACTCTGCTGTTGGCTCTACCGTAGACACAGAGCTAGATGCGGAGCTCGATTTTCAATTGGTTTTTCCCACAGCACCAGGTGGAGGTCGCGGAGATCGTCAGGCAGAGGCGGAATCATCTGGTGGAAGTACGTCAAGTAGAGCTCATGGAGGAGGCCGTGCTTCACGCGAACGTGGTCAAGTAGATTCTCAAGCTGACCAGATGAGTGATCTACTTGACATCACTTCCACCCCAAACTACACGACTGGTGGGACATCGTCATCTTCTGTGGTCGAATACGAATTCACTTTCGATATGGTCGGCAATTGTAAACATCCAACCACCGCTGCTGACGGTTCCTCGTCAAATACTTCCTCCTTTTGGAAAAATGTCGTCTCTCCAGTCGAATTCCTCTACACTGCGAGACTCTGTGCAGCTGATGAGGCAAGGTCTGTCACGGGGTTATTACCGCCTCCACCGCCACATCAGAAGACTACAAGACACGAACCTCGAGACCAGGTGAATCCCAGACCATCTCCAGTAGATCATGACTACGACGATGCAGCGAGAAGAGCAGAGCAACAATCTACCTCCTCGCCTGGAGACCATGAGGATGAAGAAAGTCATTCACCAATCCCAGAAATGAGCAAGCGAAATTCTGGCGTAACTCTGGGTGGCTCAGCATGGTCTTCTGCACCGGCGTGGTCATCAGCAGAGGCGGTTCCCAGGCCGGCTCCAGAGCTGTTTAGCACCCCTTATTTTATGAAGACAGGATAATACTGTGGATCTTATTTCTTGTACAACTGCGATACTAAATGTCTATGGTTGTTGTACCGAACCACTGTGCAACAACTACTCTACATGATTACAATTTCTGAATGAAGAGAACAAGAAGATGCTCAAACTCATTCTCACACTCTGAGGATTTGAAAAATTCAATTTTGTACTTGTACTTGAGTACCGTACAACTCTACTTCTCCCTCCTACGCACTCTACTACGACTTACTGTACTCTACTTCTACACTTCCTGCATTCGTCTCCAATCAGATCTCTTCCGGTGCAGGTCACAGTACAGGATCTAGTGGGGAGCAGCAGGGATTCCATCTCCGACTTACGGATGACGTACTCGAACGGCTGCTTTCCTGTCGTCCACTACGTGCGAAACCTACTCTCATCTTGAAGGATCCACCTCCTCCGACATCTAGAAGGAAGAGTGAAAGAGGGGAAGGTACTAGCAGCAAGGAGCAACTCCAGCAACAGTCTCGACCAGTGGCACAAGCTGCGGGTAGTGAACTAACACCCTCAGCACAGCACACATGGGAGAGTACAAAGCAGATTCGTTTGAAAGAAGGAACTTCTTCAGGACTAGCAGAAGCATCATCTACTAAACCCGTACCCGCCGCTTTTGCTACAACATCATCAGATGAATTCCCGATACCTCCCCTAGCAGCGGTAGATCAACCAGACAGAAACACCCCTCCCGCTCAACACGCCTCGCTCTCTGGCGCAGCACCACCACAAAGTCCTGACGATAAAGCTGCAAGTTGTAATCTTCCAGGACAAGACGAAATCGACGAAGAGGTGGACCAAATGGAAAGCGCTAGTGAGAACGAAGGAGGATTTTGAAGGAGGATTCTGAACAAGTGGTAACTGAGGTGATCATTGTCAACATGGAGGTCTACTTTCAAATGAACACAATTCGATTTGTGAAGTTTTGACTTGTTCTTTTCCACCTGCTACCTATGGTGGAGGAGGATTTAAGATTGAAAGTGTCATGGTGATCATTTTTTCAAATTCAAGCAAGGAAGAAGCGCATGGAGATAGTAAAAACGTAACGCAATCGACTTCGCGGCTAGAAAAAGAAAGAGTGTTCTGCCACTGCGGTATGCAGTTCTAGGAAGCCAACAACGATAAGAGATATGTTGGGGAAAAAAGGTCTATTCACACTGTGGAACTGGCTTGGTAAGAGTATCAATTCATAAAGAACAACTTCTAACCACTATGCGCTATCGTCAAAATATGACATTTGTCATCTCAATGAGTGATCTTCTAGATCAACAAGTAATTGTGCATTGATATAAATATCCACAAGAGCCAGCAGAAAAATTATGACGTCCTTGATGTACAGCAGCGCATCCGAGCCGTCCAACGATGCTGCGACATCAGAACGAGTGGGACTAGTCGGCGGATGGTGGTGGCCATCATTCAACAGCCTCGGATCGCTCTTTTCCTTATCAGCGTGCTCTGAGGTGCCGCATTCTAGTTGTTCCGATGTGGTGCGAAAGAACTGCGCATCGTCTAACTCAGCCTGTAGACCCGTGCATCGCAATAGCCGGATAGATCTCTCTGACTGGTCACCAGAACTAGCTAGAGATGAAAACGATAGAAACATCTTCAATCATCATGGTGCGGGTTATCTGGAACAAGATGTAGGTGATACTTCCTACCTTGGAGGCACTCTGATGTACGACAGTTTCTCGTCGTTCTCTACTCCTAAGTTCACGCATAGGCAGACTCTCGACAGCTACACTATCCAAGTAGCTGACGCTGCGAACAACATTGTCATGCCTTTGCCGCCTGCCTTGGCGCAAAGAGGGCATCAGCATCTGCGATTTGAGGATAGCATGGACCTCACACTTCATTCTTTAGACGGAGAACTTGGAGACTTTGCCCGCGAAGTGAATCAGATGAAGAGAACAGTGTGTCGCTCAGTGTCAATAGATTGGATCTCGAGAGTCGCGCTTTCCCAAGATATTCTCAATAGTTTGGATGCAGATGTGATGCGGGAGAAAGTTGCGGCGGGGTCGACACTCTTAGACACCTACAAGTCCTTTCTGCGAGACGCAAGTCGTGGGATCTTTCTACAACAAATTGAACGACGTCCGGGGGGAGCTGCACAAATGATGAGGAGGCGGCAAGTATTCGACAGCTATAGTTTTTTTCTAGAAGTTTGCACACTTATGGTGGGGGGCTGCTCTCCTTGCTTCTGACAAATTCCCCCTGCGGCGGGTTGCGGTTATGTATAACACCACAGGCGGCTCGGCCTCGCTGGTGTTAGTTGGTTTTCTTCGTCTTTTCCAGCTTGTCATACTCATGGCGGGCAGAGTCGCGGAGGCCGCATAGGTGTAGTGGTTGCGTTTTACATTTTCATTCAAAACTATCGATCCAAACGATTTCAGGTCCATTTTCAGCTAGTCGACTATCTGCCCGATCCCAGCGTGACCGCACTGAGCAGCTTGCACATCGAAAATTTCACGCGAATTGCTTCTGGCACCGTGATCAAAGTAGATTCGCTAGATGGTCGCGTCTTCGAGATTCCTCTTTCTGCTGTCAACGGCGTCTATAGCACTACAAAACCTATGGATCATGTGGGTATTAATGGCAACGAGCATGCTGGTTCTTCTAGTACTTCTTCACCTCATTTATGGCCATCTAAGAGCTCTTCTTGTGCTGTTTTTCGTGATGTTGTTCTAGTCACCCTTAGGGGTTCCCGACGCGGTCGCAGAGGCAGGAGATTGGCCTTTGAATTTTCGTCGAACAAAGAAAGTCGGAAATTTGAATTAGGATTGCAAGTGGCATGTGCTAGTATCTGGGGCCGCGGAGGAAGAGAAGCGGATAACAAAACGTCTTCTGCTTCTTCTACTGCTTGTGCCGCTCCTGGACCTTCTACTTCTAGTAGTACAAGAACTAGAACTAGTACAAGAACTACACCTAGTCCATCCAAGCAACGAGATGGTGGAGTCGGTTCACGTGACAAAAAGCTGGGAGACACTGATCATGAAAAGCAAAAGTCTTCGAACAACGTACAACAACTTCTGAACAGCATGGCCTCTGTCAATGATGAAGATGAGCCTGCGATTCCGCTGAAAGTGCAACTTGTAGCTCAACATCGACAAAGGCATTCCCAACAAATTGCTGCTCCATCCAACAAATTGCTACCAAATAGCCGTGTAGACGAAGTAGGCTACGGCGGAAGTGGCAATCGTGTTGTTGATAACAGGGATGACTATGACAACAATTTCATCATTCACGATGAGGAAATACGAATGATGCGGGGTGGAAGCGCTTCCTCACAACTGGAAGGACGAGATACAGCGAGTGGGAGCAGAAGCAGAAAACTGGCATCACTGGGCTCACTAGCAAGGAAGAAGCAGTCTTCCGTTGCCATTTCCAAGAAACTAGATGATAAAGTGCCATCTTGTTCGAGATGATGACGATGAAAACAGAAAACTATAGTACATGAGTCAGCTTCCTTCAACATATTTTGAAGCAGCGATGAAAACAATATAAGCTATACATGAGTCAGCTTCCTTCAACATATTTTGAAACAGCGATGAAAACAGAAAACTACTATACATGATTCAGTTTCGGTTTCCTTCAACCACATGTGAATGAAATACGTTGCACAGAATTGAAAAGACTGACTATGATTTTACGCAGGAAATCGAGATAGATAACGAGGCTTTTTTTCGATTTTGCTTATGGATATTGTGAACTGCATAGACAGGGATTGACAGGACCACGACAGCGCCGGCGCTTAGTTAGTAGTAGATAAGTACTTACGCTTACCTGACTTTTCTTTTTTCGGTTTCTATTTGTTCTAGTTAGGTCTGCTCCACCAACGATATTGTGAACTACATAGACATCTATTTCACATTGATAAACCGAATCCTACTGCCAACTTGAAATTGCAACTTTTGAAGAACTTATTCTTGATTTTGCCGAGGCTCAAATCACCTCCTATTTTTTTGCACAGTTAAGACCATCTTTTGCGCACAGTTTTTTGCGATTCCGAAAATTGACTTAATATTCTAGCTGATGCTGTGTGGATCCTGGTGCGAGACGAGGATCCGCGCATGTTTAGTGTCGGTACGAGAAGAGTAGTGAAAGCCTCCTTTGAGTGTCTTTGTGATGAAAAGTTGATGAAATATGCAATCCTTTTCGGAAATGAGAGCAGAAGAGGAGCGCACTATCATCATGTAGGGTTGTGTTGAGGGTCAGGTGACGTAATAGTCAAGCGATCTTCTTGACAGCCAGATTTGTGTTTTGTAGTAGACCACTAAGAATTGTTCTTTAAAACATAATGATGCCAACCGCAACCTTCAACATTACAAGCATGTTGTTGCTCCTGTCCGACCGAAGAGCTACAAGGTTTTCCCTTTTCTGCTCTCGCCCCGTGCAACTGCTTCTCGCTCTTTGCAGTCTCTGCACTATCACGTCAGACGCGTTGAATTGGTTAGCGGTCCCAGACTTCGATTGCCGCGAAAACCCGAACTTTGATCATCTCGTTTACGTCAACAAACATGGAGCAGTTGCAACGAAGCTATCCACCTTCTGGGAATCGATCGTGCAGGAAGCGGTCAACGATCAAAGGGAGAAAGAGGAGAGACAGAAGCAAGATGGTGTTGGTGGAGAAGCTGACAAGGGATCAGCATCACAAACTAGGGAAGCTTCCTCGGATGGTCAGCCCCGTCATCGATTTCGGGTTCCTGCCTCATCCATCGAAAGTCAGCAGATGTGGAGGGACTTTGCCACGGTCGTGCGCGAAAACCTCATAGTGCCAGCATCGCTGTCATTGGCTCTCTTTTCCAAGAGCAGCTCCGAGGAACTGTCCACTGTTTGCCCCTATGCTTTGATTTTGCAGGAGTTTCTGCAGAGGATATTCTGTCTGGCGATGATCGTACCTGAAGTAGATGAGGCAGGACAAGAAACAGGAGAAAATGTAGCTCTTCAATCTTTATCTGCTGGACTATCTGGACAAGCTGCTGTTCTAGCAGAATCCTCAGATGGCGCGCCACTTTTTTTCCCAGTTCCTTCGTGGCGCTACATCAATTTTGAAGAACTTCCTGGTGCAGCTGGCACGCCACCAGCTCCAGCAGACGCAGCAGATCCAGAAGCACCTCAGGAGAACGCAAATTTCCAGTGTTCAAGTCTTCCACCTGACCAGTTTGCTGAAATGCTCAAGACTTTCACAGTTCCTGTGATGCTCAACAGTGAGTTCGCGCATATCTTGAACACCTATGGAGCGTTTGGACGCGTGTTGGGAAAGTATGCGAAGACGCTCTTGTTTCCTAGTCGTGTACCTACGGCCCAGCAGCGTTCTTCAGCAACGGCGTCATCAGCACCAGCTCCAGCATCGACAGAAGGAGCCAACGAAGTCGAAGTCAATCCTTACCCGCTAGCAGTCAAGGTCGGGTTTGAGAAGGCACTGAACTGTGACGGAATAGCAAAAGCTGAAGAATTTTTCGACTGGGTCGACTTTTTGGCTGGTTTCAGCACGGGGAAGGACTTCGTGCGGACAACGCAGAAGTACGTGTGGAGGTCAGTGTTTATGGCATGGAGGTCTAGTAGTTTCATTCGACTAGAGAGAGGAATCCTTCAATAAAATGTGGACTCGTGTAGTACTTCCGTGTAGTTCAATAGTCCTGAGAACATCTTCACCAGCAACAGCATCTTGAAGAAGTTGATATGCCCCCTCAATCAACCTTTCCCTTTTCATCTCCTTCGACAAACTCCACGAGCATTACTTGCAGTGTCCATTTGGAACCCTCAGCCTGCTGCTTGTGAGGATGATGATTGTATGGTTCTGGTATTTGGTAACCTGAATTTGATCCTAAGGACAGGTTACCAAATACCAGAACCATTCAATGATCGCATCCAAAGCTACGTCGGACCAGTATGTGCTGTTCGAGTCGTTGTTTCTCTTCTTCGTGCAGCAATTGATGGACGAGTTGAAGCGGATCTTTTGGGGTTTCATCTTCGAGGACGAACAGAAGGACGGTGTCTTTTTGCAGGACAACTTGTGGAATGCAGATGATTCGATAGCAAGGAGGTTACGTGAGTTAGGAACTGGGAACTTGAGGGAGTTCTTGCCGGAAGATAGTCCGAAGGCTGGTCAGCAGAGTCAAGAAGCGTCAGCGACGACAAAAGAAGAGACCAGGTCAGAAGATGGCGCGGTTGAAGATGACGAGGAAGTTCCTCCAGTGAAGATTGAAAACAGAGTCCTACTGATCCCGCATCTAGGAGATATGATGAACCGAGACGGAGAAGAACGGCCGAACAGAAAAGAGGACATCCGCGTCTTCCGATTAGACGTCATCATGTCCTTGTTCCTAACTGAATGGGTACCTCTCGACATGCTTACCCTCATCGGCAGGCACACGTCAGCAAAAGACGCTGATGGCCGAACGGGGTATCAGAACAAACCTTTCCGCTTGGACTTCCATCGCAAGGAGTACATGCTGTACTACGAACAAGACTTGGAGACCAACAGAGGTGAGCGGGATCTGTACTTCGACAGTCATACGGAAGAAAGAAATCCTGCGTCTCTAGGCTTCAGCGCTGACCTTGGCTATGATCCATCAGTAGACGCAGTGGAAGTAGAGGCAGTTGCTGCGCCAGTTGCAGTACTAGGTCTTGATCATCAACAGAGCACTTCGACTGCACCAGGACTGCTTGAACTCGAAACAAAACGGCCTTGGACAAGTGAGATAGTGGCTTTTGAGAATCTTGTAGTGGAGAGCGTTTCTGCTGATCACGACGAAGATGGTGTGGTATCGATTCCAGCGTTGATGACAAAACCTGTACATAGAGCAACTTCAAGTGCAAAAAAAGGTAAAGGTCAACAGGCGAGCGTCAAAGACAAGTCTACGTCACAACTGGAAGGAGGCGAAGAAGGAGACGGTAGAGCTCCTCAGGACTCGCATCAGATGCGTATGGCAGAGACGATGTTATTCGATGCTGCGCCGTTGACACCATCAACATCTCGTACACGACAGGTGAATGACTCTAGTGTTGTCGACACTGTTTGCCGACATCGTAACCAGGTCATTCTCCAAGATCCGACCTACGTTCCTCCGGATGGAACGATCTTTGCGTCGCCGAATGTTCTGCAAGCGAGAGCAGTGGCGAAAGAAGAAGTAGCGGAGGCTGTGCTATTCTTGGCATCTAGTACAACTAGTACAGCAGAGAATAGTGTTGCTGGTGGATGTCCAGCAGGCATTCCCCAACCTTTTGATTACAACCAAGGGGACGGGGTAGGCGACGGTGGAAGGTTCAAGCTCTTGAGGCGTATCTATTCAACAGCCTACAATCCTCTAGTCGTTGACACAGAAAGGATTCGACAACTAGATGCACAAGATCCGAGTAGAGAAGCAACGTTAGTTGGGCCGTCTGTATTGGTGGAACCAAATGGTGGGATGTATGGGAGAGAGCCTCTTAGTGGTGGGAGAAGAACAAGCACTCGTACTAGTAGACAAGCAGAAAATATTGTAGGAAAGCTTCTCAATGTTTTCAGGGTGGATGAATCAGTGTCAGATGAAATCAGGGGACGAGAACCAGCAGACGACGAAGCCTCCGAAGAAAGAGTGACTCACTTCTTCAACCTCTCCTGGGATGAACATATGGCGTTACTCGGAGCAATGTCCAAAGCTATTCAGGCATCGCCATCGCTCTTCAACAGCACTTTTTTCAACGTTTTGCACGTCCTTTTGAACCTGCTGTCTTACTTCAAAGCCAGGGATCAGGAATTGAGAGAGAGGATATTGTTGGAGACAATGAGCGGGAATGGTCAAAGTGGGCAAGCAGATGAGAGTAAGGTTGAAGGTGGAGGCATCGGAATCAAGCAAGCTATAGCAGTTGCATCGTCAAGGACTACGACATTCCAAAGCGAAGCGTTAGGCGACAGTCTTTTTGAAGGGCAAGAGTACGAGACTGATGCTCAGGAGCAGCAGGAAGAAACTTTATCTCCTACTACTGTAGGTCTAGGTGGGTCAAACTACACCACTAGACAGGTCGACACCCAACAAATAAGGAAACTAAAACTTAAACGCCTTCTCGTCCCACGCGTCCACGTCACAATCCTGTGGGGTGCCAGACTGTCAAAATATCTCCGGAACTTCCTCAAACGAGCAGCTGCTTTCGATCTAGATTGGCGTTTCTTCGTTTTCTGCCTAGACGACATCAGCTACGATGCGTGCAAACTCGCTAGTCGCTACGAGTTCCTCTGTATTCCTGGAACTGTCAAGACCATCTACAACAAGTACGTGGTAAGTGCGTTGCTGAATCGTCTGGGCTTTGACGTGGTGTATCAGGACTTTGACACGGTTTTTATGCAGGATCCAAACCCACTGCTGGACGAGTTGCACTACGATCATAGAGTAGACGTCGTGTCTGGGCGAGACTTTGGCGTGGAGTGCGCGAATACGGGGGTACTTGATTGCTAGAAGCACCTGTCGTCTTCGTGCAAAGAAAGGTGCTTCAAGAAACGACGTCAACTACGAGCAATCAGTTTCATTCTTTGCTACGCTTAAATCTATGTACTCAGTACAAGGCCATCCTGTCATTCAAATCTCAATCACAACCAGATCCTCCTCCTCAAAGCCACTCCTGCGACGCAACTATTCTTACAAAACTGGCTCATTTGGTCATGGTGGCATCCGTATGAGTTCTCTCAAAAAACGTTTGCGTCGTTCTTCGGCATCGAACATGTAGCATTGCACAATCGATCACCACCTGGCGCAGGCTTCTATCCGGATACGGGGGTGCGAAAACCAAGACTGAAATTCTTTGAAGCTATTATGGCAAGGATGAAAGTAGACAGGATTACTGTTCTCTATCAAGATTAGAATTCTCCAAATAAAACAATAGACCTAGTAGTACTTGTTCTAGATGAAGCTATGTATAATGCTACCTAGAAAAGTAGTAACGCGAAGATGTAAATGGTGCTGGTATTTGGTATAGCCTGATTTTGATCATGAGGAGAACAAGAAGGGAATCCTTGTGATCGAATTCAGGTTGCCAAGTACCAGAGCCATACAACAAGATGTCAACAATACAAGATGATCTGTACATACAACTACTTCCGTATGTTAAATTTAATGTTTCATCCTCTAACCTTTCCCAAGAAGTCGTGACGCAACTCGTGTACGGCGATGCAGAAGGCTGGTTCGGTGATGTGGAGAAAATCAAGGTTTTCCACTTTGTGGATGGCACGGGTGGCGTTGACGAAAACTTGGCAGTGAACAAGAAATATGTCAACGCTTTCGAAGTCTTCTATGACAACGATAAGCTCAATTTGGCTGATGGGACAGTGCCTCTCCACATCCAAGATCGAGGTATAGCAGATTTTCTGTTGCGCAGCAGACAGAAGGAGTATCCGAAGGAATTGAAAAGGTGCGTGTTGTTCATCTCGGAAGCGAAACCATAGAAGAAGATAAACATAAAGTAGATGTCAATAGTGCGACGCTTGGGACACATACACACTCTACTGACTTGGCACGACTGGATATCGTTCTCAACCATCCACAATTACAATTCATGCATTGACCTGATAACAAATAAAGGCTCTTCTCCTTCAGGAATCTCTGATATCAGGCTGAATATGTCCAGTATAAGGATAGAACACGCCGCGTTCTTGTGAATACTCAGCCCCATGTTGACCCATAAATGTTAAAGGTGACATCTTCAAATGGAAGCAGTTGCGCTCAGTGTAGCTTTTGTCTGGACATGGTGGCTTTTTCTGGACTACGTGTGGACCCATCCGTGTTCCTTGTTCGTGAAAAGACGGCGAAACAAGTCAAACTGTACTCGGTAGTTATCCCAAGCGCCATGATAGGCTTAATACTTAGTCCAGGTAGGAAGGTGACCCGACCGCCTAAGTTCAATTAATATTTGGTTGGACGAGAAGATGATGACAGTGTGTCATTTTTGTCTTATAATGAAATTCTGTTCGTTGAGTGAAAGTGGCAATCGGTGGCTCACGGAAAAGTGGCAATTGGTGGCTCGGGGATAGTCTACGGGAAAAATTCAAAGTCGCCGTCGTTACATATTTATACGATAACTGAAAGTGAATTTTTGCTCTTTTTGATATGCTCTGCCCGAACGCATTCGCTATCCCCACAACCCACCGGTGTGATAATACTATAAGTACTAACGCAGAAGTGAATGGCGAGGAGGTAAACGCTTATGGATGTGATCACAGTATAAATACTTAAGTAAAAGACTAAAAGACTGCCAATGTCAATCTCGTGCCATACCCATCCGCCACTGCAAGGAAATGCTTTTACCTGTATGAGCCCTCTCTAGTACGTGGAGGGCAGCGAGTATGCTCAGCGTCGGTTCATCTGTTTTTCACTATTTCGGCTTGACTACCTCCGACCAAAAAAACTACCCTACGTCCCTCTCCGCTCCCTCAGCCAACGACGATAAGAATGATATTGATAATGGTATTGGTGACTACTTAATCATGGAAACAAGTGGCCAACTTTATTACCAAGAAGTTAGCTCTTCATAAGTAAGTATCTAAACAAGAGCAGGGAGTCTACATGAACTTCCAGAGAGTGACATGGTTGGTCTAGACAGTCTAAAAGTTGTTGCTCGAGGCCATTTTTAGCCGTAAGATGACATCAGATTTGCAATTGTACTAGTCCTGGACGACCTGGGGATTTATTACGTCGCGGGCGCGAGAGAGAGAGACTAACCAACAGCAGCAAAGAGCACCATAGCCATACTGGTCAGTGTGAGATTATAGCAAGAAAGGGCCAAAGAGTGGGACTCTCATCCAGCAAAGCGTAAATTTGCAGGGACGAACATAGTACTAGAGCATCTTCTTGGTGTATCCAACAGCTTGCATCTTTCTGAAGAATCTGGTGAAGTGAACTAACTAGTTGCTTGTTTCTTTTCCCGTGTGGGTGACGAACAGCCAAAAGGGATCTACATCTAACTTCATGTCCAAGCTCGCTCGCCCGGCAATCCCCGGCGCTGGATGTGCTGGCGGGGGTAAGTGCGAAGGGCTAGTTGCATCCATCGACAAAAACCAGCGCCGCACGAGCAAGAAGACTACACAGAAAATGGAGCTTCTGGATGCGGCAGCTGAATATAGGAAACAGGCGGGTTTGAATACGAATCATCGTGAGACTTGTGGGCTAACGAGTGCGCGGCAGCAAGGTGACAAGGCGGCCACCACAGCAGACGGCTCACAAGGTACCAATAAAGTAGGTCGTTAGATTTTTGTGTTCTATCAATCCCTATTCAATGACGATGACCCACAACAAGTTTCAGACACAAGAGATAGAAGTAGAGACACATTTTTTACTATAGATATAATTTATGAATGAATATGATTCCTCCGGACGCTC